CTGATATCAACCCTGTAACACTTTCCCTCACCCATGAACCCTATGGGCAGCTACTTGTGAAATCTTAGATCCTCGATATTGGTAACACTGATTTTTGGCCTTTAATCACATAGACCAGCAGTCTCCTTTTATATCACTAAGCAACTGTACAGAGAAGAATTTCTAGTACACTGTGGTCATGAGAAGATAGTAAACTAGTGAAATTTTTAAAAATAAGTGGACTCATTTTGTAGGGAAAAATACGGACATGGACAATCATATATGATTTGAATGCAATACAGTTTATACAGGATTCATTGTAATACAAGATTTATTAGTCCAAAATTTATCCAGCCCACCTCATCTACCTTCAAGCACACCAAAATAAGATGTTTTAAAGATTTTTAGGGACACTCTTTGCCATCTCTTTTTCTTTTTTTGTTTTTTGTTTCTTTGGTCTTTTTGAGTCAGGGTCTTGCTACGCAGTTCAGGCTGGCCTTGGGCTCACTTTGTAGCCCAGGCTGGTCTTGTCATTGTCATCATTTACAATGTCCTGTTCCAGACTTCTTGAACCAGTGCGTAGAAGTCTCCAGTCATTATTCTAAACCTGTAGCTACCTTGACTTCTGGGGAAAAAGCCTCACGGATCACCCCGTGATGAGTTGAGGCTGCCACCACTCCCTCAAGCAGGAGCAGTCATTCCCTGGAAACCACATTGCTTACTTGAGCCGTAAAGACTTTTTGGGAACCCATCTTGCAGAACGAGTCCTGAGATAATGACCAAAACATCATCTGTCAGTTGAGGTTTCTTTTGCTCAACTCAGACAGAAATCATGAATCAGCTATGTATACTCTGTGGGTGTCCGTGGTGCCACCAATGGACACCAGTTAATGCCAATGTTGTGGGTCAACGGTGCTGGTTGCTGATCACTGCTGCTGCTGGCCACTGCCCAATGACACTAGCTTGTGCCAGACACCATCAACCAACTCTGTCAGTTGCTGGTTAACTGCTGGTTACTGGTCTGCCTGCTGGTCTTTGTTGGCTCCTGGTTTTTGGAGCTCTTCCTGGCTAACGGCCTCCGGTGTTCACGGATTTTTCTTTTAATGCAACTTCTCTGTTCACACTACTCAGAATGAAAATTTCCAGAACATTCCAAGCACACACTGACCTGAGAAATCAGAATCAGATTTACATAGCCATTGTAAGGCTTTATTTGAAAGGACCTGTGCTGTAGCATAGGGGTGTCAGTGCACAAGGAAGAGCCCTTCTAGACCCACCCAAGGGGTACGGGGTGAGTGCTGCTTATATAGCCACAGCAGGACTGTGATTGGCCCAAATTTGAGTCTTTTGTTGTTATAAATTTGCCTAAACTCAAACCTTCTGATGTGCACTTACTAATTCCTCCAAATTTAATTCTACTCTTTAGTTTAAATTTGGGCCTGTGGGAGTCAGGGAAACAGAACAAGCTCAAAATAACCTAATTTTGATATCAGAAAATGGAAAAATATTCCGTGATCATGGATAGGGAGGACCAACATAATGAAAATGGCCATACTTTCAAAACTGTTTTAGAGATTTAATGCAATCAGTCAAAATACCATTAGTGTACCTCACAGATCAGAGAAAACATTCCTGAAATTCATATGGAACCAGAGGAGCCCTAGAATGACAAAAGCAATTTTGGACAACAAAGGCAAGGCAGGGGGCATTACAATCCTGACTTGAAATTATACTACAAAGCTACCGTGACAAACATGGTATTGACAGAAAAAGAAGGAATAAAGAAAGAAAAGAAAGAGACTTGAAGACCAGTGGAACAGAATAGAAAATGCAGATGCAGCTCCAAACACACTGAGCCACCTTATCTTTGACAGAGAACCAGACATGTTCACTGGAAGAAAGATAGCCTCTTCAATAAACGGTGCCGGAAAAACTGGCTCTCCATATGTTGAAGACTAAAACTATCCTATGTTTTACATGATTTGTAAGGACTGGAAAATGAACCTCAGATTCTCACTTTACCTTTTGACTGTGTGACTACTTCTCTCTGCAACAGTTCCATGATTTTCTGGAAAACTGATGTAACAGATCTTGCCTGGAAGGCTACTGTGAGGGTTAAATGAAATGAGGCTTGTGTTCCAGCACTGAAGCTCAGGGTTGCATCGGCCGTATCCTTATTCTCTGCCAAGACTGAGAAGTTTGCAGTTGGGCTGTGCATCTGTGTTCACATCTGTTAAGTTCGTATCCGATGACAAAGACTGTTCTGCCCCTTGTTTACAGCGTTGGGCTTGACACAGCATTAAGTGTCTTAATAATCTGGCAAAGTCAGTTCCAAAATAGAGATGTAGATTCCTAATTATATTTGAATATCAAATAAACAACAAATGTGATATTTTGTGCAATACATGGATGTACTTTTAGAAAATGTTATTGTTTATTGGAAATTTAAATTACCTGGGTGTCCTGAAACCCTGATAGCGGTTTATAATCCAGTTAGGTAAATGATGTTTAGAAGCCACCAGAATACAGGATACAAACAATCAAACATCAAATGGTCAACTCTGAGAATCTGGTGGCAGAGGGCAGGTTTAAGTCTGCATGGTCCACCGTGTTAGCAAAATCTCTACTAAAGACCCCCACATGCTGCTGTGTTTGCTGTGCTAGCTATGTTAATACATCTTCCTGCCTTGATTGGTTGTCTCCAGGTCTTACTATCAACCAATGACTTCCTCAACACTCTTCCTCCATATTCACTTAACAAGTATGTGAAGACACTGCTCTGTGCGGGGCATCATTCCAGCACCAAGGACAGAGCATCGAACCTGATACTGTCTCCAAGTTTCCAAGGAATTTGCTGTTAACGGGTGGGGCCGGGTGGACAAACAACAGAAAAACAAAACAAAAAACCCAAAATGCAGATAGTGATGATAACTACATAGCAGGGGACGCAACGCTGTGGAGAGAGTGACGGTAGGGGTTGCTCTGAGGGACTAGGAAAGAGAACTCCACGCAGAGCAGCCATTCAGGCTGAGGCTTCCTAATGTGCAGAGGCCTGCCGTGTGCAGTTGTCAAGGAAGGACACCGAAGGAAAAGGGAACAGCAAATATCCTGACTCAGGAACAGAAAGAAGGTTAAAATGCCTGGAAGCTGGCCAGGGATTTGGCTCAGCGGCATAAGTGCCTGCCTGGCAAGTGCGAGGTTGTGAGTTCAATACCTGGTACCACAAAAAAAAAAAAAAAAAAAAAAAAAAAAAAAAATGCCTGGAAGCTGATTGAGCAGAACACATTCTCTTTAAACAACCGCCACCCTCCTTGCTTTCTTTTGTACATTCTTTCACTGAAGGAAATTTGAATGTGACATAGTTAAATGTTGGGCAGCACAGAAAAAGATAAATTGAGGCATCTCAATAATCCACACGGTGTTAGACTAATGATTTCTAAGGTGCATTCCGAACACACTCTTCCAAGGCAGATTCCTCAGAATAATATAATAGCTAACATAGATCACTTAAAATGTGTGATGTAACGACATGCATTTTCTTATTCAGTTCTCTTAACAATTCACAGGCCAATTCTCTTAACATACCCATTTTGTGGATATAGGCACTGAGACTGAATGATGACGGAGTGCCAAGCAAAACTAGAGTTGGAATGCTTGTCACCATGCTCCACTATCTGCTTCTACTTTGAAACATGTAATAAACTTAGGGGCATTAGTATGAAGTGACAGACCCATCAGGAATAACTCCCAAGAGAAATTAATGTCAGGGCCCTACTCTTGTTGTTGTTGTTGATGTTAAGGAGCAGTGAATCTAGGGCCTTCAATGGAGTTACAACTCCAGCCCTTTATCATTTTCAAATTTTGAGACAGGGTCTCATTAACCATTATGTTGCCCATGCTCAGCTTGTGACTTCCTGCCTCAGCTTCCCAAAGTGCTGGGGTTGCAGGTGTGCACCACAGCACCTGATCTTGTCCACAGAGAAACAGTCTCTTTCCCCCTTCTGGAAGAACTTCTTTCAGGCTTACATTGCCCCAGTTCTCAGGGCTGGAGCTCCACAATGGGACTCCACCAGCCTGATGGAATGTGTCTCCCTGGTGTCTAAATTCAGCACTGGGTTATTATTATTCTTTATATCACCTACCACAATTTTAAGTTACCTAATTCTTTTTCTGATCATTTGTTAATTATTTGGCTTCCTAACTAGACTGGAGATTACTGAGAACAGGGGGAAGGTAGGCACTTAGTGTGCTTTTTTTTTTTTTTAAACAAATACATTCCCCTTTGGTGTCATATGTGTTTGGGTATAACTATCTGGGGTTAACAAAATGCTCTTCATGTCTTCTTTGCATTGTTCAATCACTTTGATGTGGATATTATCAATGCCCCAGCCTCTGGATTACAAACCATACTGGGTCAAATTCTAGCCCTGTCTCTCTTCATGTGTAACATTGTGCCAAACAAGTAAGCTCACTTTCCTCACTTACTCAGCAAACATTCATTGTGCGTTAACGTGCAACTATTGAGCAATCACAAAGTCCCTCGCGGACTTTACATTCTAGGATGATGGCAGATACTCAGAAAAAGACAAAATACGTTGAATGTATAAGGTAAGTGGTGCTAAATGTAAGGGTATGAGAATGAAAGGGAGATTTAGTAATAAAATGCACGGATCCGTGGGTAGGTGTGTGTGTGGGGGTTGTCCATAACTCCACAACAGACCTACGAAGGCTCCCACCAAATGAGATTCTCTTGCAGCCCAAAGGATGAGGAAACTGTTAGGGTAAACAGAGGCACAGTTGAGACCACCGAGACAGGCAGTTTAAGCAATGTGTGAGGGCTTTATTGCCGACCAAGTGCAGCCGAGCCAAGAGTTAACAGGGGTGCATGTTACGGGGCAGCAGTTTTGCAGGGGAGGGGGCCTTGCTGAGAGGCTCTCGGGCTAGCTGATAGGGTAGTGCTGGTGCGGGGGTGGGGTGCTGGCGGTCACAGCGCATCTCATGCTGTTTTCACGGAATCAGCTCTCTGCAGGTCGACTGCCGGCCGCGCTCCTGCAGGCGTGAATAACAGATCTGCTCGGGGAGTTTTTCTCTCCTATCTGGGCCGGGTCCAGTTCGGAGACCTCAAAGAAACATGGGTCACAGCGGATCGATAATCGCGGTGGCACGCGGCCCGGAAGGAACGTTAGTCGCGGCGGAACTTTAATCCGCTACAAGCTTTGTCTAGGCGTACAGTTACCAAGGCAACAACGTTGGCCCGGAAGGCGGGGGCAGAGGCGGAGCTTGCGGCGGAAGTGGCTTCTTCGCCGCTAGGGGCGGGGAAAGATGTTGCCTGCGGCGGTGTTACTGTGTCTGCGTCTGTGCGGCCTCCTGGTGGGGCTGGTGGAGGCCCCGAGCCCGGTGGAGCCGCCGGAACGGAGCCGGCCGTATGCAGTGCTGCGCGGGCAGAACCTGGGTGAGAGTCGCGGGCTGCAGGGCGCAGGGTCGGGCCTGCGTTTCTCCCGCTCTGGGCCGCGAGCGCCGGGCGGCGGGCGTGGTGGCTGCGGGGTGATGCGTGAGGCGGGCGAGAGACCTGCGACCTCTAGGAGCCTGGGGGAAAAGGCTTGAGTTTACTGCTCATCCCAAGGCCTGATTAACCGGTACGCTCCTCCGTGTGTGCTGTGCGCACCTAAATAAACGGGATTCAGCTGACCCGAGGCTCAGGGTGGAGCTACCTCCCGGCTGTGTGGTCAACAGGACACGCTATACTCCAGCCGCTCTTGTTTGCTCAGTGGACCAGTTATAAGGGTAACTGGCAGTTCTTGAGCATTTTCAATGTACCATATGTTTTGTGCTAAGCATTTTGTACGTGCGAATACTTTTGAGCTCACAGTAACACAATGCCTGCGGGTATGGATCACTTCGTACCTTCCACATTATTTTGGTTAGAACAGGGTTTCTCAACTTGTATATTACTGCTGTGTTGGATCAGATGATTTTTTTTTCTCAGATGGGGGCGGGGAGGGTAATCCCGAGCAATGTAAGAAGTTTAGCAGCACAGTTCACTTTACCAGCTATATACTACAGCACGGCCCACTGCCAGCAGAGATAATCAGAATGATGACACACATTGTCAGTGTCCTTGAGGTACAAATTCTCGTCGTTTTTGAGACCACCTCTGTAGGACAACTCTGTTTACAGGGGAGTCTGCAATCTGGACGTTTTCTGCAAACTGACTTAAGTTTTGTGACTTAAGACATTAAGAGCCTTTCAGAAATTAACAAGGTGATGTTGCAACATCCAAACAGGTGATGGTGAACTGGAATCTTTGTAGTGGAAGGGAGCTGCCAAGGAGGCATGCCCAGCAGGGCTACGCTGTGGTCTTGGACAGACTAGAAATTATAAAAACCAGTCTTCTGCCCTGAAAGTTTGAAAAGCACAGATCTAGGCAGCATATACAGTACGCATTTTTATCTCTCTCTTTAAGAGAAGGAAACAGGTTGGGTGACCTGTGTCAGGTCACGTAGCCTGTAAATGAATATGGAAACCTAGATGGTTTGGCCCTAAACCCTTAACTCTTGGCCACTATGCCGTGCTTCCTGTCTTGGCCATAATAGCGGGGCACTTATTTATCATGTGTTTGTTGTATGTGTGCTTTGTTGAACACTTTTTTTTTCTTTGAGACAGGGTCTCGCTACGTAGTTCAGGCTAGCCCTGAATTTACTGTGTAGACCAGGCTGGCGCCTGAAACGGTGGTCCTCTTGCCTCACCCTCCCAAGTGCTGGGATTATGAGTGTGAAAGTAACTATAGTTAGGCCTCAAGGAAACCCTAAGTGGGTTTCATTTGTCCCATTTGATGAGTGCAGAAAATAAGGCTTAAGTGACCATAAAGATGGACTGAAAAAGGCTGTCAAAATTCTGCCTGGGCCTGCCAACCTGGCAATTGATTCTACCTGCAAAGTGCAGGGAAAGGTAGATGATCAAGGCTCATGATTGGCAATCTAAATGAATGTGTGTTTGTAAAAACATAGTTTAAAGCACTTTTTAAAAAGTAAATTTCCATCTCCCTCATTCCTGCCTCAGAGTTTTTGCTTGGGAGTGTTTTGTTTTGCAGTAACGGGGGTTGAACCGGGGCCTTTCTATTGAACTTCGTTCTCAATCCTTTATTTTGCACTTTGAATTTTTTTTTTTTCTCTATTTTGCACTTTGAGGCAGGGTCTCACAAGATGCCCAGGCTGAGGTTAAACTTGTGATTCTCCTGCCTCAGCTTCTCATGAGAGTTTTGTTTTAAGCCCTTGCAAAATGCATGAAAACTGTTTATCTACAAGACAACTAAATTCAAATAGAGTCAGAACTTTAGAAACTTAGTATTCAAGACGTTGGAAAACAAGGGCAGATATTTAGTTAACAAGGGCTATTTTGAGATAAGACATTTAGCTCATGTCTGTTGTAGGTTTTGTTTTGTTTTAATCAGTACCAGGGATTGAACTCATGACGGCACGCTTGCAAGGCAGGCGCTTATGCCACTGAGCTAAATCCCCAGCCCCTGTAGGTTTTGTTTAACAAGACCTTAAAATTACTTCTGGCCTTTGGAGTTATGACATACCATCTTTGTCACTTTTTCTACCCTTCTCCCCCACGCACCAAAAAAAGATGATCTTTCCATATAACTAGTTTAAGTGTGACTGCTTACAGTCACACTTAAAGGAGGAGTGAATAATAGATATTCTGAAATTACTGATTAAAAATAAATTATGGCCAAATCTTGGTTTTTCAGAGAACAGCAACCAGGTTAGAAAACAACAGTTAGGCCCCAACTGGAACCTCAGATGGACCCTTGTACTTACACACATGCCTGTTTGCTTATCAAAGATACAGGCATTTTGGGTGCCATGCAAGAACTCTCAAATGAGTCACAGAAACAAGACTGCACATCATGGCTACTGTTGAAAAACCTTTCTGGCAGGTGGATAGGTCTATCAGTTTAGATCTTGGTTGTAGATTCCGTTTCTCACCTGAGCACCTTGAAATTTTTAGATGTGAACTTTACTCCCCCAGGCATAACAGGTTTGTGGTTAGTTGTCTCTCTGGTCATGAGGCCTTTGCCAGGACTCACCTAGAGAGCCAAGCAGGGTAGCGCAGGCCTGTAATCGTGGCGCTCAAGAGGCTGAGGCAGAAGGATTGCTGCAAGTTTGAAGCCAGCCTGAACTACACAATGACCTCCTGTCTCAAAAAAAAAAAAACCAGAAAAAGACAAGGGGGGAAAAAAGAGCCACGACTTAGCTAGAGCCCAAAATACTTTCTTTTTTGAAACTCCAGATTTCACTGGGGGCTTTATAGATGTAATTGGACTCACTGTCTCTATTTTTATCTATCTATAATCAGATGGTTCTCCCTCCAGACAGCAGTTGAGGGATCTTTTTTCCCAACTAAATTTCTTACCCACATGTGCCTATAGGCTCCAGAAACTTCCCTTTAAATTTAGGGGTAAAAACCCATGTTTCCTTCACAGTTGCCAGTCCCCTGCGCCAGCTGGCTCCAGCCTTCCTGTCTGGCCTCTCCTTTCACTCCTTCCTTCTCCCGTGTCCTTTCTGCTTGGTGACTGAACTGGGCTTGTTCTGGCCTCAGGGCCTTTTCTACTCCTCAGTACTGCAGGCTTATTCCAACCTTTCACTGAGGGCTTAGCTTGTGTGTGTGTGTTTAGCTGCCCTAGCCCCCAGTCTGTCACCCAGCCTTCTCCCATCACCATCACATTAGTGGGTGGTGGTGGTGGTTGTTTGCAGTACTACAGGTAAGTCTAGTGTGCTAAGCTGTGTCCCTTGCCCTTTGTATTTTTAGTTTGAGATGGACTTTGCTAAGTAAATTCCCAGGCTGGACTTGAACCTGTGATCCTCTTGCATCAGCCTCCCAAGTAGCTGAGATTACAGGAATGCACCACCACTGATAACAGGCTAGGTGAAAGGCTCTTATCTGTCTACATTTTGTTCCCCCACATACATACAGATAATTTGAGACAGGGTCTGTTCACAACTATTTCCCCTGCACCTGGCACAGTGCCTGGCAGCAGATGGCAGGTGGTAAATCATTGTCAGCAGATGGGTTAATTACAGAACCTGGAGCAGCCGTTACACACCCTGTTTTCCCTTTGCAGTGTTGATGGGAACCATTTTCAGCATTCTGCTGGTGATAGTCATCCTCATGGCATTTTGTGTCTACAAGCCCATTCGGCGTCGGTGACAGCCAAGCAAGTTCTGCCACAAGTTTTTGGAAACAGAATAAGTTGTGACGTACATGGACCAATGGAGAACTTGGAATCAGAACTTTCCTACTCAGAAATGACCTTCGGTGTGGACAGTTGGTAAATGCTAAGTGATTTAAAAGAAACATCTACTAGTAATGATGCTTTCCTAATGTCATAATGCAAATAACTGGCTGTGGAGTCTGCTTATCAGTGTCCTGTTTTGTATGGCTATACTTCAGAAGTAAAGCCTGCACTCCACCTTTAGTGTGAAGATGGATGTTCATGAGAAATAACATTCTAATCCTGCGACTGTAAGAACCACACTGGAATGCTCTAATCATTAATGCTTGAAATAGAAAAGGCAGTCTTAACATATAGATATTCCCTGCTTTAAAGCCATTCCATGACAGTGAATTAAGAAGGATACGTTTTTTATTAGCCTGAGTTGACCTAGAACAATGTGCCTAGTGGGCTAGTTGTGTCACTGAAAGCTCTACAAGTTTGCCATCACTGACCTGGAATGTCCTATTTGCAAAGCAGTGTCCACTGCATGGAACTCAGGCCACCATTCCTCCCCTGCACCTGGCTCTGTACTCAGATGCCCCCACTGTAACGTCAGCGTTGCATCAGGTAGGCCTGGTCCTGTGTGTGCCCTTGGCCTGGGGTTGCCCCGGAAATGTTCCTGGTTGGCCCATCAGGACATGGGCTCTATCCTGCTCCAGCGTTTATCTGCCTTGTACTGTATTTTGATTTATGTAGCCCTTGGCTCGAAACTTGTGGTAGCTTGTTAGATTGGGAAGCTGAGAGACTCAGCAGGATCCCTTCTCCATCCTGAATGCGGAGGGCTCAGCGAAGAAGTGCATGTGCACTGTGCTGGTTGGTGTGTTTACACAAATTTAATTTCAACTTTGAAAATGCTGCTGTTAGTTTGCACTGTTGGTAAACTGGATTTTTTCCCCCTTGTTGAAATGGTAACTGTCATATATAATAAGTTGTTAGTAATTATTTTAAAGGTGCTAGATTTTTGTAACGAAATTGAAATGCTTCTTATGCTCCTCTGAAGCACAGCACTGATTTTTTTTTTTAACATCCTGTACTCAATGTGAAGTAACTGATGAGGTCTACTGTAACTGTTTGACCCAAAGTTTTCATTTGTAAGCTTGTAACATTGAGCCATTAAAATTTTCACTGTTCTGTGCATTTGAGCAAAACGTCAATTAAAAATAAAATTCTAGGGGCTGGGGATTTAGCTTGCAAGCAGGCAGTCGTGAGTTCGATCCCTGGTACCGATAAAAAAACGAAAAAGACAAAAAAATAAAATTCTATATAGGATTTTATGCCTAATTATTATTTCCTAAGTGTGTAAAATGTGGGGATGTGTGTTTGATGCTGATCTAGTCCTTTTTAAAAAAATTTTTAAGTGTAGTTTCTTAAGCACTGTGAAGTGGAATTTCAAATATGTGAAATAATACTATTGCCATTAGACAAGGTATTGAGCCATGTCAGACTGTTGGCCTTCTGACCTGGGTTCTGTTCCTGTTTCCAATTATTAACAGGCTTAACTTCTCTAGAGCTTCATTTTCGCAACTATGGAATTGTGATATACACACTAATTGTTGTGCAGATACAGTGAAGTGAAAAAAATCATATAAATTTAAAGGATCCACCCCATGTGGACTGTCCATAGAAGTCCCCGGTTGTTTTGTTTGAGTTTTGAGACAGGGTCTCCCTACAAGGTGAAGACTGGCCTTGAGCTCACTTATTATGTAGCCTGGGCTGGCCTGGAATTCACAGGGGGTCCTCTTGCCTTAGCCTGAGTATTGGGGTTACAGGCATGCACCACCACACCTGTAGGATTTTAAAGGAACAGTAAAAAAAACAAGCCCATAAACCTTGTGACTTGCTGTCTGGTCAGTAATATAAGCCATGGTTGACTCATGTTCCAGTTTTGTGAAGTAACATTACAATAGTTATTCTGTACACAAATCTAAAACCCAGTGTAAACCTTTATTCCAATTTTACCATCTGTTCCATATAACAATTCAAGCTAGAGTACATAATCTTTGTGGAAAGAGGCTTATTACAGAGGGATGTATAAAAATAAAAAGCATCAACTCGAGAAGAGAATTATACCAACTAGTAGCTGGTCAACTAGTACTTAAGGTGGGTATTTTCCTGGTGCATCTTTGGAGGGGTATGAAGCTGATTAAACCCTAAACCTTATAACCAAACTATACTATCTGTGCAGGCAGATAGACACATGTAATTAACCTGCAGCAACTAGATGAAGTGAGTTATGTTAGAAAGCACTAAACTCTTAAAATTGAGATTAATAAGTCTCCTGGTACTGCATGAAATTTGGAGGCTCTGGAGCACTGTTAGCATATTACTGTATATTATATTGCATATTATATCCACTTGGACCTCAATCTTAAACCCACATATATTTCTAGACATAAATCTAGAGTCCAGTTAGGCTCCAGATTAGGCAGCGAGGCTAACTTTGAACTCAAGAGTCACCTGAAATTTCCATTGTGGGCTAAAGGTACAGCTCAGAGGTAGAGCACAGACCCAACTTGCACACTGCCTGGATTCCATCCCCACTACTGTAAAGAAGGAAAAACTTCCCATCATCCTCTTTATCCTTCTTGATATTAACCACGTGTTGAGCAGGAGGGTGGGAAATTTCCATTTCTTGTTATCATTTAGAGCAAATTTCTGTTTCCTTGAAACCACATTATGTATGGTGTGACAACTTTGTTTATAGAATGGAACATCTTAGCCATTTTTTTGTACTTAGTTCCTACAATATCTTTTGAGTAGAAACTGCTCAAAGCCCAGCTAAGGTTGAATGAACTTTAAGGTTAAAAAAAGATTACAGTTGTTAAATCACCTGTAGATGCTGTACCTCTTAACCGCAAGTTTTTTGCATAGTACTCTTGCAGCTCAAAGTATTGTTATTCCCACCTCCCCCACCCCCTACCAAAAAGCAAAGCAACTGTCACATGTTCCTGCGTGTCAGCCTCATTTCTGCAACTCAAAACTTCTGCTGGCCACTGCCTTTTCTGTTTCATACCAACTTATTTAGGCTTAGGGTGAGTTTGTAAGCCCTCATCATCTGGGTGTGTAAGAACAGCCTCATAAAGCACCTTGGCTTCAAAGGAGAGCGCAGAGCTGACGGGGCGCACATCTGCAGAGGTGTCATCAGCAGCCCAACACCGGACACTGGAACAAGTTGCGCGATGTGTACTGTGTAACCTGGGCAGGTAGCTAATGCGAATATGCCACTCGTAACTACATACAACTGAGCAACGTGCTGGCACTTGTAACTAGAAAATGTGCAAAGAAACATGACTCACTGTCCAGGATACGGTATATAGAGCACCCTCTAGGGAAGCAGTCTTTATTTGCATTTTAAGAGAGAACAGATGAAAAATGCTGTGACAGGTTGACATGATGGTCAGTCCCTTTTTGAGTAACTTCCTGGGACGAAGTCACAGGCCTCAGGAAGCAGAACAATGGAATGCAAACACAGAAGTTCCCTATGATTTACCTTAGTGAGTAAACATTGTGGCCTACCTGCAGCCATTCCCAAGGGACCTCACTCATAGTAAATGCCAAGTAAACAAAACGCCAAGCTGCATATAAAAATGTGGTTTTTGCCTATACTGGCCGCTTGTATACAGAAGAATTTTGGTCAGACCATGACAAAAAAAAAAAGGCAGATGGCTATGTGGAATTAAAAGCACAGTTCTTTGTGTCTAAGAATGTTTACTGGTAACACTAACTGTATGATACAGACATTAACTGGGACAGTAGTTTATGTTTCTCTCCCTATCCCAAAAGAAGTGTTAACAGGAAACAGGTGTGAAACAGAGGAGATCATTTACCAGGTTATTTCAGTGCAGCCTATGGGAATGAGTACGAGGTACCCTCGCTGTGTTCCCAGGGGTCGGTTATGTACTAAGTATTTACAGGAGGGTTAGACAAAATAGTCAACTACTAAAGGTATCCAAAAAAGGCCTGAGAAAATCTGGTTAAAATGTATAACCTCGTATTGCTACTGATGGGAATAGTTACTTTTATCTTTTAAAAATAATAAAAAGATTCTGTTAAAAAATATATTTATCCAGAAAGATGTTGATTTGAACTCTAAAAAGCAACATGGACTATCTTTTTCCCTTTTGAATGAAGTGCCACTGAGCTCCATGTTAGTTCCCTTTCTAATTGCAAATCCACCCCTTTCTCTCATGTGAAACCGGAACACGCAGCCAGGTCTTCCTGGGCTCCTTCACAGAGATCCTTCACCGGAGCAGGTGCTGAACACAGGTTTGGTTTGGTTCAGTGTCACAGCCAGCTTGCCCACTTGAAGAACAAGCCATGGGTTCCCCTGGCTATTCCTTTGGGGACAGAACTAGCTGCCTTACGTTCAGCCTGGAGGATCCTGCTCTCAGAGGAACTGCCTCTACAGATTCAAATTGGGACTCTCAATATATAGTGAGGTGGTTTAAAACGATTAATAATTTTTTTAAGGCTAAGGCAACATCCGTGGTCATCTGTATATCTTAATTTGATGCAAATAGTTAACCACAATCTAAAATAGATCCTGTATATATCTCCTCTTTAACTGCAGCTGGGGAGGGGAGGAATGGAATAAGGTGGAATAAGGTGGCGGTGGAGGAGGAATAATGACAATGTTCTAGAAACCCTATATAAAGGTAAAAATAAAGAGTAGATCGGCACAACCATTTCTTTGGTGAACAGTACAAGGTCTTAAATTCTAAACCATTCTACAAAGGCTGCTGCTGCTGCTGCTGCTCTTGTATATAAAAGCACCCTGACTCTGCAATAACTTGTCTTGTATCTCCTTGATAAAAATGTACCTATAAACCTGCGGGCATTGGGGTTTTCGTCTAAAGCTGGTAATAAAAATGTGACCTGCAAGCCTATACAGCTATGGATGATGCTCTCCTCCCCTGAGCCTGGAGATGGGACCTGCCAGGCCCCTCTTCTCCATTCTCGGGAGCATCTGGATGGGCCTGGGAGTCCCTGGTCTTGCACCTCTGTGGAAAGAAGGGGCAGCTGCCGGCGGCACCAAGGGTAGGCCCTCAGTTCCAGGGCTTCAGTTGACATAGCACTCGTGTGCAGCCCAGGGCCTCTGCTTTGTGCAGCCTGTGGGCAGAAAAGTCTACTTCTCAGTGAGTGACAGCTGTAAGACTTGCCGGAGCTCAGCCTCCTCCTCCTGCAGCCGGAGCTCCCGCTCTTCCAGCTCTTTGGCAGAGAGCTCAATGGCCAGCTGCAAATCACTGTCAAAACGGCCTGTCTCACTCAGGGTACCCGGGCACAGACCTTCGGTGCTGGTGAGGAGGCTCTCCTGGATTGCCCTGGTTGGAAAACAGGAAGAAACAAACAGTCGTTACTATTGGCATCATGGTGACAGCACAACTGCATTTTCTATTTTTCTTTTTTTCTTTTCCTTGTTCTTTCTTTCTCTCTTTCTTTCTCTCTCTCTTTCTTTCTTTCTCTTTCTTTCTTTTTCTTTCTTTCGAAACAGAGTCTGTGTGGCTTAGGCTAGCCTTGAGCTTGTGGTGCCCCTCCCGCCTCAGCCTCTTGAGTGCTGGATTACAGGTGTGCATTACTGTAGCTGGCTCTAATAACTGCACGTCTTCACTGCTTACCAAATGCACACTGTGCCAGGCACAATACCATCTACCCTGGGGAGAGGGGGGTAGGTGCTGCATGTGTGTGAAAAACAACGTTCAGAGATCTAATCAGTACTGAGGCTGCAAGCCGAAAGGTCAAACCTGGGTTCTTCATCAGCTGTTCTCCCACATGCAGCACTTCCGTCACCACTCCTGGACACACACTGTCAAGATTAGAGCCAGCTTAATGGGTAGCTGCCACCGGAGGGAGCAGGAGGGCCAACCACTTACATCTGCCCTTGTATTAAGTGGCCGTTTCAACCTCAGTTTGACGAGAGCCACATCATCAAAAGTCATATCAGTTACCTCTCATACTGGGCTTCATAGCTGTGCGTTGGGCTGATCCCTCCATTCGAAGCTGGTCCTGAAAGTTCCTAGTGAAAAGGAAAGTGATACACATGAATAGATGACACTGTTGCCACACTGATACAGAAATGAAACCAGCAAGGACAAAATGAACATCCACATGCATATTATTGACATTGCTGTGCAAAACACTAATAGGGACTTAGGAGCTGGGCATGGTGTTGCACACCTGTAATCCCAGCACTTGGCAGGCTGCGAAAGGAGGATCACAGCTGGCCACCCTGGGTTATGTAGTGAGTTCAAGGCCAGCCTGAACTACATAGCAACACTTGTCACAAAACATCAAACTAACAAACACACCAACTAATAGGCACCTGGGTTACCTTTAACATGACCCCTAAATTTCAGGTCATATTTGGTATAGGGCAGTGATGGCAAACCTTCTAGAGCTTCCAGTAATAACCAACAGCCTGCTGCGGCACATATGCTGTAGGTTCGCTACCACTGGTCTAGGGTGTGTAGGATACACCCTAACTCACGGCCAACACCTGCTTCACACCTAATCACTGCTAAGAACAGCTAACCTCGGGGAGTAAAATGATTCAGGGTTCGTCATCTTAAACTTTGACTACTCACCTTGTCAAAACTTATGGTCTGCAAGGTTTACACAGATGTGGAGGAATAAGATAAGCTCACTTCATGGGAAAGGGAGAGCACTGGGCTGACGGTGATGTCTGGGGAAGCACAAAGGGAACATGTGTAGGGCCTTCGGGCCAGCAGCCTCGGGAACGGCACAGGTCTGAGAGTGGGAAGGTGACTCTCATTACCCAAGCCCTGAGACTTAAGGGTAAAACTGGAAGGTAAGAAGCTTGAGAGTGGCAATATTGGAAGGTGGGTGCTATCCTCAAACCCTGGCCGTCCCATGAAGGAAGGCCTGGGCCTGCCTCACCAGCGAATTTGACATTCTGTGAACACCTACAGAATGAGCAGCGGAGGAGGAAACTAGTGACCAAAGAAATGGACAGCAGGCACCAAGGACACCAGAGGTGGAGAAAGCAGACCAGACACACTGGAGTAGAGCTGAGTGCCCAGAAGGAAGGGGACAGGAGAGGTATATGGTGAGGAAGAGGACCTCAAGCCTCAGACTGTTGTAGCCAGGTGGGGTCTATAAGGACAACCATTTAGGACATCAAAAGGCAACTGCCCAGGTGTGTCCTGTCTTAGCTCTACATTTTGGGAGACACTTAGTTTAAGAAGATGATAGTCCTTGCAATGAAATACCACATTTGAAGAACAGAATTTATACAATTTTTACAAGCTGGATATGGTGGTGTATGCTTGTAATCTCAGCAATTGGGAGGCTGAGACAAGAGGACAGCACTTGGGCAGTTGAGACAGGAGGATTGCTGCAAGTTCAAGGCCAGCCTAGGCTACATAGTAAATTCAAGGTCAGCCTGAACTACACAGTGAGACCCTATCTCAAAAAAAAAAAAAATTTCACAGAGAATCAATAACCATTTGCATCTCACATGATGTCTGGTCTTCACTGGGGAGGAGGGAGCTAAAGTCCACAGCACTACCTTCCTCTAAGACCACTAACATTTGTAATATTTAGGAAAATCTTCATGGTGTAAATTAGCCTGAAATCTACTTTAGTATTAGAAAATGATGGGCTGGGGATTTAGCTCAGCAGCATAAGCGCCTGCCTTGCAAGCAGGCAGTTGTAAGTTCGATCCCTGGTACCAATAAAAACGAAAAAAGACAAAAAAAAAAAAAAAAAAGATAAAGCACATCTCAAAAAATACACAATTATTAGCTGCATTGGTGAACATAAGGAAAAGAAGGTCTGTCTGAGACACTTTGTGAATGACGCTGGCTGGGGTTATGCAGGTGGTCTCAATACAGTAAGCTTTTGTTAAGAGTCCAGGTTCATAAAACATAAAATGATCTATGTAGATACCATGAATGCACCAAGCAGGCCAAAGCAGAGGGTGGCACTTCCCAAGCCCTGCTGTTTACTCTAACAGACATACTTGGTTCCTGCTGGACTCCAACAGGCTCTGCTGGATGGCAAACTGCATTATCTCATAATCTTCATCTTGCAAATGCACATTTCTTCCATTGTCTTGAATATGGTAAGACTCAGGAATTTCAAACACAGATTGATCAACCTCAAAGTTTGTGAGCTGGGAAGCTGAAGCACAGAAGACAACAGGGTCTGACCTAAGTAAAATACATTTTCACTTTCAACATTTTTGGGGAGGGCGGGTAGTGCTGGAAATTGAACCTAGGGTCTAGTACAGTGATGGCGAACCTTTTAGAGCTTTCAATGCTACAAAGAGCCGGCTGCAGCACGTGCGCCATAGGGTCACCCCCACTGGTCTACTGCATGATACACAAATGCTGTAACACTGAGCTACATCCCCAAATAGGTGGCTATTTCCTCGCCACCTCTGTGACACAGGATCTCAAGATATTCCCAAGCTGGCTGCAAACCAGCCTGGCACGTATCCATAAATCCAGCTGCTGGGGAGGCTTAGGCAGAAAGACTGCAAGTTTGAGGTATCCCCGGGTAATTTAGCGTGAACTTGTCTTAAAATAAAAAAAGTCTGGAAATGTAGCTCAGTGATAATATGCTCTGGGTTCAATTCCTCATGTCCAAGAAAAAAAATCAAAGTGGTTATAGTCGTATTATGTGAGGAAATTCTGAGAATAATCCACACAGTAAAAGGTACCAGAATATAGGTTTCCTTCTTGGTGCCTTGATTTTCTTAGTGAAAAAACACAACATAGTCAAAAATATAAGGTCATAAAATGAAAAATGAAGATTTCTCTCCCTAAGACAAATCCATTTCCAAACACCAAAGATAGCTAGTGCTTATTTGTATTCTCTGAAGACTGACATACACGGGTGTGTACTGATGTGGGTGAGTATGTATGTGCCTACACACACAGTCACACACCAATCTTTCCCTTCTATTATAAAATATAGTAAATATTTAAGCATACAACATATCTTCACACTTAAAATACAGTAATAATAAAATGTCTCTGTATCTTTCTTCTAGGCAAACACACAAAACATTACCAATACCACACCCCTTCTTACCAGTATCTCCCTTCTGTTTCTCCACAGACAAACACCTAATTAAGAATATTGGTTTTACTATCTAGCTCTTCCCTGGAATTTTGCCACACGTGCACAGACTGAAAAGTGTTTAGCTATTTTGTAACTTTACATAAATGGACTTGTAGGGAATTTACTCTTCAAATTAGATTTTTTGGTTTTGTTTTTGAGATTTACCAATTCTGATACACTAGGGTATTTTTACTACTGCAAATTATTTTATTGTATTAATGTAAAACAATTAGTAGATTTATGATCTCAGGACATGTGGCCACTTCCCAGACTGTTGCTATCATGAACAATGTTACTATATATTATTGGGGTCTCCTTATACTTCCATGCATACATTTCTTGGGGTACAAACCTAGAAATTGCTAGGCTATAGGATGCACATGTCTTTAATGCCAATTTTTTTCAAGAAATTATACCAATTACTTTTCCAACTAAGAGCAGATGAATGTTCCTTTGCTATACAACTCATGAGTGTATAGTACTATCCAACTTTCTTGCCACATTGGGGTGTAAAGTTGTAACAGAAAATGCCTGGCAGTCAGTCTGCTAGTTGCCCAGGTAACAGTTCCTGTTACTTCTGTCTCACAGAAAGCGCTGGTCACTGTGATGCACAGGTGGTCACTATGCTGCATATGGTAAGCACAAATCAAAGACAGCCAAGTACTCTACCTCTGTACTTACCCGTTGCAACAAACCCCATAAAAACCTTGCTCCCTGAGCCTTTGGGGCCTGACATTTTGTGGGATAATTGATTCCCTATCAGTGCATGTTCCATGTTAAATAAATCTGCCTCCAAATCCTGGGTGTTGTTTCAGTGTTTCTGCTTGCTGTTGCAAAATTTTGTATTATTGTTGATTCTAATTTTTTTCTTTTGGTTTTTCTGAAACAGGGTCTTACTAGAACTCACTTTGTAGCCCAGGCTGGCCTCAAACTTTTAGTGATCCCCCTGCCTCAGCCTCCCAAGCACTAGGATTACAGGTGTGTGCCATCATGCCCAGCAACTCTAATTTTTTTATTTGAAGTTTTAATTCACATACACTAAAGTATTACTTTTTAATTCATCATACTGGTAAACTGAAAGGAAGAAAACTATCATTACCATCTTGTACTCATATAAAAACCAGTGGATAAAAATTAATACTTAACAAGTGCCTGCCTGGCAAGTACAACGTCCTGAGTTTGATTCCCAGTACCAAAAAAAAAAAAAAAAAAAAAAAAAATTAAAAATGTTAAAAACTCCCAACAATGGATTTGATCTCCAGCATCACAAAAGAAAAACCAAAAAGAAAAAATTCAACAAACTAGGAGCATGGAGGAAGAGACTCCTCAATATAATGAAGGACATTTATAAAGAATCTATATCTAACACCATACTTAATGATGAAACGTAAAATCAGGAATGAGAGGACAGAGATACAGCTCAGTGGTAGAGCACTTGGCCAGTATGTATGAGATGGCCCTGGGTTCAATCCCAGCACCACCAAAAAAAATCAAAGTCAGGAACAAGGCAATGACATTCATTCTTCCTACTCCCATTCAACACTATAGTTGATGTCCTAAACAGAATAATATAGCAAGAAAAATAAAGGGCTCATATAACTTCCAAGGAAGAGTTAAAATTGTATTGACTTACAGATCACATAATTATGTAAATAGGAAATCTTAAGGACTGTATAAAAAAACTACCAGAAGTATGCAAAAATCTGTTATAGTGCAATGTACTGATTGCTAGAAAATAAATCCACTACAGTGGAATCCAAATATATGACTGGATGGATAGCAAAGGAACATGAAGAAATTTGGAGGCATCTAGAAATGCTGTCTTGACTGTGAAGGTGTTTTGACAGATGCATCTGTTTGTTAAAATGCATTGCCCTATTGCAGTTAAAATTAGACCATTTGAGTACATGTACATTACATTCAGTAGAGCAGATTTATAAGAATATGCTTTCTAATACAAGTGACACCACAGATTCTACAAGTTGTTTTCTCATTTAATCTAAACTTTTCTTATCTAACACAAAAACTTACTTCATAAAGATTCCCAATTTCAAACTAGAAAATTAGCATAATGATTGAATATATAAATTGTTAGTGTTAAGTCACAAAGCTCAACTTTTTTGTTTTTTACCTGAATCAGCCTGGGTCCCTTCCACGTTCTGAGATACAGTTTCTTCAGCAGTACTGCAGCCATTAACATTTCCAAATGTAATCCGTGCATTTAAGACATGAAATAAGGGAATTTCTAACAAAATAAAAGCTTTTATAAATAAGCTTTACTAAGAACAATAATAATAGTAATCATTTACTGAGTGCTTACTAAGCTGATGCTATGCCAAACACTTTTGATCAGTATGACTTAATTTACTCCTCCTCATGTCCCTCAGTGGAGAAAAGGGAGAGCTGAGATGCAAATTCAGACATAAGCCTTTTCTTTCAGATCACAGTAACTAAGTGTTTGAGCCTGGATTCAAGTGTCACAAACATACAACTATTCAAAATTAAAATTTCTCATAAATAACAAAACAGCAATACTGGTTTGTAACTTTATATATCAAAAGATATTGATGTCAACTGGCTTCTTTATTTTTTTAAAAAAAATTTTTTTGTCTTTTTTTCATTTTTATCGGTACTGGGGATCGAACTCACGACTGCCTGCTTGCAAGGCAGGTACTTATGCCGCTGAGCTAAATCCCCAGCCCCAACTGGCTTCTTTAAATAATTATCTAACTGAAGTTTTACTCGGGTAAGGTTTGACATTAAAGCAATGAATATGTCATACTTTCATGCTTTTTTTATCCTGTCAGCACCATCTATAGACAGAACTCATGGCTGGAGATCTCTCAATTTTGATATGCAAAACAAATGAAGATCATGATACTCCTTTAAATCAAATCAGAGGATAATTCTGATCTCTTCCACTGTGTTTATTGTATGATACCTTGTGCCTCATGAGCTGCACTTCTGTTGCCCAGAGCAATGAGCACAACTTGTACTGCTGCTATGTTTTATTTAATGGTACCTATTTTGACAGGAAATCCAGGTGGGAATTCCAGTTTGATGAAATCTCTCAGTCTTGCAAAATGAGCACTAGTTCGAGCCATGAGGTCAATTATGGGAATGACCTGCTCCACAAGGGAGAGGGGAAACTCTTCACACATCCACAGCGTTGCTTTAAACCTGCAGGGTTAGACCAAGAAAAGACAGGGACTGTAGACTCTTGCTATGGGGGAGGGCTGGCTAACACCAGCCTCCTTACTCCATACAAGTTCACATTACTGTATCTCTTAATTAAGAACGATTAAAGGACTGACACAAGAAATTCAGATCAGCCTGAAATCTGGCAACTGGATAAATGGCCTGGATTACAGCCTACCCCCGAGACAGCATTAACTGACAGGAAACAGAAACTGACAGCTGACCGAAATCATTTCATTTGATTGGTCAAGACTTCTTGGTGGTAAAGGAACCAAAATAAAAAAGAATTCTTATATCTCATCTATATACTATTTGAAAAGGGTTAATCAGAAAGACAATCTACTGTGGCTTTCATCAGATAAAGTAATTTAAAAATTCTTCTTAAAGAAAGGGGCAGAGGGGGACTGGGGAGGTAGCTCAGCTGGCAAGTGCAAGGTCCTGAGTTCAACTCCCAATACCCAAAAGGGGGAAAGGGGCGGGAATGACTGACCCTAGCAGCATAACTTCTTTTTTTTTTTTTTTTTTGTCTTTTTCCTCTCAGGGACCGCCTGCTTGCAAGGCAGGTACTTACGCCGCTGAGCTAAATCCCCAGCCCCATAACTTCTGAAATAATCCGTAAATTGAAAAATAACAACCAACTGTCTCTTACTTTTGTGTTCTAATTGTCAGCTCTTTTGGCCTCCCGATGTCTCTGTCTTTCAGATCAAAGTCTTCATCGAAGTACTCATCAGGCGTGATGGCTGTCGGGTTGTTTGCGGTAGCAAACTCCGTGGTGAGGTCCTGCTGAGCCAGAACTCAGGAGAGTCAGAAGTGGCAAATGATGCTCACAAGTGGAGGCCTATGGCACTTGGTCTCTGAGGTAGACATGTTAACCAGCTATAGATCAGGAGGTTCTAATCACTAACTCTTTAAAATAAGTTATTGCATGGAGCAAGCACATCTAAAAAGTTGTTACAAAGCCACATGGCAAGTGTAATGCATTTTCTCACTGAAAAATACTTCTCCACTCTCCTTTGCTTTTTATCCCGTTTATGGAAAAAATAGAAATTTGAAAGTGTGAGATTTAAACTTGGATTTAAGTTCTACCTCTTGTCATTGTCTACCTTAGACACTGGGAAAGAAATTTCATTTTCCTGACCTCATCCTTTGTGCCAAGAGCATATAGTTATAATAGGGATCAAGTAAAAAAATGTTCAAGTGCTCTGTTACAATACAGAGTCCTGAATTCTTTTTAAGTTTCATGTTTACAGAGAGATCTCTAGTTTATTGGGATCTCATTTGACTTTCATAAGCAATCCTCTTTCTAAAATCTTTATTTTCACACTTACTCAACTAATTCTCTTCCAAAAGAGTATCAAATTTCCTTTTTGTTTGTTGTTTTGGTACCAGGGACTGAACTCACGACCTTGCGCTTGCCAGGCAGGTGCTTAAGCCACTGAGCTAAATCTCTGGCAAGATTATAAAATTTCAACTTGAGAGTTTTCTAACTTTTCTGATACAGTGGCCTTCTTCTGACACACGTAAGCGCTATCAGAAGGACACAAAAGTTCATTCTCTTCATTACACTGCACTATAAGAACGTGGTTCCAACTTACCCCTTGAGCACCAAACTGATGTTCCACAGTTCCCAGCAGAGATTCCAGTGGGTTCCTGTCCGCTACAGATGGGAGAAAAGTTGAATGTCTCATATGGCATCTTACTTGTTGCTATTGAAAAGTTCCTTATCATATTTTTAAAATTAGTGATCCAAGCTAATTATACTAGAAAATCCTTTTAGAGACAGGCTGATAAAATTATCCACAAAATCTAATTTATTCCTTATAAATACTGTTTATTAGGAACAATTATAGAACAATAGAGGAACAATTATAAAAACTCAAACAGATTTAAGGCTATGCACCTAGGATAAAACAAAACAAAACAAAAAACCTCAAACAGAATTGCAGAGTCTAAATTTAGGAGTGAGCCAGGTCTCTATGCTTATCTCGTCTTGGCCCTTCACTGCTGTGTGTGCTGAGCTCAGTTCCCTTGTCTGTCAGCTGGAGCTGCAGTAACAGTTGCAATGGTGCTAGTGGTTACCACAGGCTGTAAGCACTATTCAAGAGGTTTACATGTGGCAACTCCTCTAATTCTCTCAGTTACACTAAGAAAAACACTGTAATCACCTCCATTTTACTGCTGAGGAAACTGAGGCACAGCGGGTCCCTACTTTCACAAGGCCACAAAGCTGACAGAGCCAGGCTATGGCCACTATGTACTGGCAACGTTTTGGCTCAGAGCCTAAGTTCCATTCCAATCTTTTATCACAATAATTTAGACTGAATCACTCATTCTAATGATAATGTTTTCCAATATTCATATCAGCTTTCTTGGTTGAATGTAACAATTGTTCATTAGAACAAATAAACAAGCCCTCATAAATGCTTTTAATTATAGCTGAACCCAACTATGGGGAAACACTCCAAGAATAAATCAGTCTAGGGAAATCTTTATCATAAGAAGTTAGGGTTAGGATTAGCATGTCCCAACCACATTATCCAAAACTTAACAGTGCAAACAAAGCCTCTCTATAGACTAAAAATATAGAAGACAAAAAAAGAAAAGAAAAATAGAGGTGGGAGGCAGTAGTGATTACCTTTGTATCTCTTTTTTTCCTCCTCAGTAAGATGCTCTGTGCGTATTTTGGTTATCACACTCACATTGTTTACTGTGTAAACCTTGAGAGATGTGTGCAAAAGAAAACAGTGACACAGGGAATCAAAACTCAAAAAGTAAGCACAGCACGAGCAAGAATGCTGAAGCAAAAAAAAAGAAAGAAAGAAAGAAAGAAAAATATCCAGCAAAATAAAAATGAGAAATGGTTAACAATCATTAGAATCCTTTAGAGGAAATACACAAACAGAAATATATCAGCAGTTTAATGCCGAGCAGCTAACAGTGACAGGCTGCATCTGCCTAGTTGCCCTTCTTGTTGCTAAATGGTCTCAAACAAATACTCGGTAGGTTTCCCACCTGGGTTCCTATTGCACTAGAAGACCCAACCCTGTCTCCAGTACTTCCACTCATCTGTGATAATCTTCTAATAGTACTAATTCAGACAGCCACCTGCTGGACAGAAGGAGAAGGAATGAACACAGGTTCTCTACACCTGTAAGGTTGAGAGAAAACCAGCAAGTCACTATTGAAAAGATGTTGGGTCTACTGGCAAAAAAAAAAAAAAAACTATTATAATTGCCAGAAGAGATCATCTGAAATACAGTGATCTGAAAGGAATACAGTGATCTGAAAGTTAAATACAACAGTTAACAGAGAATTAACTGTTTATGCCATATGTGGATTCCCAATGTTGAAAGCTGCAGAAAACATACTCAGCACTAGCAGTAATGTTTCTAAATGCATTTGCTGAGCATGATGTGAGCTCTGCTCACCCAAGGACCCTGCAAGCCATCCATCCCTGCTGTACTGCAAGACTCAGGAAAGGTCAGCAAACAGATGTCCAGCTGACAAAATGCCAGGTTACTACACAGTCATCTCCACTATGACAGCAATGTTTTAAATTCACTGATGTCATGTAAATGGGCTGTGAATCTATTGGTTACAATTTGGCTGATTTAAAAAAAAAACTTAAGAGTTAAACAAAAAAAATGTTATACAAAAGCAACTATATACATATTCTTAAAGCCATTCAAGTTATAAAAAAAAATTAACAAGCATGCTAAATCTAACCCTTTCTTTTTTCTTTCTACTTTAGCTACTTTGTCTCTTTGTACTTATTTCTTTCTACAACATTGCTTCTCTATGGCACCACTAAAGACCTCCTCAGAACAGCTATCCTATTTTTTGAAAGTCAAATAAGATAAAACATCCAAGTGAGACACACATTAGACAATACTTATTCCCCAGGGGAGCTTCATGGCACAGATGCATGAAAAAAAATCTGAACAGACTCCTCATTTGCATAGAAGCTAATAGCTATATTAAATCTTATTTTAAGAGTTTCCTTTTACCTTTGCTTCGTAACCATTAACAACTTCTGCTTTATCTGTCCTCCAGCCCCAGAATCCGGATTTAGTTCTGATAAAAAGTGAACACCACAAATTTCTACATGTACAATATGCCATTCAGATTTATTCCTGCAGCCTTTACAATTTTTCCCCCACCTTAAGTTAGTGAAGGACACTTGGAAATCATGGTCCTACTATTGTCCACAAAAGGATGCTACCAATTGACAGATGGCTTAAACATCTCCCACCCTCCTCCCACAGTTAATCAGTTTGCCTCATTCCAGGCACAGAAAGTCTCCATTCTTGGCTTCTTTATAAAAACTGCCAGCATCAGGGACAAGGGTAGTGACATTTATTGGACAGCTGTCCTAAAGTTAAGTGAGTGAAGATGACCAGCCTCCAAAGGTTCACCACAAGGAGGCATCCAGGAGGTATCACCAGAGCACTGATCTGGGTTATCTAAACTGTGGGCATGGGTATCAGATGCTCAGTTCCTATAAGCAGCCATATCTCCATCCAGCAATCCTCAGAACAATGAGGCAGGGTATTTTCCTCTTCAGAACAAAAGGGGATAGAACAGGAATTCCTCACTGTGTCTGCCAGGATAAGCTATTAAAGCCTGCAGAATGGCTTGTGATTCATACATTTTACCAAGTTTAGTGCAATAGGGAGAAATGATATTAAAATGATTTTTCAACCCAGCTGCTGATTCCAGTCTATGGAACTGCTTTTAAAGTAACGCAGCTTTCCAATGGCAGCTGCAACATTGGTTTTGTGCCCACAAGGCCCGTTAATTTAACTCTACATATTTCTGGAAAAAATATTTTTAGGACTCAAGAACAGCCAAGAGGTTCTGATTCGTTTCAAAGAACTTTCCCTGGGAAAAGCTACCACTCTAAGGGGAGCCCTGCCCAGCCCTGTCCTTTGTCTAGGACATCACATCCTAGCTCTTGTCAGCCCTGTAAAGGGCAAAAGCCTGCCTTCTGTTCTGACCCCTGAGTGAAGGCAGATGTCATAAAGAAGCTCAGGGAACACTGGCAGGTTAGCAAAGTTACAAAAACACTCATTTACATTTTGTGTTTCTAAATGCTTTGCTTCCTTTCTAACAGAATTTGGTTAATGAAATTAATCTAGATGAGACATAATGAACTTTATGTGTAATTTTTAACCTGTGAGAGAAAGAGGGAACCAGAGCTTTAATCTTCCTCTTCATTATCTACAATTCAAACAACAGGACCCACTGCCATGGAAAAGGCAAAATCTTAAAGAGATTACACCAAATGATAATTTACACTGCAGAAGCAAAATAATTAACAGCTACAGGGCTGAAAGCTAAAACAGGGCCTCACCAAAAACTTACTGATTAATAAGGCACAGACCCCACCTATCCATCAATTGAAAATAGAGATATTCCTTGTAGCTAACTAATTCAATCCTCAATTCCTTGTCTTCGCATTAAGCCCCTTTTGTTTTCTGGCATTTGATCCTCTGAGGGACCAACATATGACAAATCTGTTCCACTCTGTCTTTCCTACACACTGAAAACGAAGCTTTGTTGTTCTCCCAAGGACCCAACAGACTCTTCAGTCATCTACATCTACCTTATCACAATCCTGGCTCCTGCTGTCCTTTGCATAGCCACTCAGAGCAGTTTAGTTAGTAAACTCAGAGTGTCTACACCCTGTTTTAAAAACCAATATTTTAACAAGCCATTGGCCCCCGAGTGACGCTGCATGTACTGCCATCTAAGGGTGACAGAACAGCAAGCTTCCTCCTGCACATTTTCACCTCTACCTGTCTCCCAAGGCTACTTGGCAGGTACTATGCAGGGGCAACTGCCACACAAATTGGAGAAAAGGTCTGAAATGGCAGAGAATGTTTGATTTCAGATAAATGGAGCATAATCTTTCGAAGAGAAAAGCTTAAAGTGTAATCACAAAGTATACACTGATGACCAGACGATCATAGAAGATCATCAGGGAAGGGTAGTAATTGCAAGTATCAAGTTCTGAGTAACAGACTGGAAGAAATGGACAAAAGCAACTATGATGAACAGGAGAAAGCCACTCTTCCCACATTCAGTCAAAGAAATGCTCGTATCTTGTTAGAAGCAGCTGCGCACACATGTTGTACAAACATCCTCACATTCAAGGCTGCTCAAATCCTTGCTAGATGAAAGTCAAGCTCACTCTGATTACACATTTAATTCTGATCGTAAAAAAAAAAAGTTGTCTTCCAGAAATTCACATTCAGCAGCCTACTGTCAACTGCAAAAGGAGAGTTAACTGTAACTTTTTGAAAATTCTATGACCGTGCAAATACACAATATCCTTTCATCCTCAGTGCAAATGGAATGTGCTATCCCATCTGCACTCCACTGGGTAAAAACAGTAACTGGCACACTTACTAGCAAACAATGACTAGCAACTCTGCTAATGAACTACTTAGGGAACAATGTCTCTTTGCGTAACAAAGTCACAGACTTTAGAGTCTTCATTTTGAGACACTCATGTGTTTTCTTTCCACTAAGGAACCAGAAACCAGAGCAATCAAGCATGTGCCCAAAACCAGAGCTGTGCTGCTGGTGCGTGGCCTCTCCCACTCTCCCCTCACCTCATCTCAGGCAGTGAGCGGGCTGCCTTCTCTACCTCCTGTGCTACAGAGAGCCCTAAGCTAAAGGTGTTCACTCCGTCTGCAGAGGCTGTGCTGATGCCTGGAGATACCATCCCAAGACTCTTCCAGGTAAAGGCACCTAAACCTTATTGTCCCTGCAGGACAACAGCTGTCAACTGCTAAGACTGGTGGGAGGAGGCTGGAGAGAGGACCTCCCTGCAACAGGGAACCTTACTGTTCCTATCTAAGTAGAAGCAGCCTCTGGACACCACACCGGCTGTGGGGTTTGCTTTTTCCTCCTGTTACTAACACATACCTAATTCCACTTAGAAGAAAAGGCCACTTAAGTTACATGTTTGACTGAACAGAAATGTCAAAGTATTTTTTGTTGGTGGTGGTGTTAGTTTTTTGTTTGTTTTGTTAGTGGGAATTAAACTCAAGGCTTTTTTTTTTTTCCACCACTATACTAATGAGGAAAACTCAAGGCTTTTGCACGAGCTACATTCCCAGCCCTCTCTCTGTTTCATTTTTGTTTTAGATAGGGACTTGCTAAATTGCTCAGGCTAGGCTCAAAGTTTTAATCCTCCTTCCTCAGCCTTCCAGAGTCCTGGGATTACAGGTGTGTTCCACTACAGCCAGCTTCTCAGGTTTTCATTTTTTTTATTTTTCAGGTACTGAGAATTGAACTCAGGACCTTGCACTTGCCACGTAGTCATTGTACCACGGAGCTAAATCCCTGGCCCTTCTCAGGCTTTTAAAAACTAATTTTACCTCAAAAATAAAGAAAAGAAAAATTTTAAAAGATGACAGCATATTCATGAAGAGAAAAAGAATTTCTAAATTCAGGATAACAGTGTCCATGTCAGCTCAGTTTATGCTACTTGGTTTACAGAGAGCTAGATGTGACATCCTAGGCAAATACTAAGGACAATTATGGATTCCCCCAGTTCAGTGTGTTCCATTACAGAAATCTTATGAAAACTTCTACATTCCTGACACTTGAAGGCCCCCCACAGCCCCTGTGTAATATCCAGATAGTGTTCCCATCTGGGTTAATCCAGGTACAGAATTCTCCTCACACAGTCTGGAACAAAACTGAATCCCCCACATGTTTGTTCTGAACTATTAGACCTCATAAGTGGGAGAAAGAACCATATCTAATTATATAGTAAGAACAAATTTTACTGGTTAATATTAATACAACCAAATTCAATACAGAGTTAATTCTTGCTTCTAGAAACTAATAGCTCTACAGTTTGTGGCTAAGGAGTATTGTGGGTCCAAAAATGCCATAACAAGGATAAAATACACTAGATAGGGCCCATATTAAAAAACATGAAGACATTTATTCAAGGTTTAACCAATACTCTATAAAAACGATAGCCAATGTAAGACATCATCTATGGTTTATATTTGGTTAGAGATAAATCTTAAAACCCACTAGTGTTTATGTAACAGTAGAAAGAAATCCTAATCCACCATAATTTCTGGTTAACATATACATATCACTCAAGATGTCAGGACAGGGAATAGACATTAAAACCTGGAGTCTACATTCATACCTTTCAAAAGCAATATTTTTAGTATCAAGGCTGGTGTTAATGACTGGGTTTGTGAGCCGCCTCTCAACTTCCCTGCTCTTTGGCTTCATCAAGTCCAGTGTGAGGCGCTCCATTTCTTGGGAAAGATCAAAATGTTCCGTAGTGACCACTTTATCATCGTGGTTGACTTCCATCAACTCTGCCCAATTGTCTGTTAGCATAACGCAAGGAAGACACACAAACAAGTAAGTTTCCCGTGTTAAAACGCACCATTCACCTTTCACAGCTTTGCTTCTGGATACTGGCTGATAAAAGCTAGAGTATTATTTACTATTGATTTCCTATTTCCAAAGGGCTTATATAGCTAGGTTTCTAAACCTCATGTTTCCCAAAGATGCAGATTTTTAAAAACAAACTGCATTCTTTATTAGCAACATATTTTTCTATAACCCTTATAACATATATTATAGAGTTAATGTACCTACTTCACGAGGTGAGCAATATCATTTCTTGTCCTCCATTTGGAGGATCATGCCTAATTACAGAGGGAACATAAAGAAATCTATGACAGAGGCTTGTGTTCAAAGGCTCAGGAACATAAGGAACATAAGCCGTCTCACCTGTCACAAGGGTGGCAGTGTTGGATGGTAAATGAAATGTGCAAGACAATTAACCAGACAAAAACTAAGACAGGGATAGGGCTGAAAAACTAGTATGAATAACCAAAAACAAATACCCCAGACAGGATCAGTCAGATAAGGTGCGTGAATGTGAAACCATTTTGTTGGTTAACATTCACTCTGTAATGTAGTTTAAACTGTGATTACAACAATGGAATCCACTCACCTTCTCCTTTAAATATAAAACTACGCCTCCCTCTTATCCAGCTCATATTTTCAAATCCCAGCAATGTGATATCAACACGCAGTTTGGCGCCACTTTTCCAAATTCGACAGACATCATTTGGGCATATTCTGGAAACCAAGGGCACTGGAGGAGAGAAGTGCATAACTAAGAAAAACCCCAGGCCAAGCAGAACCCAGGCCGGAACTCAGAATTCTGACTTGAAGAGGAGGAGGGTGGCAAGACTGTGACTATCAAACACAGCTGGACTCCCACACTCGGCTCACACACTTACAATACAGGAAGCCACCCTAAATAATAAAAACGGAGGGGCCAGGGATACACGTCAGCGGCACAGTGCCTGCCTGGCAAGCATGAGGTCGAATTTGATCCCTGGTACAAAAAAAAAAAAAAAAGAAAGAAAGAAAGAAAAGAAAAGTGGAGAAGTCAGGGTGATAGTGTACATCTACAATCCCTCCTGCCTCAGGAGGCTGAAGCAGGAGGATCCCTTTGAGTTCAAGGCCAGCCCAAACTGCATAGTGAAACCTTATCTCAAAAAGGTAAACAAACAAATAAATAAAATTAAAATGGAGGAGCTACATATATGTCTCAGTGGTACAGTGTGGGCTTGACATGCTTAAGGCCCTGAGTTTCATTCTCAGCATCAAATAAATACATTTCAAAAAGTGGACCTTCTGTTCAATTTATCTAAATGAATTTCTCAAGAGTATTCTGGATCCTGAACAGAACCCACTTATTGATCCCCATGAGGGCACTGAGCGTTTGCCATCTGGCCTTTCTCATTCACGTGTGCTATTCTTGCCATATGGCTTATTGTTATATCCACCACTGAGAATATCAAATGTCTACAAGATCCTACTTTCCAACAAAACCTGAATTCAGAGCGACTATTTGCATTAGAAAAGAACTCCTTATTTTCTCAGAAAAAATGTAATGTTCTTTTTTATAGTTCTTACTTCATTTAATTAGGTATTCCATTATGTGGGGGCTTTTTGTATTTTTGTTGTTTTGGGGATAAAATTCATGACCTCGTGCTTGCCAAGCAGGCGCTTATGCCGCTGAGCTATGTGTCTGGCCAAGTATTCCATTATGAATATGACTTCTTGCCTGAAAACAGAAGTCCATAAATAAGAATGGCTGACGCTCTGGGAGCTAGGTGTTACTGTTAACTGGCTGACAAGGAAAAGTAGACCATGTATGAAAATATATTATATAACACTTTGGAGACATATATCCATTTTGTAAAAAACAAGCTATTCTTATATTTGCCTCATCTTCCCCAAAATAACAAATTTGAAAGAATCAAACTGAATCCCATAAGGAAATGGGCAAGTTATAAGTCTGCTTCCTAAGATTTTAGCAATTTAAAGGAACATTTAAAATAACATTTAAGACACATTATGGTGGCCATTGTTGATTTTTCTATTGTCTGTTTTTTTTTGTACCAGGGATCAAACTCATGACCATGAGTTTGCAAGGCAGGTGCTTATGCCACTGAGCTGAATCCCCGGCCCTATTGTCTGGTTTGAAGGCCTGTAATGCTTTCATTCTTTTGTTTTGATCAGTTTTATACTATTTTGTCTTGTTTAAATTCATTGTGTGTGACAATATGGACAACTATTTCAAAGAAAAAAGAGACATGTTGGTAGCCACTGCTGATTTCCTGTTGTCTTATATTGAAGTTCTGTGTTGTTTGCATTATTTTGTTCTGATCTTCTTTGCTCTGTTTTATTCTCTTTAAAATAAAAAAGTTAAAGTAATATTTAAGAAACAAATCCTTTTTTTTTTTTTTGTACCAGGGATCAAACTCATGACTTCGCACTTATCAGGCAAGTGCTTGCACTGCTGAGCTATATCCTCAACCCTAAAAATAATATTTAAAATATAAAAATATTTAAAATAATAAGACGGCCAGGCATGGTGATATGGCTTATATTCTTCAGCTACTCAGGAGGCCGAGAAAGGAGATTACTCGAGCCCACAAAGCCAGGTGTGCTGGTTCATGTCTATAATCCTAGCACTTGGGAGGCTGAGGCAAGAGGGCTGCTATGAGTCCAAGGATAGACCGCTACATAAGTGAGCTCCAGGCCAGCCTGCACTAAATAGCAAGACCCTGTCTCAAAAAAACCAAAACATAAGAACTAATGAAATCGGGGCTGGGGATTTAGCTCAGCGGCATAAGCGCCTGCCTTGCAAGCAGGCAGTCGTGAGTTCAATCCCTGGTACCGATACAAACGAAAAAGACAAAAAAAAAAAAAAGAACTAATGAAATGGATAAGTCGACAAAACTGTCCACACAGTGTATTTATACAGGTGGGGCAATGCCTGGGGAGAAAGACCGAAGGAAAACAAAGTGAGCCAGGAAGTGGCTTTAATTTTGTTTGTCTTCATTTTTCTCTTTGCATTTCCTAGATCTAGACTTTTTTTTAAAAATACACAAAACTTTTACAAAGCAAAATAAACTTATATGTAGGCTAAGTAAATCTGGAAACAGAAACAAATTACAAGGCTACATCCACTCACCCCAGCTGGTGAACTCCCATTTCATCTGCACATAGAAGTCTGGAGCCTGAAGGACAGACAGAGGGTTAACCTACTTGCGATATTAACATATACAGAGAAAGGATGAATACGGCTTTTTAAAAAATTAAGGGAAAACAGAGAAAATAAGAGGAAACAAAGTACCAATCCACTAAATAGATACTTATTTTATATGTAAGCAGTTATTTTACCTTGAAATAAAATATATCTAGATAGGAAGTTAACAGAAAGTGATGAGGTTGAAAAGGAATAGAATAGGATTTGGAAGCTCAGAAAGGTCCCTAAAAGTGACAGAAATGTAAGCCTTGGAAGATGGGCTTGGTGCTGCTACCCAGGGAGGTCACGGTCTGCTTTCCACAGAGTGAAGGAACATCAGTCCGTCTATTCTGTGGGACTCTCACTGTGAGCTGGGAAGTCCTGCATATTCACTGGGCCGTCAAAACTGAGTCCGCAGGACATCATGTCCTAGGAATTGAATTTTTCTTATAGTTAACAAGAATTTGCCCCAAATTTCTTTTAAACTTTTAGAAGTTGGCTTTTTTGAAGTTTTATTCTACCAGCTGTTTTGTTCCCTCGCAGCCCCAAGGATTTGCTGTGGTTTCTACAGAAGCACAAAGCAGGAAAGCCGGAAATCTACCCTGGAGTGAAACCGGCCAGAATTTCAGTGATGAACTGAAAGGACTTTCACGAAAGGCTGGTACACAGTGGGTATGGGGGTGCATACCTGTATCCCAGCACGCTAGGAGGCTGAGGCAGGGAAATCTCAAGTTCAAGCCCAGACTGGGCAACTTAGTAAGCCCCTATCTCAGGAGAAAAAAAAGAAGACGGGAGGTGTTCTCAGTACAAGGGTTCAAACTCTAGAAAAAAAGAAGGCGGAGAGGCAACTAACATGTTATAAGAAGACACTGTGGGATAAACATCAACAGCAGCCTCTGGTGCCAATAAGTTCACAAGGCATTTATAAGCATATTACTTTAAGCAGAGAATACAAATCAATGCATTCCACTGCTGTGGATCACTGCAGGTTAAAACAGAAAATCCTTTCTACCAAACTTTTTAAATAAAGGGAGACCTCATGTTACATAATATTTTTTTGGTACTGGGAATTGAACTCAGGACCTTGTGCTTGCCAGGCAGGTGCTTATGCCACTGAGCTACATCCCTGATGTCATAAATTTTTTTTTTTTTTGTCTTTTTTGAGACGGGGTCTCGCTATGCAGTTCAGGCTGGCCTTGAGCTCACTTTGTAGCCCAGGCTGGTCTCGAACTCGCAACGATCCTCCCACCTCAGCCTCCTGAGTGCTGGGATTACAAGAGTGAGCCACCACGCCCAGCTAAAAAATATTTTTTAAAGATTGCTCAAATAATGACTATTATCTTTTTTATAACAAAGTTGTTCTTTTTCTACATAGAACTATTAATGTTCTTCAAGAAATGTGCTTTAAGTAAAACTGTAGAGCTGTTTTAACTACTTAGGAATTATGTGGGGAAACTCACATTCATAGATAAGTGCAGAATAAATAATAGTGAAAATTGAACTACTGCTATTTTGTTGTCTCCTATTGCTCTTGGAATATTGCACTTGATTTACTGATAAGTTGGTTCTTTCAAATAACAAAGAGTATCAGAAGAATGCAATCCTCATCCTTGAGCCTAAAGTGCCTAGAAAGAGCCTTAAAAAGGCCTGTGAGAGTTACACAGCCTACACTTCAGTTCACAGGACAGATAAACTGCACAAGAGCCAGTAACTGCAAACAAATTAAGCCAGTGGATTAGATGTTACAAAATACTCATGGCTGGAAATGGCAAAGCTGACAAACAAAAGTCACACGCAGACCCCTGGGCCTCAGCAGGCCCTGCAGACACCTTCACAGTAAATCATGCACTGTAACTCCATTTCCTTCTGACTACCTGCGTGCAGCGTGCTGCTTTTAAGAAAACGTTCATTTTCCTTAAATTATAATTTTAAAATAGCGCTTAAAAAGGTGGCCCAATGACAAGAAACATAATTTTTTGAGAGGTCCCATATTTCAACGAAGTGGACAAGCAAGGAACAGTGCTATCTGGCAACCAAAATATATTCAGTACTGGTGAAACTCTAAGGAAGGTACCTGAGGGTGTCAATTCTAGCTAGTATACCAGCATTTAGCCTAGAAGACCGCATGCCTAGTTTTATGATACCTCAAGAATTTTATGTAGCAGCTCAGGAACCCCCTCGAGGGCCATAGACGTGTTGTGGTAGTCTCGGTGTTGCAGAACTGTGTACACCATTTCGGGATCCCCAGTGCTCACAGCCTCATGTAAAACTGGAAAACCAAAGGGGAAAGTTTAACCACCAAGTATTCTCATCGTTTCTTACCAAGCCACTCTGCAAAATATCAGCGAAGATCATAAACCAATTTGCTACAAACAGGCAGACACTACCAGGTATGACTCAACTCCTGATCTCTAGCTTGTCACTGAATAAAAACAAAACAGAGCACCGTTGGCATCTTGATCAAACCTTTTCCACCCTCTCCCACCCTCCCAGTGCTGGTTGTGAAGGACTGAAAGTGTTTCCAGAGAGCTGGATTTAACTGTGAGGTCACGCGCTGTGGCTGCATGCAAATCGGAGGGCCAGGACTTGCACTTAGGAGAATCTGCTCAGTTGACACAAAGTTAACAGTAAGAGAGTGTGCAAAACAGTGAAATGCTAGGATTTCACCAGAAGAGACTATTTCTATCAACAATTTCTTTTTTATTTTTGCCTACCCTGATGGGTTCAGTAGTGTTTCCACCATGTTCCCAGGTAAACTGGCTTCCGCACTCAAGCATGGTGTTTCTGAAAAGGAACTACCCCAGCAAGGGTTCGAGCTACTGTGCAGCAGACAAGCCAGCTCCCATCTTCCTGCCCTAACCCTTCCCAAGAGAGACACAGCTGGCTGGCAGGGAGATCACAACTGAAACTAGTCTTTCTCAGAAAGAGAAACTGAAATGAACAGCTTTAAATTATTATACAAGTGGGCCGGGATATAGGTCAGCGGCACAGTGCCTGCCTGGCAAGCGCAACATCCTGAGTTCAATTCCCCATTCCAAAAAGAAAAAAAAGAAAGAAAAAAAAGAAAAAGAAATCAATCAATCAATACATAAATTACCAGGGATTTCAGTGGCATAAGCACCTGCCTAGCAAACGTGAGTGAGGTTGTGAGTTTGATCCCCTGTACCGAAAAAACAAACAAACAAACACACAACAAAACAAAACATATATAAATCTACAAGGATACTCACCTGTCCATCCCTGGCGGTTTTCTTTAGTCACATCTGCTTTATGTCGGAGCAAGACTCGTGCAGATTCTAAATGTCCCAAAGACACTGCAAGGTGCAGTAATGTTCTGCCTCGTGGATCCAGAGCCTCCACATTCTGTGAAGGAAACATTGGCATTTATATAATTCTTATAATTATATAAGAACATGAAGATGTTATTGAGAACTACATTAAGCATAAAAAGTAAAAGGCAGTATTTTAATTAATTATGGAAACATATAGGTCTGGCAAGTGTAAGGTCCTGAGATCAATTCCCAGCACAAAAAAAGAGAAAAAAAAGGGCCAGGGATATAGCTCAGAGGCACAGTGCCTGCCAGGGAAGCATGTGGTCCTGAGTTCGACTCCAAGTACCAAAAAAAGAAAGAAAGAAAGAAAAGAAAGATGCAAAGAGGTATGTGTGCATGTGGGCATAGTTGAATTATGAAGGCCAGGAGTGATGGTGCATGCCTGTAATCCCAGTCATTGGGAGGCTGAGGCAGGAGAATTACTGTGAGTTTAAAGCCAGTCTGGGCTATAAAGTGAGTTCAAAGCCAGCCTGAGCTGCACAGCAAGACCCTGTCTAAAAAAAAAAAAAAAAAAAAAAAAAATCTAGGGTGACCAATTAAGACTGTAGTTACTGAACTCCTTTTTTTTTTTTTATTTTGAGCCAGGGTCTCACCATGCAGTTCGGACTGGCCGGGAACTCACTTTGTGCTGGCATTATAGGTGTGTGTCATCAGGCTCAGGTCTAAATCCCTTTTTTTTTTTCATTAAAAAAATGCTAAAGCTGTGAGCTCCTTCTTCTATAAAGTTAAGTACCCAATAAATACATATGGCTGCCAGGCGTGGTGGCTCACGCCTGTAATCCCAGCACTCGGGAGGCTGAGGCAGAAGAATCGTTGCGAGTTTGAGACCAGCCTGGGCTACAAAGTGAGCTCAAAGCCAGCCTGAGCTGCACAGAGAGACCCGGTCTCAAAAAGACAAAAAAAATATATATATATATATATATGGCCATATGCCTCCGATCATACGACACAACCTGAGGCTCTCAACAGCACTCTGCGCCTAGGATTTCATGACAAGCAACTGCCTTCCCACACAATATGGGGGATTTCTCAAGCACATATCAGCATTCAAGTCTAGAACAGGAAGTACAGACAGAACTTTAATCAAAACTGAAAGCACACAGAAGATAATTTGGAGCAGAATAAAAGTTACACCCTGTAGCTGGATTTGCACCAAACACCTCTTTCATGAATCCTGCTGGGTTCCAAGCCCTCTGAAGGAACATACACAGCATCTGCCTGTCTGCCTGACAAGCACACGATGGCGAGGTACATACGTGGGTACTTCTGTAGAGAAACGTAACGACACACTCTATTTCCAATCCTTCCTTCGGGGTTTCTTTCCTGCACTACACAGACAGGCTTGCTTTTATCTCTTCATTGCTATGCTGCTTTCAAGGCCTCCTTTCAGCATCGTATCTCCGCAGCCAAGCAGCAGTTTCTCTGCTGCTTTTAAGTCTCAATGGCTGGATACAACCTGAGAAACAGGTTTCTGAAGGTTCTTCCGAGGACACACTGGACTGCCACAAGGCTTTTAGAACACAAATCCTTTTACTATGCCATAACATTTCTTGTGAAATGTGTTTTATCTTGGTTTGGGATGCTAGAGGTTATGCAGGACTATCTGCAATTTGCAAAGACTGACACAACATGACACTTAAGAACATAAATGCCCATCAACTGAGAAATGGATAAAAAAGATGTGGTATTTTTATACAATGGAGTACTATTCAGCCATAAAGAAGGATAAGCTTGAGACTTTTATAGGTAAATGGATGCAACTTGAGACCATACTCATAAGTGAAATAAATCAGACACCCATGTGTAAACATCATATTGTCTCACTAATGTGAGAGGCTGAAACAATATATATATATACATAGATAGATAGATAGATACACACATATATACAAAATACGCAATGTATATATTATTGTTACCCCCTAATTTTTTTTGTCTTTTTCATTTTTATCGGTACTGGGGATCTAACTCACGACTGCCTGCTTGCAAGGCAGGCACTTATGCCGCTGAGCTAAATCCCCAGCCCCACCCCCTAATTATTGTATTTTAAAATTTTTTTTTTTTTTTGTACCAGGGATTGAACACACAACCTTGTACAGGCACTGTGCTGCTGAGCTATATCTCCAGTCCTGGGCTTCCCCCCTCGCCCTTTAAAATAAAATATATTTGAAAATAAAAAAATAAAATAAAAATACTGCATTGAGGGCCGGGGATATAACTTAGTGGCACAGTGCCTGCCTTGTAAGAATGAGATTGTGAATTTGATCCCTGGTACCAAAAAAGATTTTTTTAAAACCTTGCATTGGAACCCAATATTTTGTAAAATTAATGAATAGTAATGAAATATTTTTTTTTAAAGGGAGGTACAAGGGAGTATGGGTTAACCACCACAACCCAATAGCTATTAAACTTCCCTGTTTTGCTGAAATTTTATCAAGGCTATTATGTACTGAAGATAAGAAATGTTACCAAGGAATAACACAAGTGCTTTACAATACTCTGGTAGCTGAACACAAAGCGTCCTAGACCAGCTGAAGACCTCACTGTTCTCCTTGGTCCTGAAATCCAGCAGCTCCCCCACCCCATCCACGGAGGACACACTGCAAGACCCCCCACAGAAGCCTGAAACTAATGATAGTACTAAATCATGCACATGGACACCAAGACAAATGCTTTTTCTATGCATACACTTACGATGAAGTCAAGAATCTTCACCTTTGTATTTAAAGAAAGCACTTCACAATTTCTCACTGACATAGCTATTTCCCAACTTCAATACTCTTGTGCTGTGGGGACATTACTAAATAAGAGACACTTGGAACACAAGCAATGTGATACTCTACCAGTAGAGGTGATAACCAAAGTGACCACTATGGTAAGTGACTAAGGGGTAGTTGGCATATATAGCATGGATATATTGGACAAAGGGATGCTTCATGTCTCAACAGGACAAGGAAGGACAGTGTAAGAATTCATCATGCTACACAGAATGATGCACAATTTAAAACTTGTGAATTTAGCTCCTTCCTGTAAGTCAGCACCCTATACAGGCCACAGGGAAGAGAACTACATGCCAGCCCTTTCCTGGAGGTTGGCGCCATTTGCAGGCCATGGGGAGGAGAACCAGAAGCCAGCCCCTTCCTGTGAGTCAGTGCCATTCACAGGTCACAGGGAGGAGAACAAGAAGTCAGACCCTTTCTGTGAGTGGGTGCCATTCACAAGCTATGAGCAAGGGAACAGATGCTCGTCCTTTCCTGTGAGTTGGTATCACTCACACGCCATGAGGAAGAGAGCGAGATGCCAGCCCCTTCTGGTGCACGGATTAGGAGACAAGAGGAGCCAAGCTCCCTGCAACCCTTGCCACTGCCCTGTAAGCAACCAGCTGACTGGGAGAAACACAGGCTGAGATGACAGCTATTGAAGTAAAATACAACGTAATGCTTGTAGTGTTGTGTTTCACTGACTGCAGGCCTAAACCAATAGTCTGATCATCTATTTAGAGGATAACAATATACAATATAGTACCCATCGGGTATCTCCTTCTGAAGGTGATAACCTTTGCTAATTCCCTATTATCTTGTTTTAAAGTCCCATATTGTTTTCATTGTTTTGGTTTTATTCTATTTTGTCTTGTTTGATTTTATTATATCTGATGGCATAAGCAGCTATTTCAAAGATAACGAGATATATTGTGGACCATTTTGGATTTACTATTATCTTGTTTTGAAGTCCTATACTGTGTTCACAGTTTTGTTTTTATTGGTACTATTCTGTTCTGTTTTGGTTTCAGATTTTTTTTGTGTGTGTGTCTTTTTCTTTTTTATCGGTACCGGGGATCAAACTCACGACTGCCTGCTTGCAAGGCAGGTGCTTATGCTGCTGAGCTAAATCCCCAGCCCCTTCTGTTCTGTTTTGATTTTACTATGTCTGAAGGTATGGGTAGCTATTTTGAAGACAACAAGAGGCATTATGGTAGTCATTGTTGATTTCATATTATCTTGCTTGAAATCCTGTATCACTTACACTGTTTTGTTTTGATTGGCTTTATTTTGTTTTATTTTGCTTGGTTTTATTTTCTTTAAAATAAAAATAATTTAAAAAAATAAAACTCATGAATTCTTTAACATTTTCAGATTGTAGTTGGTCATGGTTCACCAAGTCCTCCTCTTGTCTCCTAATCCGTGCACCGTTCACCAATAGTAAGAGTAACTATTGTCTTAAGTCCTGGAACATGATCCACATTATGTCCAAATGATTCCTTGTCTCTTCCTAAGGGTATGGCTTATCTACTGCACCAAAGAGGTTGAGAATTCCAAAAGATAGGGTCCTAATATTGTAGTTTCTAGTTTCTGTTACTCTATCACTAACTTACATTAAGTAAATGTTTTCTTTAAAAGAACAAGGCTATGAAATACTATGCTTCCCAGAAGATAAGATCTACTTGGAAAATAATCAGCTTTGAAAACTAGAGAGCTAAAACATCATTCCCCATCAGCCTATCCTTGTCTTACCTGCCTTAGAGAGTACTTGCCACTGAGCAAGAGAACATTTAGGAATAAAATGGACAAAAGAAATACAAAGCTTTGTACTCTGAAAACTGTAACACTTCTTTTGTTTGTTTTTGGGTGTGTGTGTGTGTGTGTGTATGTATGTGTGTGTGTGTGTATGAGAGAGAGGGCGGGGGGGGGGACAGGAACTCAATATATACTTTCAGGCTACGTAGCCCAGGCTGGCTGAGAGGCTGTGAAATTGAGGGAATCCTCCTGCCTCAGCTTCCCAGGTGCTGGTATTACTGCCATAAAGCATGTTGCAATGAATTAAATCACAATCTAAATAAATGTAGAAATATCCTACATTCATTGTTCTGAAGACTATTAAGATGGCAATACTTTCCAAACTGAGGTTTAGATTGAATTCCCAGCCTTTTGGAAAAACTGATCCTAAAATTTATATGGAAATGCAAAGAACACAGAATCATCATCATAAAAAGCAAGGCATCTGGGCATGGTGACACACACCTGTAATCCCAGCACTTGGGAGGCTGAAGCAGGAAGATCAGGATCACTGCAAGTTCAAGGCCAGTCTGGGCTACATAGCAAGACCCTGTCTCAAAAAAACCAAAAAATAAAATAAAATAAAATGCAAGTCAAAAATCAAGGACTCACACTTCCAAATTTCAAAACTTCTTACACAAAGCTATAACAATTAAGACAGTTGTACTGGCATAAGAGTCACCTTGTCAATGGAGTAAAACTTAAAGAGTCCTGAAAAAAACTCCCACATTTGTGGATAATAAATTTTCGACAAGGGTGTCAGAACTGGGAAAAATATAGTCCTTTCAACAAATGATCCTTGAACAACTGGACATTCACATGCAAAATAATAAAGTTTCATATATATTACACATAAAAATTAGCTCAAAATATATCACAGGGGCTGAGAATTTAGCTCAGTGGCATAAGTGCCTGCCTAGTGAGCATGAGGTCCAGAGTTCGACCCCAGGTACCAAAAATAAAAAAAAAAAAAGAAAAGAAAAGAAAAAGAAAATCATAAACTCAAATGTAAAAGCCAAAATGATTAAAAACTATCAAAATAAAACAGGAGTACATTTTCATGACCACAGCGTAGGTACAGCCTTCTTAGCTATACTAGAAGATTACATAACAAAAGTAAGATAAGTTGGATTTCACCAAAATTAGAAACTTTATGTTTCAAATGATACCATGGAGAAAGCAAAAAGGTAACCCATAGAATGTGGGAAATTATTAAGATATCATACTATGGTCTAGTAACCAGAATGTATGAAAACCATTATAGTTCAATAATAAGTAAAATAACTCAACTTTAAAATTGACAAAGAATTTGTATAGCTATTTCTTCAAAAAAGGCATGCAAGTGAACAAAAAGTACCTTAAACATTTATACAAATCATTAGGGAAGTTGAGTCGGCTGGGACAGAGGAGGAGAACCAGAAACCAAGTTCCCCCAGGAGCCAGCAAAAGAGACCTTGACTAGGGGAGAACCAGGACTCCACAGCCCACCATGAACCGGCAGAAATTGCACCAGCCAGGGACCCCTGCCAGAAAGCAACCAGCTCATTTGGAAGAACACAGGCTGAGATTATAGCAACTGAAAAAACAATTTAAGGCTTGCATTAGTTGATTGACTTTGCAGGTCTAAAGCCTGCAACTATTCACAGAGAATAACGAGAAGCATTATGATTGTCACTGTTAATTTCCTTTTACCTTGTTTTGAAGTCCTGTATTGCTTTCATTATTTTATTTTGTTTGATTTTATTATGTTGGATGGTACGGACAGTTATTTTGAAGATAACAAGATATATTAGAGTAGCCATTGTTGATGTCCTACTATCTTGTTTTGAAGCCCTGTATTGTGCTCATGGTTTTGTTTTTTTTTTTTTTTTTTTTTTTTTTTTGTCTGATGGTATGGGCAGCTATTGTGAAGATAACAAGAGGCATTATGGTAACCATTGTTGATTTCCTATTATCTTGTTTTGAAGTTCTGTATCATTTTCATTGTTTTGATTGGTTTTATTCTGTTTCGTTTGGCTTGGTTTTAGTCTCTTTAAAATAAAAAATAATCATCAGGGAATTTCAAATTAAAGCCAAAGGAGGTATCATTGCAAATTCACTAGAATGGTTACAATCTAACAGAGGAACAAGTGTCGACAAGGACATGGAGAAATAGGAACCCTTGGGAATATAAAATAGTGCAGAACTAAGAAAACGATTGTTCCTCAAAAAATTAAATATACAATGACCATATGATCTAGTAATTCCTCTCCATGGCATACATACAAGAGAAATTGAAATGTATACTGGGTAAAAACTTAGTAACAAATGTGCATAGCAGCACTATTCACAAAAAATAAAATGTAGAAAAAACTCAAATGTTCACCAAGTGACAAATGGGCAAACAAAATGTAGTACATCCATACAATGGAATATTAATCAGTCACAAAAAGGAATGAAGAACTAATACATGAGGCAAAGTGAAAGAAATCAGGTATTACATGATTCTTTTCTTTTCTTTGTACTGGGAATCACTCGGGACCCCGTGCTTGCCAGACAGGCACTGTGCCGCTGAGTTACACTACCAGACCTGTACGATTCTTTTTATATGAAATGTCCAAAGTAGGCAAATCTATAAAGAAAGTATATTGGTGGCTGCCTGAGGCTGAAAGAGTTGGGGAAATGAAGAACTGCTAGGGATTTGGGATTTCTTTTTGGGGTGTTGGAAATGTTCCAGAATTTGACAGAAGTGATGGTTATATAACTCAGTGAATATATTAAAAATCATTAGTATACTTTAAGTGGGTAGATTAAATGATGAGTGAACCATGTCTTAATAAAGATGCTGGAAAAAATAGTTTTATGCAATACATAAAACTACTATCCATCTACTGTTTTACCATTTGACAGGTTGCTTAATTTCTTGTGAACTTCAATTTGCTCACATGTAAAGTGAGAACGATTAAAAAAAAAAAACCCTTCCCTTATAGTTAGTTGTTACAAGTGTGATGCCTGAACTTGGCACAATGCTTGACACCCCAGTGAGCACTAAGAAGAATTAGCTCTTATTAGCATACACCCACATATGGAGTTTCATATTAACTGTCACTCTTTCTAAAAGTTCAAATTTCATTACAGTTAATAGTGGGACTTAGGCTCACCAATTAATGCTTTGTTCAGAGGGCCCTAGGCTTTCAACACAACTGCAATTTGCTTTCCAAGTTGATCATTTAGGTTTTTTCCTTTAGGCTTCTTTAGCAATGTGCTGTAGCAAATTAAAAATGCCCTCCCCTTTACCGTAATTATGAATGTCTCAAAAGACGTCAAGGACTGAGATTTCTGCACATCTTCCTTCCTGCTTGCTGGCTTAAACTCATTTATTTTTCTTGCTCAAAAGTCTTTTTACCACCCTGCTGTCCTCTGCAGACAGCAAATGGCTGAGCTCTAAGAGCAAACTGCAGAGCCAAACAGAGCAGGTCCCATTTCCAGCTTCCTCACCAGCCTCAGGGACCACACAGTAAGTGCTCTGTAAACCGTCACTGCTACCTCTGGGGCCTCCAGCAAGAGGCTGCTAACCCGCTCTTCCTTTTGCTCAACTAATACCCTACCTCCTCTTCACTCGTAGACTGCTGTGGCCCTCTATGGCTGCGCCCCTTCCTCAAGTCAGTGGGAAAGGTATACACAGGCCAGTTTCCCAAGGAGAACCCAAGTCCCATGGCCAAGGGGAAATACCCCAAGAGGAGCCTCCAGGTGCGTCATCTTGGATGGCTCACAACTGGCTTTCAGCCAGTGAGCACCAACTTGAAAGTGTGCCCAGTGGCCTCAACTGGCCTGAAACCGTGTGCAGAACCTCAAGGTGCTTGCCTGTCAGGCCGTGGGTATTGCTGCTCCCTAGAATATACTCCTCCTCTTGCCTGGTGTGCTTTTATCTACTGGGTTTTAAAAAGGGCAGGTATAAGCCAAGCGTGGTGGCAGATGTTTGTAATCCCAGAACTTGGGAGGCTGAAGCAGGAGGATCATTGTGAGTTCAAAGCTAGCCTGGGCTACACAGTGAGTTCAAGGTCACCTTTAACCATATAATGAAATCTTGCCTCAAAAAAGATCAAATAATAATAATATAAAAAAATCAAAAAAATAAAAAGAGCCTGTGTTCCTACAGTAGTGGTGGCAGACCTATGGCACGCATTCCACAGCAGGTTGTTGGTATCACTGAAAGCTCTAAAAGGTTCAGCATCACTGGTCTAGTCAGGGCTCATCTGCCACCTCCGCCCCACTTGGTCTCAGAGTCTTCTCTGAGCTGTCTAAGACACATGGATTCATCTTGCATTTGTCCCTGTAAATGCTCATTCATTTCCCCCACATCATTAAGAAGGTCAAAGGACTTTAACAGACCTCTTCAACAAAATGACATAAGCACAACACAAATAGCTTTAACTTCAACAACTAAGTTCAAGGCCCCACTGACCATGAAAAAGCTGATGGGTTAACAGGCACTTTACCGAGTGCTTTTCTTGGGTTAAGTGTTGGAGGCTGAAATCTCATAGTTGGCAGAGTTACACCAACACTGGCTATTAGCAAGACTGCAGGCTTGGGGCTGAAACATATGCTTATCCTCTTTGTCTGGATAAATTCAATTCTTACTGTGCTGCAGCAGTTCCTGGAACAAAATTAAATTCTTACAGCTACCAGTGTGCTGCTTTAAGTCTCACACATGTGATGGAAGGAGTAAAGTGGACAGCAGAAACTCACTGGCAGACAAAACACTACCAGTTACAGTAGTTTTTTTCTTAATTATATAACCGATATATGTTCCTTATAGAAAAACTGGAGCATACATAAAAGAAGCTAAATCCCCAGATTTATAAATGATGATCATAATAAAAACAGCAGGAGCTACTGTTAGATAGTATTATGTTATCTACCATGCAACTGTACTTTCAGATAGATTACATCTTCCTGTATTTTTCACAATCCTGAAATGGAGACATTTTTACCAAAATAATAGCAGAGAGATTAAGAATACATTATTTGCAGCCAGGTATGGTGGCATGTATTTTTTTCCCAGCACTTGGGTAACTGGGAAAGAATTGGTACAAGTGGGTATCCTTGGCTACGAAACGAGTTCAGGGCCAGCCTAAACTACATAAGACTGCCAAAACCAAACAAGACACAAAAAAACTAAGGAAAAAACCCCACAGGATTTGTGTGAGTCTGACTTTCTGGGCTCAAATCACAGCTCAGGCACTAATTTACCATGCCTAGAGCTTCTCTTCACCTTGGTTTCCTCATCTGTAAGATGGATTCCAGTGGCAACTTCCCCAGAAAAGAGGTGCGAGAATTAAATCTAAGACTGCAATGTAAAGCATATTAGCACTGTACCTCATAAGAGTGAGTGTCCAGTGTCACTCACCCCAACCTCACAAGTGATAAAACAAGCAAAGGTAAGTACATCTCCAAGCTCACAACTTCAGCAGCATTAGTGCTGGCCATTAAACCCCATGGTCTCAAGGCCACAGACGTACACAGCAGAGGATCCAGATACACATGTAGGCAACAGAATGTTTCCTGCTATGTATTTTAATGTTGTTTAATGTTTTAATGATACCAAATATGAATTTCATGACCCTGAAACAGTTACATAATTGGGAGGGACCTGCAAATAATGAAAACGCAAAGTGCCCCATATTCAAAAACAGTTAAGAATTTCAAGATAATGACAGAAGAGCATCAACTAAACACAGAGTCCAGTAGAACTGCCAGATTTGGGTTTCTTCAATGGCCAAGTTTCAAGTGTGAAGTTAGATTATGTGTTCTTTTTTTTTTTTTTTTTTTTTTTTTTTATTTAAGAGGAAAAAGAGAAAAACACAAAACAGAACAAAGCAGTGTAAGGTTACACATAATACATAACTACAAAAAAAAACATAACAGTAAGAAATCACCTGTTAATAGATTATGTGTTCTGACAGCAGAAGTTTCCCCAGATGTTTTTGATGAATACACGTTACTTGTCTCCTAGGTAAATGGTATACAGTAAGATAAAGTGATCCACAGTAGTAACTCAGTAAGTCAAAGCTAAAAACTTAGCTAATATGGGCATTATGGATCTAAAATATATTCCAGAAAAGTCTGCTGCAAGATTTTAACCTCCAAACTCTAATCACAAACGTTCTTAAATTTTTCAAGGTAAAAAGCACCAACAGCTTTCAATGAATACCTTTATCTCAGTTTGCAGAAAAAAAGAACTATGTCACACTTTGGATTATAAACCAAGACTCTGTTTGTCCTTATCTTAGCAAACATTTAACCTCTACCGCCAATGAATAGAAAGTCCATTATTTTCATAAATTAGAATAGAAAGAATACAGTTTAGTGATGAAACTTTTTAATAAAGGGGATTTTAACTCGATGACTTTGTATTTTCTCTCAATGTTGCACAAACTAGTCAGACACATCACTGAGAAATATAGCTGCAAATAGCAGACAAGAACTCTACAAAACAGAACCAGTCATTTTAAAAATGTTCTGCATGAGACCCACCAATATGGCTAAGAGTAAAATGGTAGACAGTGTCTCTGAGCCATGTCTAGTAATCGGGGATTAAGTCATCAGGCATACTGGGATACCTAATGGTGAATCATTTTGTCTGTGTCATGTCTAATACTTCCTTAATTCTTAAGTAATTACATACCAGTTAATTAAGAAGAATGACACTTAAAAAACTGTTAAATCTGAAGTTCTTTTTGAAATTAAAGAAATTGATAACCAATTTAAATACAGCACGTTGCAAGCACACACTTAGCAGAAACTGTTCACACACTGGGATGCTGACCTTCCTCAATTTTTGCCAACCAAAAAGAACCAATACTCTGTTTCCTCTGACATTTCTCAACAACTACAGAGTCAATTTTGAGCTGTTTAAAAGTAGTCTTTATACACTGAATAAAATGAATGAAGCCAAGCATACAATCACACCAGATATGAAGACCAATTACAAATCCTTATTCTATTTGCTAAATCTGTTAGTTTGTAACTTGAGGGTACCAATACTTTCTAGTTGCTGGGATGTCAAAGCAAGGCTTTTCATTTCACTATGACATTTAGAGCCAAATAATTCTTTGTTGTGGGTGGCTGCCTCATCTATCATAGAATGTCAAGCTGCATCCCTGCCCTCTCTACCCACTAGATGCCAGGGCTACCCACTCCTCACTTAACACAATCAAAAATGTCTCCATGCATTGCCAGTGGAAACATGGGTAGAGGCCTCCAATTGGGAACCAAAACTTTAAAGAGATGGTAAAAAATAAAAGACAAAGAATCAAAGGACTTTAGAAAGACAGGAAGATATTTTTCAGTAGTCTGAGCATAGGCAATTCTTAATTTGACTATGTATCAGCCACCATGGAGAGCTTGTTAAACGTCGATTCCTAGAACCAAACGCAGATCTGTCAGTACCGTCAAATACTGTGCTGGGTTTACCCACATCACTACCAATATCCTCATTCCACGGAGAAGTTAATGTGGGCCCCAGAATCAAAACGTCTTACCCAAGGTCACAGAGAAGTTAGAACCCAGATTCTAAAACCAATCAAGCCCTTCTTCACAACGGTGAGGGGAGTATGAAGGTATGTGTTGGTCTTACGTTTTTGAGGTAGTGGAGCTTAATAACGAGTGTGCATTATGGAGCTGGCCTGCTTGAGTTAAAATTCCCATCTTAGTACTCATTACCAGGGCGGCCTCCCACAAAGGCAAGTGACCATCTGAGAGCCTTAGTTTCCTTCTCTGTCAAGTGGAATAATAGTACCAGCTTCCCCATACTATTGGAAAGGTTAAAGGGACGATACACAAAAAGCTCTCAGCACAGGGCCTGACATACACTCGATATACATATATCGTACTCGATACACGTCCTTTTATTAGTACTGTCCCACGATTGCACAGTCAAAGGGGTTTACCCGGGCACCGGAGCAGAGGCCTGAAAATGGGCTCAGGGACACGAAAGGACCTCGGCGACTCACCTGGCCGCGCAGCACCTTCTCAAGCTGTCGGTAGTCGTTGTTCCAGACCAAGAGGTGCAGGGGAAAGTGGCTGCTGGCGTCACGGACCGAGGACATGGCTAGGAGGTCGCGGCCGGCCCTGGCCACCCGTCTCCCGAAGCCTCAACCCCAGCGGGGTCTCCGCGGCCGGCGGGAGAGAAGACGAGGGGAGTGAGCGGGCGGACAGGCAGGCGACTTGGTTCGCGGCCGGGCCGAGGGGGCCGCGTGTGGGCGCGCTAGGTGTGGGGTCACGGCCGGGTCTGGGATGGGTCGGCCGCGCCCACCCCGGGCCCTTAAGCGCTTGCGCTAGCGCCCGTGGTGACAGCTCCCCAACCGACTTCTGCGGGCCCAACTGCCCCAAACAGGGAAGTGTGCGGAGCGAACCAATCTACGCCGCCGGAGGGGAGGATGAGTCCAAGCAATGAGAAGGTCAAAAGTCTGCCAAGTGCCACGCGAGTCCAACCCACTACAGAAAAGATATCAAAGCCCATAAAATATAGCAGTCGTTCTGTTCTTTGGTTCCATCAATTTGAAAAACTCTATCTACTCATCACCAACCTCACTCTCCCTGCTCTAACTACCTCAAATGGTTCAGGCCACAACTGAGCCTCTACCATTGGCTCCGCAGTAGGGGTGGAGGGTGATAACTGGACCAAACCATTCCAGTTATTGACTCCCTCACATCCTTTTTGGACCAGGGCAGATCCTTCACAGATTGGGCAGCTATGTTGTCTAGCTAAAGACCAATGATCCAGAATCCTGTTCTAATCCATTCTCCTCACGACTGGAAGTGGAGAGGGCCAATAGTTTTCGAAGGGGACCTTTAAACTCTGGAGAAGTGGCTTCAGATATTTGCATAAGAAGGGAAACATTTGTGTTAGGACTTCTCAGCCTTGAAACATCTGGAACTGGATAATTTTAAGTGTGAGAGATATCCGATGCTTTGTAGGATGCCGAGCAGCATCCCTATTACCGGACTCAAAACTCTACGAGTACCATTCCCTGTCTCCAAACAGTGCCAATGCCCTCTGAGAGAGAAAAACCTGCTCCAGTTGAAAACCACTGCTCTATCTGAATTCCTAACTGGATAAGATACAGAAACCCACAGTGGTGGTTTATTATATCATCTTTAAGCTAGCCATTTGGATTTGTATTTATGTCTAAAAGGATTAATATACTTGGATTTGAGCACAGTCTACAAAAATAAAGTTCATCCTTTGAGTTTGAACTTCAGGCATTATGAAAGCCTAAAGACCACTTGTCTTCAGCTGTCTGCAGCTAGACAACATGGATGGGCAAAGTTATTCAATGCATCCTGAAAACATTCCCCTTGCCTTCTCTCTCGCACATAGCCAGCTTCTCAGATGCCTTGCAACAACTGTTCAAGAATTCTGGTCAAATCCATTCTTCACATGTGTGCAAGTGGAGCCAAGAAGCTTTGTGAGTTGTACCAAAACAGGATGCAGAAGCACTAGGATGGCACACAGAGGCTCTAACTGTGGAATGTGCAGAAATTAGGTATTTATTCTCACACCGCACATTTATCACACTGGACAGATGAACCAGACACCAGTGAGGCCTCTTCTGGGACTTCTCATTCTTTCAAAAGTCTTGTTACCAGAAATCAAACTAAAGACCTTGTGCTTGCCAGGCAGGTGTTTATGTCACTGACTTATATCACCAGTCAAAAAGCCATGTTAAACTTAATCTTTTTTCCTTTCATAGCTCATTATTTGAAAACTCCACAATGTCAACAACCATATATGTATTGTTCATTTGAATACCTAAAACCAAAATAGTACCTGGCCCACAAGAAGTATCCGCTATTTGCCAGGTGGAAAATGTAGTTGTGTTTACATGTAGTATACACAATAAATACTCATTAAAATTTGGCTCACATCTTTCTTTCCCTCATGCTGGTAATGCTCATTTCATTGTTTCACACCACCCTGTAAATTACTCTATTTTAACTATTCTTATCTCAAGTTCTAAATATACGAAGAAAAGAAGTATTTAGAAAATAAGAGTAATGTGGCCAGAAATAGTGGTGCAGGCCTTTAATCCCAGCACTTGGGAGGCTGAGGCAGGAGGATTGCTGTGGTTTTTGAGGCCAACCTGGGGAACATAGTGAGTTCAAAGTCAGTCTGAACTAGATAGCAAGACCCTGTCTCAAAAAACCAAAAAGAGACAGACAAAGATAACGGACTTTTAAAAAAATAAAAGAATAGTAAAGTTTGTTGAAGACTTTTCATAGTAATCATGCCATCTTGTTCCATACTTTATCTCCTTCACCAGGTAGTGAATATTTAGGGTTGCTGGATACATAAAAATTTGTTGCATATTCTTATTCCACTTTTTCTTTTCCTCTCCCTCACCTCCTTTTTATTTTTAAATTTTAAAAAAGGTAATAGTTAAATAAAAGGCCATCAAAAAACCAGATTATTAATAGACAATACATTATCTTCATCTTGAAGGTAAAATTGAAACTACAGCTTAAAGAAAAATATCATCTCCCATAGTTTCATTTTACCTATTATAGATCTACCATCAGTAAACTATAAATTCCATAAGAACCAGAAATGCCTTCTTTGCTCGCTGCAGTTTCTTCAGAGCCTAGAACAGTGTGTGGGACACAGTAGATGATCAATTAACTTTTTTAAAATAGAAGAATGAATGAACTTCATTTGCTCATTGTTTGCCTCAGGAAGGTAGTGATTGCAAGATGTAGACGTTTCCCCTGGTATTAACCAGTGCTAGAATGAGGTAGATCTCTTCCAGAAAAGGAAACTTAAATACAAGCAAATTTTGGGATAGGACAAGACCCTGGAGCAGGCATCTGCCCTTACTTAATATGGCGATAGGAAAGTTTGCCCTTTCCGGTCACATGATCTGCCAGTCGCAGAAGGCACCTCCCTGCGCGTGCGTGCTGCGCAGCAGCTGCGAGGCGCTGAGGGGAGAGGCTCTGCTGCCAGCTCTGCCGCGGGGACCCGTTAGAGCGGAAGCACCGCCGCCGCCGCCTTCGCTTCCCCGGGGCTCCTGTTCCCGGCAGGTGAAGGCGGGAGCCATGTCGAAGCGGCTCCGGAGCAGCGATGTGTGTGCTGACTGCAGCGGGCCGGGTGAGTTGCACCGGCCGGGCCCGCTTCCCTCTGCTCCTGGACGGGACCCCTGCCCTGGGGCCGTCCCCTTGGGACAGGCGGGTTCTCGCGACCGAGTCGCGCACCTCGAGAACGAGTTCTAGCAAGGGGGTCCCTGGAACAGCATTGAGGCGAGACCCGTCCCAGGCCTGGCAGCCAGAAGGGGAGGGGGCCGCCGCCCTCTCATCCATTTCGTTCCCTCTTCGCTCCGTCTCAGGCCAGTCAGGGAGGTGGCGGGGGCCTGAGCCGCTCCCCAGACAGGAAGGGGCTTGGGCAACCCACAGGAAGGCCAATTACAGAAGTAAAATGCTAGCGTCCTCTTGGCTGCGGCTACCAGAGGCTGCAGGTGTCAGCCTTCACCAGACCCCTGTCCCCGCGAGAGAATCTTTCTTGGGTGGGCTACGCTCCCAGCTTTCTTCCTGGAGACTTGCCAAAGGATGCCGGTGAATGACTTTCCCACTCCTGACATCCTGGCAGCCACTTCATGGGGGCGCAGGGTGGAATCTCCGTGTTGGGGTGTTGCAGACACTTAGGAATCAGTGCATGTCTCAAGTTTGGGGATCTAGAGGGCCTAACTTCACATTAGATGTGACCTTACGCTGGTTGAGTTCACTTGGTCAAACTTTCATTTCCTTATTTTTTTTTTGTTTAAGTAAAGATAATCAGGAGTACCGTTTTCGGTGATTAGAGAAATTAAATGGATATTGTTATGATCATCTCTTCTAATTTCTTTTGTTTTTAATTATGTTTTTCAGTTCCGAACCTTGACATTCCCTAAAAGCTAGAGTTTCTAAATTACAGTTTTAGCAAACAAATACACTCAAAGTTAGTGACCAGTGTAAACACATGGGGACATTGAAAGGCCATAACCATTCTTACTGTGCATAGTGTTCAGACTTAAACATTAGATCTGTTTTAGCAATCGGAACTGAATTGACAGGTCTCAGCATAGATTATTATATGCTATTTTCCATCCTTCGACTAACAGCTTTCATTTTAAACTAATTCAAATGTCAGATGGGACCTCAGTCTCCAATAAATGATCTTACATGAATCATTGAACACCGGTGGCTTTGCAACTGTTCGGATCTTCATTGTCGTTTGGAAGCAGAGACTAATTTTAAATAGTACTATGATGACCCTTATGTGGTTATTTCGTGGCCTGGCTAGTGCAAGTTGTGTTATTAGTTTCCTTTGACAGTAGGGAAGGGAATAGAGGAGTTCAAAAAGAAATGTTTTACAAACCAATATTATACAGACTCTGTTGTTTTTCTCTAAAAATGTTAATTGCTGTACTTTTTTATTTTCTTGTTTGTTTTCAGTTGAATTTGTCTGTGCTGTGTTTGATTCACATGCGTCTCCCTTCATACTTCCTCTTAAGATACATGTTCTGTACTTGATGAATTATATGGGACAGAGGGAGATTGCTTCTCCTTTGCTATCCTAATTTTTTTTTCCTTTTGCCATCCTAAATATTATCTTGCACTTTTTTTGTTGTTGCTTTTTTGAGACAGGAGCTTGCTATGTAGTCCAGGCTGGCCTCGAACTCAGCCATTCTGCCTCAGCTTCCAGAGTGCTGGGAGTACAGGCACACAACACCATGCCAGGCTGTCCCCCACTTTTGCAGTGTTTTATGCATTTCAGAAGTTTTTTTCTTCCAGCGTATCATTTTAGTTGTCGTGAATGCCTCATCTACAGAGACTTGAGTCACTTCCTTCCTGTTTTAAATATAATGAGGCTACCTTAACATGTTCTGTGAATTTGAGCAGCTAGGAATTTGTGCAGTCTTTTCTACAAAGTCCTCATGAAAGTGTTACTAACAACAGTTAGGGACCGCTTTGAGATTCTGATGAATGCTACGACCCTCTCCCCAGAAAATGCATGTGAACTTACTCTTTCACACAAAATTTGTGTTAGAGTGGGGAGAGGTAGAGATTTTTGAAGTCCATTTGTGGTGTCTGTAGAATCCAGGAAGCCCTTGGAGTAAAGCTTCCAGTTAAGCTGGTAGGATTTCACCCACTTTATTCAAACTTCATTTTGATTTTTCTATGTTTTTAATATTCTTTCTGTGGGATTCTAATCCATGATGTTTAAGTGATTGATAACCTCACTTGATGTGTGGTAAACCCTTGTTTGTCTTGTTCCTGTTTAATGCCTTCCAATACTATGGATCCTTTCCATGATGTGTTAAAGCTGTACTTCCAAACAGGTTGTTTTATTTGTCTATTTATTTTTGGTCATTAATAGCAATAAAAGCAGAAAGCGATATTGTTATGCACCTTTGTAAGGATCCTTCATCTTGATTATTTCCCGTTTTTGCTCCTTAGCATGGCATAAGTAATACTGGCAAAGTTGTGCTTCACTGTTTCTAGTATACTTTCATTCCTGTTTTACTTCATTGCAAATATTTAACTTTGATCCTATGTTAAATATTTTACTTGTTTTTAATGAATCTAGTTCATTTTAAATACACTGTACTCTTTGGGGCTGGAGGTTTAGCTCAGCAGCATAAGCGCCTGCCTTGCAAGCAGGCAGTTGTGAGTTCAATCCCCCGTACCGATAAAAAAGGAAAAAGACACAAAACAAAACAAAAAATACACTGTATTCTTAAGTTCAACCATCTGAAAACTCCAGTAAGACACTAATATGGTAGTGCAGTATTCATGTGAAACATTGACAGTTTTAAGTACTGTATTTCCAATAAAAAAAACTTTTGAGTGAGGATGAATTTTAATAGGCTCTTGAAAATAACAATGATATTTAGAAAAGCTATAACAGCTAGCATTATTGAATACTTATTGCATGAAAGGTATTTTGCTGTGTCCTCACTCTGCTCAGAGGTAGTATTGTTCCCTTTTGACGCGTGGTGAGAATACTCAAAGTAACTTGCCTGAGATCCTTATTTAAGAAGTGGCAGAGTTGGGGTTCAAACCATGGATTGCTTGTCTCTAGAGCCAATCTCACAATGAATACATTCTCTGGCTCCTAAGATTTGTCTTTGATTAAAATCCTATAACTCCATTATATTGCTTGAAAGGTTTGATAAACTGTTAAAAATGCTAAAGATGATGTACTTGCATTTTAGAGATTTTTACAGACATTGAAGAATTTAAAAATACAATCCTTAGACCAGGCAGCTTGAGTGACACCTATATCACCCCCACTGTAAGGCTGATAAAATGGAAAAGGTCTGTCTTTGTTTGGGGTTTCTCAGTGCTCAGTTTCCTTACCCAGATCTAGCCTTACCAAATGTGAATTATTCCTTGTCTGAATGAATGTCTAATGAATTGCTATAGGACTTCAGAGGAAAAGTTATACACACAGCAAAAATATTACACATTTCTGCTTTGCATTTTTTGCATCTGTGAAGGAGCTTTTCTTTCCTATCATTTGCAAGGTTAAACTCTACTGAAGTTTGTGTATAGCAACTAATGGATATCACAGAACATTTCTTCATGGAGGAAGCCAGCTTTTTCTGTCCTTGGAACTATAGCTGCTGAACAATTTTATGTTTTTTTGGTTTTTTTTTTTTTTGTTCTGGGGATTGAGCTCATGACCTCATGCTTGCCAGGCAGGCGCTTGTGCCACTGAGCTATATCCCCGGCTAGTTCCGTCTCTCACAGCTTTCCGGTAGGGTATTACTTAGTCAAATTTCTATTGCTGTGACAAAACACTTGAGGTAAAGCATTTGAAGAAGGAAAAGTTTAGCTTGCCCAGGTTTTCAGGGGTTTCGCTCCACAGTTAGTCAGCTCCATGGGAAAGCAGAAGCATCATGGTGGAAAGATGTGATGCAGAAAAGCTCCTCTCATGGCAGCCAGGAAGCAGACGGGAAGAGCCAGAGCAGAAGGGACTGGCGACCAGATACAGTCGCCAGAGTCTTGCCTACTGTGATCCTCTCCCTTCATAAGGCCCAGCTTCATGTTTCTATCACCTCAAAATAATGTCATCAAGTTGTGACCTCATTTGTGGGTTGGTGCACTAACCAAGTTAAAGTCCTTATGGTCCATTCCCTTCTCTAGGCCCCGCCTCTTTAGGGGACACTTCTTATTTATTTTATTTTATTTTTTTAATCAGTACCAGGGATTGAACTCACAACCACACACTTACAAGTCAGGCTCTTATGCCACTGAGCTAAATCCCCTGCCCTGACACTTTTGTGTTTAAGGCTTACCACATACGTAATGACCCCCTAATGATTAGGACAGCAATAATTGTATTTGCTTCAGATGCTGCTTGCTGTGTGGCTAATTCACTAGCAAAATTATTTTGCTGTTTGTGGAGATGGATTTGATGTGATCCAGATCTTCTCTCAGTTTGCTTCTCTTACATTGAATGAAATAGCGTCTGAGGTGATGGATCCACGTTAAGGCTACAGAGCTCAAGAGAAGTTAACGGTTTATTTAGGATTGTTCCTCTCAGTTGACATTGTACTTCATCAGCCAAGGTAGTAGACATGGAAGACCCTCACCATCTTGATACATTGATAAGCATTAGTATCGTAAACCCAGACAGTGAGTACAGTTATCCAAGTATCGTAATCCCTTTCCTGGTTTCCTCACAATCCAAAAAGTTGTATTTGTAATCCCATTGAGATGTGATCCCATTGAGATGTTATGGAATCCCAGCAAGTTAATTCCAATCTACCACCTCCAATGCAACCCACAGCAAGAGTAAAGACACCAAGACATATTCCAAGTGAAGGGCAGCCAGGGGTCCTAAGTCCAGTCCCCATGAGGATGTGCAGACAAAGACCCTGATCCTAGCCTCTCCCAGAATTTATTATCTTGTGAAGAAGGGGGGTGGCTCAGGGATGAGTGACAGTGAGGCTAGCCAGGTGGGGAGAAAAGCATCTCTGCAAAATGCAGAGATAAGAATATGCAGAAGGGTCAATTTGCATAATCCAACTGAGGTAGCAACTGAATAGTTTTAGGAGGCTGTTGCTTCAGTTTCTGATATATAAATTTTGTGCCGTGGGGAGTCATAGTCTCTTTACCTTGAGGCTTATACCCAGTTGACATTCCTGGAGCTGATGGCTCTAACATCCAGTGGTGCTCATATCTTTTACAGAGAGCACTGTGGGAAGAAACAGGAGACTGTCTGATGGCTTTAGAGATCATATACCTGTACCTCAGTAGCCTCATTTGCAATGCTTAGAGCCAATTGCAAAGAGAAGCAAATACCATAGCCAGCTCTGTACATATCAGTATAAGGAAATAAGTCTCCATATAATCAAAGTTACAACAATTGTTTTGCATTCAAGGGGAGTCACTGGAGTTGTCTCCCACACATTAGTATATTGTTTTAGTAAACAACAAAATGTCCCGTGTTTCTGAAAACCAAATTCAGTCATCTTTTTCTATCTATGGTGAGGCAATCAGCTGCTGACTTTGCCACTGATATCTCATTCTCTTTCCAGATCCTTCCTGGGCATCAGTAAATAGGGGAACCTTTATATGTGATGAGTGTTGCAGTGTCCATCGGAGTCTTGGGCGTCATATCTCCCAAGTAAGGCATCTTAAGCATACACCATGGCCTCCAACACTTCTTCAGGTAAAGAATAAGAAGAATTCTCCCAGTTTATGATTTATGCTTTGCAGCTCATTGTTTTAGCCAGTGAAGTTTTTCCTAGTATACTTAAATCTTGTAAAAGGGATGATAATTGAAAAGAGATGCTATGCCTATCATTTCTGTGTATAAGTACATGTGTTATCCGTGTTATCCTGTATTGCATTCATCATTTAAGTTTTTTTTCTTGCTGGGCATGGTGGTGTTCTCCTGTAATCGCAGCAGTAGGAGGCTGGGGCAGTAGAATTGCTGTGAGTTTGAGGTCAGCCTGGGATGCATAGTGAATTCAAGGCCAGCCTGAACCACTAGTGAGGTCTCGATCTCTCTCTCTCTCTTTCAAAAAAAAAGTTATCACTAGAAATTGCTTTTAAATAGTTCACCTTTTGCACATACTATGATGTATGTTTCCAGCAGTTAATGCCTAAGAACCTTTTCATTGATGTACTTACTCCTCAGTACCTGCTAATATTTTAAAGAACATATTTTCCCACTTTACTGGGAGGATAGCCTGGAATCCTTCAGACATCTACGAAACACCTAGTTTAAGTTTGGTTTAAACTCTAGTTAAATTGGGTGTGGTGGTACACGCATGTAATCCCACTTTATTCAGAAGGCCAACGCAGTAGTATTGCAAGTTCAACCTCAGCCTGGGCAACATGGTGGGGTCTTACATCAAAATAAAAAGGACTAAGGCAGCAGCTCAGTGATAGATGCTTGCTACGTGTTGTGATTCCATGGGTTCAATGCCCAGTACTGTAGAACAATAATAAAAACCTCTTACTATTAATCAAGAGTCAGATTAAGTTACTATGCTGGAGTGCATGTCTAACACTGTTAAGTGGGCTCTGTGCTATTTGGGGTTCAGTGTCATGTTGTTTGTACTTCTATTTGGGGTACACATTCTTCAAGTTCTGTTGGAAATCAGGATTAAGTGTGTGTTTTGCCTTCCTTCATTTGTCTTGAGTACACACTTCACTAAATCTGTGGCAGCTGAATAGCATGCCCCTTAAACTTGTCTGAATGACTGAGGGGCCAAAAACAAGTGAGTTTGAGAGTCTGATATGAAAATATCTCTGAGATTATCAAAAGCAGATAGGGCCATTTTAGGAGTCCTACTGTATGTGTATGCACGGGTGTTACTGCACATTGAACCCAGGACCTTTGCACTGAGCTATATCACCAACCCTTTTTACTGTTTGAGACCAAGGTCTCACTGAGTTACTGAGTTGCCCAGGCTGAGCTCAAGTTTGTAATCTTCCTGTCTCCCAGAGTGCTAGGATTACTAATGTGAGCCACCATGCCCACTTAGGAGTTTGGGTTTAAAATGAAATTGAGAGATGTAGCTCATTGAAATCATTTACTTAGAAGTTTCCGATTGCTCATTCTCATGTGAATGGGGATGGGTACTACCGTGAGGTCTGTCTGTGTTTGTGAAGCCAGACTATATTATAGAATCTGAATTAACTCTAGAGATGAGTAGTTTACAGTGCCATGGTTGACCCTAAAGCAAAAATTCCCGAAGTATAGACCATAAGCCACCAGTGGTACTTAAGATATATGTAGGAAATATCAAATAATTATTTTAATTGTCATTTTAATGTGTATAAGGAACCTATAACTAGCTAAGAAACCTATAACTAGACCATAATGGTTAATAAAAGTTTTTTTAAATGGGTAGATTTAAAGAAAAATGTTGAACAAATAACATAGGTGAGTAAAATAGTATTTCTTCCATGTTCCAAAGCACTATGCTAAAAGTATCAAAATTAGTCTTCCTTCTTCCTTCAAAACAATCAAAGTGGTATCAAAGTTAACCTTCAGGAGCTGGGGATTTAGCTCAGCGGCATAAGCGCGTGCCTTGCAAGTAGGCAGTCGTGAGTTCGATCCCCAGTACCGATAAAAAGGAAAAAGACAAAAAAAAGTTAACCTTCAGTATGTAAGTACGAAACAATCAAATCTACTCAGGGATTTAGCTATCCTTCCACTAGAACTAAATTTTGCATATTCTAAAATCTTATTCTAAAATCAGAAAATAATGAGTGACATCTCAAATGTGTTGGTATTCATCATGGGGCTTTGCTTTCCTTACTCTGGTACTGTTTGTGGAAAGAGATTGAAATATGATTTCATATTGCTTGGTTTCAGATGGTTGAGACATTGTATAACAATGGTGCTAATTCTATATGGGAGCATTCTTTGCTGGACCCTGCTTCTATTATGAGTGGAAGACGAAAAGCTAATCCACAGGATAAAGTACAGTGAGTGGAATGTTTATAAATACTTCTACTTCTTTGTAACAAATGGGACTCCACTAAGAGGAGTGCAGCTATTTTTGATCAGCCTCCACAAGGCAGTGCAGGAGGTGGCTACCCCGGTTGTGCATTGGGCTTTGCTGGTACACATTCAGCATGAGGCAGATGGGATCATTTCTTTTGCATGGCCTCCAGACAGGAGTTAATGATTTCTCCAGTTAGAGACTGAGGCTTGAAGGCTGTAGATGTAATCAGATTTAAACTCAAGCACTCGAATAAGAGGCTGTCAGACCAGAAATCTAAGTTCTGGATACCAGTCTGCCTGATGCCTCACCTATGAGACTAAATGCTGCCTCTTCCCAAAGTTGCAGCCAATTAAGAAAATTACACAGAGAAGAAAGATGTTATAAAACTCAGATTTTTGCAGTCCCAGCTATTTATAATGACTAAAGTATGTTTTCAGATGTCGGGTCTTGGGCACTGCTGAAACTTATTTCAGCATTGTTCGTTTTATTCTCAAGTGGGGGATATGGGTCACTTCCTCTTCTTTTTACAGTCCAAAGAATGGGGAGTGTCGTGTCTGAACTGCAAGTGAACTGTGTTCTTTTTTGTTTTCGGCCAGTCCCACTAAAGCAGAATTCATCAGAGCCAAGTATCAGATGTTAGCATTTGTCCATCGCTTGCCTTGCCGGGATGACGATAGTGTCACTGCCAAAGATCTTAGTAAGGTGGGTCATACTTTTTAAAATCCTCCGGGGTTAGATGAGCCAATGTACTGTTTTATGTAAAAACATTTTTTAAAGAAGAAAAGCAAAGCCTGGCAATTTGGCTGAGTGGGTAGACTGATAGCCTAACGTGAGATGTCCTGGGTTTGGTCCTCGGCACCACAAACACAAGACCAGGGATTTACCTCAGTGGCATAAGTGCCTGCCTGGCAAGCATGAGGTTGTGAGTTCGATCCCTGGTACCAAAAAAAAAAAAAGAAGAAAGAGAAGGAGAAACTAATTTTCATTGATTACATTACTAATAACATCTTTTGCAGTCAGTTTCATCTTTAATCATAATTCAGATAGCAGCTATTTACGCTAGTGAGGTAGAGGACAGAAAGAAAAAGTAAGTAGCCAGAAAACTACTTTTATTTTTTCAGTATTTAAAAAATTTTTTCAGTTAATGTTTTTGTTTAGCTTTGAAATAAGCACCATGTCAGAGTATGTTCCTAGCAAGGACTAGAAAGTTTGCAGGACAGTTGTTTCTAGTAAGGACAGCTTCCAAGTTGTATAGTAAGAAAGTAGGGTGTGACACAGAGTTGTAGTACACAGGTTTATTATACATGTAAAATGAGTAGGTGGGCCTTAGCACATTCTTGAGGTGCTACAAGGAATGTACATATTTTTAAGCACTTGGGGTTTTTTTTGTCTTTTTCTTTTTTATCGGTACTGGGGATCGAACTCACGACCGCCTGCTTGCAAGGCAGGTGCTTATGCCGCTGAGCTAAATCCCCAGCCCCTTTTAAAGCACTTGTATTCACAAATTATCACGCAGAGCTTGCCCAATGTAGAATTTTTGGGGGGAGGGTACCAGATCGAACTCATGACCTTGGGCTTGCCAGGCAGATACTTATGCCGCTGAGCTAAATCCTCTGTCTCCCAATTTAGAATATTAAACTTTGTATAGATGTGTATATAATTGTGACTTCCACTAATAAATGAAACTTACCTGGTTTTCTTTTTTTTTTAACCAACTTTTTAAAAAATACAATTTGAATGTAGATGATAGAGTAGATTTCCCCATTCCTGTAACATTGCATCGTAGATAAGTCTGGGGTAGACTTGAAGGAAGGCAGGTCATCTTCTGAATGTTTGAGCTTTTCTGAGATACTACAGAATTTGGTTTCCCACCCTGAGAGACTTCAGGAAACTATTGTGGCCAGGCAAGGGATAATGTTGTTGAGAGAATAAGGTATAAGACAGAATCCTGTATCTTACACAGTGTAAAATTTGAAGCTGTAGATTCAATAACTATGACAGTAAGTGATTATTATAACAGCATTTGAATTATCTGAGCGCTTCTCGTATAGTGGGTTCAATGCCAAGTACTTAATTATATCATTGAATCCTGACAACCTTGTCCATGGGTAGCATTTTTACAAACGCAAGGTCCTGAGTTCGACTCCGATACCCCCCCCAAAAAAGAGGAGCACTATTATCACCATGTGAGAGATAATGAAGCTGAGGTTCAGCTTACTTAAAGAACTGTCCCAAAGTCGCACAGTTTGAAGAGAAAAGGTAGGGCATGGAATTCGGGTCCATCGGATTTCAGAGCCATGCACAGCCATCTTGTACTGCCTCTCATGTTCTGGTTGTGCCACTCACTTGGAAGAGTCCTGCATTCGTGCAGGTCGCTCTTCACAGTCCTAGTTTCCTTATCAGCAAAACAAGCCTGGCCCACCCCATGGGACTTCTCCATCTGCCCCACAGAAGCAAATAAAGATTGTGTGTTACTAATGTAACATATATTAAAATAGGCTATCAGCTGCTGTAGTACATCATTCCTGAGGGTTTCAACAAATGTTCCTTTTTTTTTTTTTTTTAAATGTGTGTGTGTGTGTTTTTTCCAGCAACTCCACTCAAGTGTAAGGACAGGAAATCTTGAAACCTGTCTGAGGCTGTTGTCTTTAGGAGCCCAAGCCAACTTCTTTCATCCAGTAAGAAAACGTGAATTGATTCAGATATTAAGTTGACGTTGAGTTGTGTTCATGCCTTTAGCTTATTTAATTTGCTTTTTTTGTGTATTTTTTATTAATGCTTCTTAGGAAAAAGGAAACACACCACTCCATGTTGCCTCCAAAGCAGGGCAGATTTTACAGGCTGAATTACTGGCAGTCTATGGAGCAGACCCAGGCACACAAGATTCTAGTGGGAAAACTCCTGTTGATTATGCCAGGTAAGAGTCTGGGAGACTTGCCCCTTCTCTATAGTGTTGGCTGTATGTTGTGTGGTTAGTGCTTAACCCTTTCCAAGATTTAATTTCTTTTTTTTTTTTTTGAGACAGGGTCTCACTATGTGGTTCAAGCTGACCTTGAACTCACTTTGTAGCCCAGGCTGGCCTTAAATTCACAACAGTCCTCCTGCCTCAGCCTTCCCATTACAGGTGTACATACTGGGCCACATTCTATTGTTTTGCAGATGAATACATTTCAAAAGTATATAAGCTTGGCCTATCAAAATTTAGAAAAAGGTAGAATTATAAACTAGTATGCTTAGCTTCCAAAGGATCTTTTACTTGGTCCTTTATAACACATGTGTTGGAAATATAGTCACAATACAAATCAAATATCAAGAATTATAGAACCTACTCTTGAGTTTTATAATACTCTTTTTTTTTTTTTTTTTTTTTTTTGTCTTTTTGAGGCAGGGTCTCACTATGCAGTTCAGGCTACCCTTGGGCTCACTTTGTAGCCTAAGCTGGTCTCAAACTTACAGTGATCCACCTGCCTCAGCCTTCCAAGTGCTGGGATTACAAGAGTGCACCATCGTGCTCAGCTGAGTTTTATAATATTCTTAGTCACTGCTCAAACTTAAGAGCAAATCTATAGATTTGATTAAACAACTGTGGTAAATTGTCAGTTGTAAGTTTTAGATAGTGCACATCTGTGTGTTCTTTGTATAATTTTTAAATTTTTTCCTTTTGTATGTGTTAGGTGGTTTATTTTTTGAGATGAAGTCTTACTGTGTTGCTCCAGCAAATCTCCAAGTCCCTGACTCAAGTTCCTACCTCAGCCTCTGAGAAGCTCAGGTTACTGGCATGAGCCACCATACCACCTAATTTTTCTTTATTTGAATGTTCTAATCATAAAAAATACTGGACAAATAAGTAAACTCAGATTAGTCTTCAATATCACTAAATGCCAGAGGCCAGTCATCTCTCCCCCCCCCCAACCTCTATTTACTGCAGAACTGTATCTCTGCTGCACAAAGGATAAAATGAGTGAAATGACAAACTGTCCTCCCAGAATTTATCTCTTGGAAGAAATGACTCATCTATGCCTGAAAAGGTTAAATGGGGCAAGATAACATGCGATTCAAAACAGATAGTTGGTCTTAAAAAACACATGTAAATTTTCTTTTTCTGTGGTCCAAATCATTGGGAAATTTTTTTTCTTTTCTTTGTTTTTTCTTTTTGAGACAGGATCTCGCTATGTGGTTCAGACTGGCCTTGGGCTTACTTCATAGTCCTGGCTGGTCTCAATTTGCAAAGATCCTCCTACCTCAACCTCCCTGAGTGCTGGGATTTCAGGAGTGCGCCACCATGCCCAGTGGGAAATTTCTTTAGTTCTTTTGACGAATAGGTTAGATGTGGACTGGTAAAGGAGGAGCTAAAGTATTCCAGGTGAGAAGAAAGGCAGTTAAGGTTAGGAAGTCTGTATGGACACATTAAGTTCAGCGCAGAAGGAAATCAGATTGGAGAGAGCTGAGCATGCCTGAGAATGACCACAAGAATCCAGTATCTGTCAGTCTGAGTCTGCACTGATGGTACCGTGCACCATTATTTCCTACAGCGTTAGGAAAAGTCTGTCAGTTAAATTATGATGTGCCATCGATTATGATTTCACAGATGATTTAAAAAGTTAAAAATCAAAGACCTGTGATGGTTGGCAGATAAATTGTAATGCATTGAATGGTGGGAAGAGAAGCTGGCCAAAACTCAATTTAACCTTTGAAGAGAAGAGCCCTAAGTAAACAATTTATCATTTACTTTGGAGTTTCTTCATAGGTACTTTACCTATAATAATTTCTCCACATAATCATTTCTCTATATGCCTTGTTACTAAAGGGATTCTAAGTACCTTAAGTATTTATTTCATGAATGAAGAAAGGGAAACTCTGTATTTCTGCTGTTGAAGTTGAAGATAAGATAAAGAGAGGAAGCAGACTATAATCCCAGCACTGGGAGGCCAAGACAGGAGGATCTCTATGAATTCTAAGCCAGCCTGGACATAGTGAGTTCAAGGCCAGCCTGAACTGCGTGTGGCGAGACGCAGTCTCCAAAAACCAAAAAAAAAAGCTTCTCCCCATAAAAGGAGAGAAAACATCTGCAGGTGTCAGCTCTGCAGATCGATCTGTCTCTAAACTGGGACCCGTGAAGTTCTGTAGTTTCTGAATGTACCCAGAGGCAGTCTGGCTGCAGCAGAATCATCTAGGAGAAGGGCCTTCTTCAAAATACTGATGCCTGGGCCCTCCCCATCCTTACAATGGAGGCCTGCCAAATGTGCATTTCTGGAAACATCCTCATTAACTGCCGTGGTCCTGTACCTTTATTTTTTTCACCTCATTAAACAAAGTTATTCCTTATCCTTCATAAGTGTTAGAATACCTTACAAAGTTATTAAGTTATTCTTATACATGTTTATAAGGAAAAGGGCTAATTCAGATGGTGCAAACAGTTTATAAAAGTGAGACTCAAGGTAGATCTTAACAATCTGCCTCACACAGATTATTCTAGAAACCCGTGTTTGAAATACTGCTCAAGTGTCTCAGGGGATGTCTTTGTACTTTTCTACTCTGACGCCTGTGAAATGTGAGGAGTATCAATGGTACTTTGTTCTTTCGGTAGGCAAGGAGGGCACCATGAGCTGGCAGAACGCCTTGTAGAAATACAGTACGAGCTGACTGACAGACTGGCCTTCTATCTCTGCGGCAGAAAACCAGGTGAGTGAAAGGACAATGACCGGCCACACCTCCAGTTTGGAAGGATCTGGAAAAACAAGTTGGGACACTTCTTTTTTTTTTTTCCTACATGACCTCCTCTGCTTTAACATAGCCTCAAGAAAATTGTGAGTGCTGGGCATGGTGGCACATGCCTGTAATCCCAGTACTAGGGAGGCTGAGGCAGGAAGATTGCTGTGAATTTGAGGCCAGCCTGGGCTACAAAGTGAGTTCAAGGCCAGCCTGAACTGTATAATGAAACTGTCTCAAAAAGCAATAAAAAAATTGTGACTAAGGATTAAAAGGTTAACAAAAGAACTTTCATTGTGTATAAATGTAAAGTTGATCAGATCTTGAAATTTTAGTTTTTAAGTTTTTATTGTAACTGTTGGATGTTTCATGAATCAAGGAATATAACTGACCCCAAGTTGAATGCATAGGATAGTTCCTGACTATCATAGGACTAGCAGTGGAAGAAAAGAGCAGTAATTTTTCCAGATATTTGAAGAATTTTGCTATTTAATGATGGAAAAAAATCCCAAAAGTAAACTTCGCTTATAACCAGTCTTATTTGTGATGTGGCATGAGGCTCAAAACCATGGTTGGTGAGCCAAATATAGCTTGACAACTGTTTAACTAAATAAAGTTTTATTGTAAGGTAGCTGTGCCTAATCACCTGCGTCTTGTATCTGGCTGCTTTCATACAAAAATGGCAGAGCAGAGTGGTTCAGTGGTTGCTGTGAATAGTCACAAAGCCTAAAATGTTTCCTGCTTGGCCTTATACAGAATAAATACCTTTGTCAGTCCTTGCTGAGTGATGTCCACATGTGATGGAGTTAGGAGCCCCCACTGTTCCAGTTCTCCATAAGATGGAGGAAGCAACTCAACCTGTCTCTCCTCCGAACAGAACTAAAAAACTGTAACCCAAGTGTTCTTGGAGGCCCTCTAAGCACTTTGGAGAGTAAATCCTATCTCATGAATTAAGAAACTTGAAGGCCACCAAACGGGTGGTGAATCTCCTGTTCATTTCATTTCTGATATGGATTCGGTCGGAATCTGAGACCTGGAACACTATTACAAATTAAAGAAGTCTTGGGGCTGAGCTTTAGCTCAGTGGCATAAGTGCCTGCATGACAAGCACGAGGTCGTGAGTTTGATCCCTAGTACCAAAAAAAAAAAAGCATTAAAGAAGTTTTCTCTCTAGTTTGAGGAGCAGGAAATGAGACTTCTCAGGATACAGAATAGGGGAGTTCCCCTGGGGTTTTTTCCTCCTTCCCTTTTCTGCTCATTCTCCTCCTAGACACGAGGCCAGCCTGTGGCTACAGTAGCTGCAAAACCAGTGGCAACATAGGTGGTATCTAAATGTCTGAGCACAAGCACAAGGCCCCCGGATTGCTTTTGTTTTACTGCTTATTCTCTTGCCTCCTGCCGAGCAGGCAAAACTCAACTCGTAAAACAAAAATGGCTTCTAGAACAAAAATCTTAGCATTCCCCAGATTTTAAAGGAGACCCAGTCTTAGCACATATATTCAGAATGTTCTTGGTACCTTCCATAGTGTCTCAACATATGCAGAACCAGGCAAATCTCATGGACTTGCAAGAGGAAAATAATCAATAGGTGCCAAGGTGACATGGGTGATGGAATTATCAGAGAAATATTTTAAAATAGGTAGTAAAACCAAGCTCCTACAAGTAAGAGTGAACTTTCATTTTCCTGTAGTTGTACTCAGGATTGAATCCAAAGCCTTCCACTGAGCTATATCCTCAGTCTTTTTTATTTTTAATTTGCTTTGTTTTGGTTTTTTTGAGACAAGATTTTACTGTGCAGTTCAGGCTGGCCTTCAACTCACTGTGTAAACCAGGCTGGCCTCAAACTCACAGTGATTCTCCTGCCTCAGACTCTGGAGTGCTGGGATTACAAGCATGTACCGCCTTATTTTTAATTTTGAGATATTAACTTGCTAAGTTGCCCAGGCTGGCCACAAAGTTGAAATCCTTCTACCTCAGCCACCCTTGGGGTTGAGATTACAGATGTATGCTGCCACACCCAGCTAAAAGTTAACATTGTTGAAATAAGAAGTATAGAAAATTTCAACAGAAAAATAGAAGACACAGAAAAGAAGCTAGTAAGATTATTGGAACTGAAAAAGGCAGTTATTAAAAATTTAAAAGTCAGTGAATAGGATTAATAACAGGTTAAAAATAACAAAAGTCAGTAAATTGAAAATACATCACTAGAAATCATCCAGCTTGAGCAACAGGAAAAAGAGTGGGAGGGGAAAAAACTCAACAGAGCCTCAAGAAACTGGAGAATTACCAGAAGATCTGACATTTGTATTGCTGGACTCTGAAAAAAATGAGAAAGAGTGTGATGTGCAGATAAATACTTGAAGAAATATTGGCCAAAAAATTCTAGATTTTTCAAAAGACATAAATATTCAAGAAGCTTAGCAAACACAAGAGAGAATAAATTTTTAAAAATTCACATTCGAAACTCATCGCACTACTGAAAACTAGGTAAAGGAAACATTTTAAAAGCAACCAGGAAAGCCAGGCATGGTGGTGCAAGCCTGAAATCCCAGTACGCAGGACACTGAGGCAAGAGGATTGTTGTAAGTTGGAGACCATCCTCAGCTACGAAGTGAGCTCAAAGCCAGCCTGAACTGCATAGCAAGACCCTGTCTCAACAAAACCAAAAAAAAAAAAAAAAAAACACCCAGGAAGGGGCAGGGGTATAGCTCAGTGGCACAGCATCTGCCTGGCAAGTGTGAGGTCCTGAATTTGATTCCTGGTACTAAAAAAAAAAAAAAAAAGCAATCAGTAAAAAAAGGATGACACACAATAAATGTTGAATATCCCTTATACAAAATGCCTGGGACCAGAAGTGTTTCAGATCTTAGTGATTTGGGGCTTTTGAAATATTTACATGGTTTTACCTATTAACCATTCCTAATCCAAAATTGTAAAATACTCTGAGATCTCAAACTTTTTGAGCATCCTGGTTATTCCCTGGTTCTTATCAGAAGTCATACAAATGGGAAAGATTTTGCTTCAATATTTTTAATGAACTGAAAGAAGAGAATTCTCAGTCAAAAACTTGATATCCAGTGAAAATAACTTTTGGAATGAAAGCAAAATAAAGACATTGTAGGATAAAGAAAAATAAGGGAATTCGTTGCTCTAACAGAAATTCTAGGACAAGTTCTGTGCAGAAAAATGATATTTGAGAGTATCTTGTAACTTTAGGCATTTTAGTACACATCCCAGCACACTGAGAGTTTGAGGTAGAAGGATCAAAAGTTTAAGTTCAGTCTGCAGAACTTAGTGAGCTAATGAGATCATATCTCAAAATTTAAAAAAAAAAAAAAAAAAAAAAGATTTGGGGATGTAGTTCAGTGCAGAGTTCCTGGGTTCAATCTCTAGTACTGCAAAGGAAAAAAAAATCTGACTTTAAATATAATTATAAGGATATAGGTAATTTAAATACCGGAAGATGTAAGAAGATACTCCATGCAGACACTAAGTAAAAGAGAGCGAGAGTGGCGATATTAAAACAAAGTAAACCTCAGAACAAGGAGACTTAGAGGAGAGGCATAAACCAATGGTACAAGGGCCCATTTACCAAAAGACATAGCAAGGCTGAATGTGTGCGTGCCAAGCAACAGAGCTTCAAATTACAAGGGACGATCAACGTATATGGTGAAAGTTAAATCTTAAATTTTTAGTAAACTAAAAGTCTACAACTTCCCTCAAAATACTGCCCCTGGCTTCAAACATTTTTCTGTCATCGTTCCTACTACTTTCTGAAGCAGTTCTAGAAACATTCTTTTGATAAAAAATATCAAATGGTATGATTAAAAAATACAAAGAAGAGGGCTGGGGATTTAGCTCAGCAGCATAAGCACCTGCCTTGCAAGCAAGCAGTCGTGAGTTCGATCCCCGGTACCGATAAAAAGGAAAAAGACACACACACACACACACAAATACAAACAATACTGCTGCTGAGTGCCATCCAACAGAAAGGCAGGATCATAAAAACATTCCAGTGTATTCTCATGTGCGTTATTCATCAGATAAGGAAGGGTCTGGCTCCTGTGAGTTCTTGCTCTTCCCCTCAAAATCAAAATGACCATGAAGAATAGACAATTTGAATCAATTCAGAGCATCAAGACAGCCACCAAGTGCAACTAAAGATATAGAAGCGGATTTCCAGAACTGCTTCAGAAAGTGGAAAGAATGGTGGAATAAACGTCTTCAAATCGAGGGGGAGTATTTTGAGGGGAATTAATGGTAATACATCTTTTGTAATGTTTTTAAACATTAAATGTTCACCATATTTTCAGTCACACCTCATAGATGAAACAAACTTCACTATAACTCAAAGACCAAAAGTGAAATCCACAATTGTTGGGAAAAAAGAGACCAAACACAATTATTGTTGGACACATGACATATCTCTTTTAGTAATAAATAGAACTTCCAGGTAGAAAATCAGTCAAGCTATGGAGCTAAACCAAACCAAAAACCAACTAGATGTAGTTATTTATAGATGTACTCTACCCAGCATCAGAATACATCTGCCTTTGAACTAGATCTTGAACATTCACTGGTATACCTTAGTAAAAAACAAACCATAGCAAATCAAAAGAATTAAAATCCTGCAAAATATATTTTGTGATTGTAAGGGAATTAAACTAGAAAGTGCTTGGACATTGAACAGCACACAGACAAAAATAGGGGCTGAGGAAATTGGTTAGTGGTGTAATACTTGCCTGGCATTCACAAGGTCCTGGGTTTGATCCGCAATACTATAAAAAGTAGAATAATAAGTATACACACAAATTGGAGAGCTTAGATAAATGGACTTAATTCCTTAAAAGCCATAGACTTCCAAACCCACCCAAGAAGAAAAGGAAAGAGCATGGAGTGGGAGCACATGCCTGTAATCCCAGCACCTTAGGAGGTTGAGGCAGGAGGATCACTGCAAGTTCGAGGCCAGCATGAGATATATGGTGAGTTCAAGGACAGCCTGAATTGCATAGTGAGACCCCCATACCTAAACCAAAAGGAGAGGTATTAGAAATAAGTAATCATTTGGTTATTTATTTGCCTGTTTATTTTTTTCCTTAGTGTGGTGCTGGGAATTGACCCCAGGGCCTCATGCATGCCAAGTGAATGCTCTCACACTGGCTACATCCCTGTCTTACAATCCGAGAATGTATTATTAATGTTTGAATACGATTACTCAAACCAAATCCTGCAAAGAGTGCAGAAAACAGCCCTCATAAATGTAAACTAAACCTTCATCAGATGTTAGCAGGTTGAATCTAACAATATATAAAAAGCAAAATAAAACATAATCAATAGTAGTTTCCAGATTCAGTATTTGAAAATCAGTTAATGTGATCCACCCCACTAACCGACAAAAAAAGAAAACCAAATATTCATGAAAACTGTAGTTCTAGAAAACTCACAATCATGAATGATTTTTTAAAAAACAATCTTAGCAAACTAGGAATGGACAAGACTTGCTTTTCCTGAGGGAAGATAAGGAGCAAGGCCAGAGGGTCCACTCTCTAAGCGCTTCTGTTCAGTGCCACACTGCAGATCCTAACCACTGCTGTAAAGGCAAGGGGACAAAGAAGAATAAAGATTGAAAAGAAACTTAAACTATCTCCGCTCAAAAGAGATCGTTTCCAGGTGGAAAATGCCAAAGAACTTACATGAAAATTCCTACACTAATTGATGAGTTTAGCAAGGATACAGAATACAAAGTCAGGACCCGACAATCATGTTTTTTTAGACTAGCAGTGAAAAATTGGAAACTGAAACTAGAAAAACAGTACCATTTACAATAGCTCCAAATTAAATACTTAGGTATAAATCTTACTGTCTATCTGTAGGGCCTATATGCTAAAAACTTCAAAGTACTGATAAAAGAAATCACAGAAAACCTGGATAAGTACAATCACATACTGTTTTTATAGATAAGATAGATAGTTAACACGTCAGTTTTCCACAAATTGTTATGTAAATTTATTTTAACTCAGGAATATTTTGGTAAACATAAACATACTGATTCTAAAATTTGAGGGGGAAGACACGGCAATAGACAGCCAAGACAGCTTTGCAAAATAGTGTAGAAGGAAGCATATCATCCAATTTTAAGATTTGCTAAAAAGTCAGTAATATTTGAAGAGATAAAAATAAATGAAGAGATAAACATTTGGATTACTGAAACTAATAGACTTCCATAAATATGTTCAGTTGATTTTTTGAGCAAGGTACAAAACTAATCCAAGGGAGAATAATATGTGGTATTGGAGCAACAACTGGTCATCTGTGTGCAGGAGAAAGAACTTCAACCCAAACTTTGCAGTTTACATAAAAATTAATTCAAACTGGACCATAGATCTCCATATAAAATCTAAAACTCAAACTTCTAGAATACATGGGAGAAAATGCTTATGATTTTATTAAAGTTCTTATATATGATATCAAAAGCACAAAGAAAATATCGATAAGCTATACTTAATCAAAAGTGAAACTTTGCCAGGTGTGCTGGTGCATGCCTATATCCATGCCTTCCAGCACTTGGAAGACTAAAGCAGGAGGATTGCCATGAGTTCGAGGCCAGCCTGGGCTACATAGCAAGACCCTGTCTCAAAAAAAAAAAAAAAAAAAAGTGAAGCCTCATACTCTGAGAAAACTTTGATTAACAGGATAAAAAGGGAAAAGAGAAGAGAAGGGGACTTCAAAAAAATTAAGTGATGTGACTATGCATGTACCAATTCCCCCTGATGAATGTGATCATGGACTGCAAACATTGCCTCATTTTTGTTTTAAATCGGTACCAGGGATTGAACTCAACAACTGCCTGCTTGCAAGGCAGGCACTTATGCCACTGAGCTAAATCCCCAGCACGTATTGCCTCATTTTAAAAAAAAAAAAATTTTTTTTTTTAAAAACAAGCCACAGACTAGGAGAAAATATCTGGAAATCACATAGTCAATGAAGAACTTGTATCTGGGATATTCAAAGAACTCTTAGAACTCAGCAGTAATGAAACAGCCCAGTAAAAGCTTGGGCAGAGCCAGGAATATGGGACACAAGTATAGTCCGGGCACTTGGAAGACTGAAGGCCAGGGCCATTGCTTGAGCCCTAATCAAGGGAGGTGTAGACCTAATCTTGAAAGAGAAAGAGAGGGAGGGAAGATGGAGGAAAGGGGAAAAAAAAGAATTAAAAAAATTGAACAAAGACAGTGTGTAGATGACAAAAATTAAGCACATAATGGCAAAGTCAACAGCATAATCCATTATGGAAATGCAAATTAAAACCACACCAAAGGGCTGGGAGTGTAGCTCAGTGGTAGAGCACTTGCCTACCATGTGCGAGGTCCTGCATTCAATCCCCAATACTGGGAAAACAGGACAACACACACAATGGAGTACTACAACATACCTAAAATTTTAAGACAAACCAAAGACCAACAATGTAAGTGCTAGGAAAGACATGAAGCAAATATAACCTTCATATATTAGTGTTTAGAATAGAAAATAATACAAATACTCTGGAAAAAGATCAAGCAGGGTTTTGTCTTTGTTTTTGTTTTTTACCAAGTTGAACATTTACTACATAACCCAGAAGCCTCACTCCTAGGTATTTATCCAAGAGAAATGTAGCTGATATTACCCCCAAAGTCTATATAGATGCTTATAATGGTTTTATTGATTGGATGTGGATCACTGCCCTCTAGAAACTATGCTAGGACCAGATCATGAAGCATCAATCTGCAAAGACTACCCATCCAGCCTTGATGGTTTTCTGCTAGTTGATTAATTTGAAGATGCCATCAGACCTCACTGAAGCTCCAGCAGCCCACTGAGGGAGACCAGCTCTGAGCTAATTCAGCTCCCGCAGGATAGCTGAAAATAATCAGTTATCCTGGGGTGAACAAACCACAGGGCATGGGGTCAGCAAAGATGTTTTGCTAAGTGACGTCTGGATCTTTGTGCCAGAAGAAAGCAAGGATGTGATCCTGCATACATCTTGCTCAGGCCTTTGGGATTTTGGCCAGCCTAACAATCTCTGTTTCCCAATGTGATTCATAATTATGGAAAAATAGAAATTGAGGGCTGGGGATACAGCTCAGTGGCACAGCAGTGCCTGCCCAACAAGCGTGAGATTGTGAGTTTGATCCCTGATATATTAAAAAAAAAATTGCACAACTTACATTGAGAAAATAATAGTGGTGTTTCTCAACAGATCTTATCAGTATGTATCTGTTGGTTTCTGTTTCAGATCACAAAAATGGACAGCACTTTATAATACCTCAAATGGCAGACAGGTAAGGCCATGGAGACACCATTTAATTTTACCTGTTCTCAATATTGCCATGGTTATATAGTATTTAAGTTTATTATAGTTTGTTTAACAAAGCCCATACATTTTTCTCTTTTATGGCTGTACAATTTGGAATAAGACGGCTGTAAGTAAATCATGTAAAACTTAAGTTTGAAAGAGCACAAGTAACCAATTAATTAATAAAGAAATTGGATCAGTGACGTGGTCACTGTGGTCACTGTTTTAGCCAATCGTGGTAGTAATATTGTAGCATAGGTTAATTCTCAAAATCTTTTTGTAACATAAGAGATTATATTCTTTGTCTATAGCAGGGGTCACCAATCTGTATTCAGGGGCTAGCCCATAAATGTTTCAGGGTTTGTGGGCCCTACAGCCTCTGTCACAGTTCCTCACCCTACCATTATAGATGGGCATTATGTAAGTGAATGGGAATATCTGTTCCAATAAAATTTTATTTTTGGACATTGAAATTTGAATTTTATATAATTTTAACAACTGATGGAATATTATAGTTCCCTCCATGAAGTATTATTCCCCCCACACACACCACCGTTTGAAAATACACCATTCTTAGCTCCTTGACTGAGCAATTTTAAGGCCATAATTTGCCGACCCCAGTTTGTAAAGCGGGTGAATTCCTTGATACAGGAGTGAACCTAAAACCCAGTTAGCCAATTACCTTTGCACAAATACTGTCAAAAGTTTATGAAATCATTAACTGCTGCTCCAGCACAATCTTGCCATTCTGGTTTTTCCCACTCTCCCTGTATCATATTTCCTTCTGCTTGCTCCCTGTTCTCAGTGCTGGGATAGAGCCCAAGGTCTCATGCTTGTTAGGCACACACTCTACCACTGTTTGACATCCTGGCCCCTTGATTAGTTTTTTAATACTTAAAAAATTGTGACTCCTTACAGAAGGGCCCAGAGATTCACTTGGCAGTATTTTTGTTATTTTAGTTGCGTGATGTTTTTCCTTTTATATTTCTAGACTTGTATTTCTAGGACTCACTTTGGCCAAATTGTCAGTTTCCTCACTGAGTCTCTCTGGTTGTTGAATGCTTGACTCAGATAGTGTCCCTACACTGTAACTAATATTTTCATCCCTCGGGTGTCTGAAATATCTGCAGAGCTCATGCACATGTTTGATTGATTTGCTTATGCATTTTGTACATTTTCTTAGCAGCCTGGATTTGTCTGAATTGGCAAAAGCTGCTAAGAAGAAACTTCAGTCTGTGAGTATCTCTTTACTGTGGAATCAGTATGGGAGTCGGTATATCCTGCTGGTACCTTTCTTATGCTAGTCACTATTGTGTCACAATGATTTTATTTCATACTTCGCGATGTTCAAGTAGAAGCAGACCAATGATTATGTAAGAGTGAAGCGTGAAAACACTATTAAGTTGAATATATCCAATTCACTGGCCCTGCTTTGGGTAATCCCATTTTTCTCCGTCAGGTTAAAAGTGAAGACTGTGTCTATGGCAGTAGGAGATGGTTTTTCTCCTCACGAGAGCCCTCAGTGTCTGTCTCTCGGTGTGAATGAGTGAGTGAGGCGGGCTTCCTTGGGATAACTTTGTGCGGCCACATTGGATACTAGGGAGTGATGGAGCTGATGTTGGCTTGGGGGTGAGCCTGTAGATAGATCCCTGCCACACTTCTAATTCTCTCACCCACTGTATGCCATACCTTAGAGCTTTTCAGAATTATGTTTTCAAAAGTTGTCGGTCCAGACTCATGCATGTGCCCAGAACCTTCCCAGTCCTGCAGATTACCTCCATAGTGCAGCCTTGTGTCTCTGCAGCCTTAGTCAGCACCTGGGAGGTAGGCTTCTCTGGGTTGCATTTGCCTTCGTCTAGGTCCATCCAGTGATACCTCCCCAGGGTGTTGCCACCAGATTACTTACTGTTCCCTGCATCGGAACCGAGATTCTTAGCTTGTTGTCATAAACTCTAAGGGTGTCATACAACTTAACCTTTCAAAGCTACTCTTCTGGTTCCCACTGTGTGTGTGTGTGTGTGTGTGTGTGTGTGTGTGTGTGTGTGTGTACATATACACTTGTGTGTTCAGATGTTTCTTTATGGCTAAACACTGAGGCCAAGAGCTGCCCCTTCAGTCCTCTCCAGGAGTCCACTCTTGCCTGGGCATTTGCCCTGCCCAGCTTCTGCGACTTTTCTCTTTTAAGAAGCTGAGTTCTGACCATATTCACTGTGCAGGTAGCACCTTTTCCAAAGCCCAGCTCTGAAACTGCTGCTTCTGTACCATGACTTTCTTCCCAATTCTCCCTTTTACAGAAGATCCTTTTCTAGATTTTCATCTTATATTAAATATTACATAAAAATGAATTTATCCTTACTAGGATTAACTGTACTATGAAATAAATGTGTTTTATGCAATTTGTTTGGTGTCTCTGTGTTGTATATCTATGGTTTTGTGTGTCTGTGTGTTTTATTGCCTTTCTTAAATTTACTACTCTGGTAAGATGATAAAGATAATAAGCTTTGGAGTTAGCACAAAGTGTTATATGGTTTTCTTTTTAATTACTCACTATATGTAAATGAATTTTTATTATAAATGAATTAAACCTTTAAAAAAACCAGATTTCCTTTGAGTCTCCTATACATTAGTCTGAAAGCTGCCTCAAGGCTGAGGTGCTGTGGATGTCTGGCATGTAGCTGAGATACATACCTTGGACAGGGTTGGCACAGCTTGTAAGATGGTTGAGCGATGCGTCAGACTAGTCAGCTTCACCTCTGACCCTGCCAGGCACCTTGGTCTTCCTGTGCCTTGGTATCTGGCCCCAGGACAGAAGGGCATGGTGCCGCAGGGCTGCAGCCAGAATGACTCAGAATGACTTTATGACCTGTTGGCTGCCCTGGCCTGTGGTCTCCTTGCAGATAGCTGCTCTCACGAATGCCAACTCGGCATTCATCCCCTCATATCTTCCTCCTCCCTCCTTCCTTCCTTTTTTTCTTTTCCACCCCATATCCTTCTCTTTCTTTCTGCCTCCTTCCTTCCCTAATGAAAAATTAAGAGAAATACAACAAGGGCCCTTGTATTCCTTGAATTAGTAAATGTTAACATTTGAGAGACTTAAACCTGATTCTCCGTTCCATCATTTACTAGCTTGGTGACTTTAGGCAAGCTGTTAATTTATATACCTTGATTTCCTTCGTCTGTAAAATGGGACAGTAATAAAAGTACTAAATAGGGTGCTGTTAGCACAGTGCCCAGTATATAAATGCTAGACCAGTGCTGGCTGGTGGTGTTGCTAATAAATATACCGGTGTATAGTCCCTGAGAAGGAAAACGATTTTTTTCCTCAGGGGAGGTACTGCGGATTGAACCCAGGGCCTTGACACTGAGTTACAACCCCAGTTATCTTATTTTTTATTTTGAGATAAGAGTCTTGCTGAGTTGCTCAGGCTGAGCTTAATCTTACATTCCTCCTGCCTCAGCCTCCAGAATATAAGGTTTAGAGTCACGCACCACCACTCCCAGGTAGAAAATTTGATATTTACGGAGCAAGTTAAAGCTCCCAATCCATTATCATATTTGACAGTAGGCTCTCAGGGATTTGGGGTATTTTTGTTTGTTTTTCTCTTCTGGTATTAGAGATTGAATGCAGGGCCTTGGCATCCTAGGCAAGTGCTCTACTACTGAGCTAACTCCCCAGGATTTTTTTTTCTTTTTTTTTTAGTTAACAGTCTGACTGAGTTGTCTAGGCTGGTCTTCAATTTATGATCCTCCTGACTCAGCCTCTTGAGTATCAGTATGGGCATGTGTCACCACAGCCGACTCTCAGGGTTTATTTTTCTTTATAATCTGACCACAGTAGAGAAATTGAAAATAGAGAATAATGACTAATCATCCTTAGTCATTAAACTCCTAATGGATTCAGGCTCAGTATTTTGGTATATTTCCTTCAGTTCTAATTTCATATGTATCTTACTTTTAAACTGGAAATCATAATTGTAGCATTTATATCCTGCTTTTCACACAGAAATTAGTGTACATGTTCCTATGATGTCTCCGTAGGCAGCATTTTAAAATTGTCGCGTAAAATGCCGTAGGTTAGTGTGTGAGTGGCACCCAAGTGCCTGGTACTTTTTGTGGATGTGATGAACAGAGTTGGCAGTGCAGTAAATTGAGTACCTACCTACAGCAGGGCAGCAGTCAGTTAAACTGGCCTGGCGTGGTGGTGAACGCCTATAGTCCCAGCACCCTGGAAGGTTATGAGGTAGGAGAATCTCAGGTTTAAGCCCGAGCTGGGCAACTTACTGACTTAGCAAGACTGTCTAAAAATGTAAACCAAAGTGGGGGAGCTGCTAGGGATCTAGCTCAGTTCTGGGGTTCCATTTCCCCAGTACAAAAAAAAGTCACAGCTGCCACATCTCCAGATGAATTTCATGAAGCAAAAAGCACAGAGAGAGCCTGGGTTGCCCTGGCAGCATCTTAAGCTCCTCTGAGTTGCAAAGACCTTGATTGTCCCCAGCCCTAGGCCCCAGGCCCCAGCTGCTGCTGATTAGGCCCCTCAGCATGTGTGGTGTGTCACAAGCTGACACCTCACAGTGTGCTGATGAGTCAGGTTCTGCTTTGTTAGGAACTCGGCTCTGTGGGGTAAGGGCTGCCGCTGAGGACGACAGAGGCACCTGACCACGGCCTGGGCTTGTCTTTGTGCACAGCATGTGTATCTTCACAAAGGGCGTGTTTTCACTGTATCCGACCAGGGATGTAAGAGCCCTTATGTTTCGGGGAACTGACAGATGATCTCAAGAACAGAGGTGCCTTGCAGGGTGCCAGCCCAAGCAGAGCTGGAACTGCGTTTGAGATGATAACGTGTTAGCCCCTCTTGACTTCTCAGTAGCAGCGACCCTGTCTGTGCCACAGAGCAGTGAAGCCACTGTGGGAAGCAGATGCGTCTAGAGGATTTGTACAGTTCTGGGAAAGTCATTATGTGTGTAAGAGTGGGTATTTGCTAGTCCCTGGCTTTGATGGGGCATTGGAACTAAAAGGGTGAATAAGTCACAGTGCCCTCTCATCCTCCTGGTGTTAATCCTTGTCCCTTGTGTTCCTGGTATTTTTTACTTTCAGCTAAGTAATCATTTGTTTGAAGAGCTTGCCATGGATGTGTACGATGAAGTTGACAGGCGAGAAACTGATGCAGGTGACTTAACATGTGGCTTTATTTACTAAGCTTCTGTTATCAGTGGGCAGTAACAAGCCCCGTGTTCTATTTGCCCAATTTCTACTGTCCTGATAAGGCGTGTGTCAACGTGTACCCTTGCGTGTGTTGACTTCAGAGTGTGCTTCCCCAAGTTTCCTTAGTAACGCTCCTCCCGGCACCGTGGTGGCACCCCAGGTGTGATGAGATTGTCTCTGGCTCTTTCCTCTGGCTAGTCTGGCTTGCCACGCAAAACCACAGCACCCTGGTAACCGAGACAACCGTGGTCCCCTTTCTTCCGGTCAATCCTGAGTACTCATCAACACGAAACCAGGCAAGTGGCTCAGTTTGAAGAGTAACTGGTAGTATTTGGGGAATGGCTGATGTCATGGTATGTCATTTTCCCAGGATAAGTATTTTAAGTGATTCGATTGATTAAAATTTAATACCTTTATACACACTAAACACAACTCACAGAATGATAAGAAAAGCAACAGATGTAAAATAGATTACTGGGAAAGAATAAAAGACAGTTCATAGAAAAAATATAAATGCCTTGTGAAAAAATGTTTAAACTTACTGGTAGTCAAAAAAAAGTAACCTAAGACAACAAAATATATAATAAGGCTAGCAGTGTGATAGGATAGACTTTCTCATACAGATAGGATTTTAAATGGCTATAGACTTCAGAAAAGCAAATTGTTTACCAGAAGGCTCAAAAAAACCGTCTCTTTTTATATTGAAATTTCTCATTTTGGAATAATGTTCTAGTAAAATAGTTTTATACCATTAAAGCACTATATTATATAACAGTGTTAAAAACAGCTGCAGTATACATCAAGAGGAGAAATGATAAGTAAATGCAGAAAGTGTTTTAGTTTTAATTTTTTGAATAGTCGTATATAAGGATAGAGTCCCCACATCTGAACTATAATTACGTTTACCTTGAAATTTAGAAATTTCCCTCCGTGTTAAACATTTACCATTACTGAATCTAGTTCCAAACTAAATTGTTACTAAAGAATAGAAGAAAAGCATGAAGTAGAGCCATTTTATTTTATTTAGATAGTGCAGGACTTCGTGAGTGCTAGGGAAGTGCTCCCACCACCCTGGCCAGAGCCACTTTATTTTTGCTCACAAAAATAAATGCATTCTGGGGGGCTGGGGATTTAGCTCAGCGGCATAAGCACCTGCCTTGCAAGCAGGCAGTCGTGAGTTCGATCCCTGGTACCGCCTCCCAAGTGCTTGGATTACAGGAGTGCGCCACCATGCCTGGCCAATTAAATTCTGAAAATTTTATTGTTAAGAAGTCCTCTTACATAAATGGCTTTTGGAAAACATTACTGTTTTGATTATGGCCGTGATTGATTACACTGTGATAGTGCTGGGATTATCCATAGTGTGAGAATCTTATCAATAGTTCTACTGGTTTGGCTTATGTCTGTATTTTTACATTGGGGAATGTTTTCAATTATTTTCTCTCCCTTAGGGAAGACAGAAGCTAGCTCGGTTTAATGCCCATGAGTTTGCCACACTAGTCATTGACATTCTTGGCGATGCCAAAAGGAGACAGCAGGGAAGTCCCCACTCAAGTTCAAAAGGTAAGTGTCCAACAGCTAAACGTCAGCTTGTTTGGCCTTATAAGCATTAAATTTAAAGTTGTAAATTCATTACAAGAGACCTTAGCATGATAGCTTACAGTCCTATGAATTTTATTATTGATTTGTTGGGATGAAAAGTTTACCTCTTTGGAGTCTGATCTATAATATTTCACAATTAATAACTTATTCAAATATATTTTCCGTACTTTTTTCTCCTTTTGGGTCACTTTGCCTATAAAATTGCCCCCTGAAATTAACTCAGAAATTCAATTCAGAGCTTACTAATGACATAGGAAAACAAACGCTCTTGATTGAAATCACATCTCCACCTGCTGTTGCTTACCTCCAAAACTGAGTTCTAAGTATTTAACATTTGTTTCTGTAAACTTTAGATGTGTACAGCAAGAACTATTATGAGTCAGATTACAGTCTTGAGCATCTACTTCAAAGTGGCCTGTGGAGTCTTGTTCAGTATCTCATGTTCCTGTCTCCTCCACATGGAGGGAAATACTTCCCCTGCAGCCCATTACTGGGTACCTGTTGTGGATTTTTCCTCTAATCACTATACTGTTTTATCGTAAGGCATTTAAACAAAAAACAAAGTGTACCATCAAAATTAGTACAGTCAGTATTACATTCCCCAAAGGCAAGAATCATTCTGACAGCAGTTTGTTCTTTCTTTTTCTTATTTACAAATCAATTTAATAATTTTCAACCAATTAGAAATAAAGAAAAAATGAATAAACTTCAGGGAAAATGTAGGACCAAAAATCTTTGCATAAATGTGAAGTCCCAAAATATATGTACTCTCAATTTCAGAGAAATTATCAGAGATGTTATAAGTATGTTATGTGTAATAGCAAAAACATTAAAAATAGCTAATATTTGGATGATACCCAGACATCTGTCCAGAGAATATATGATATGGAATAAATTAGTGAAACTTTAGAATTTTTAGTATAATCCAAATTTTGTAAGGAAAACATATTTATAAACACACAAGAAAGGATCCCGCATGTAATTATATACATACAGTTGATCCTTACCTGCTGATTCCATATTTGTAAATGTATCTACTTGCTAAAATGTACTTGCAACCCAGAATCAACACTCTAATCACTCTTGAAGTTATTCTCACATAGGCAGAGTGGTGAAAAATGAGTCACCCAAAGCACATTCCTGGTTGAGGTTGAACAAGGCAACTCCTTACCCCTTTCTTGTGGATCCCGTTATATGCAAGTGTCCCTTTTAAGGTCTATTTAGAACCATGGTTTTTACATGTTTGTGCTTTTTTTTTTTTTTAATTTCGGTTCTTCTTGTGCCATTTTTGTGCACTTTATTGGTGATTTTGCCATAAGCATAGTGCTGAACATCCTGTCTAGTGTTCATAAGAGCAAGAAACCTTACAGAAAAATGTCTACTGGATGAGCATTGTTCCAGCATGACTTTTAATGCTGTTGGCCAAGAGTTTCATGTTAATGGATCAATAATATATGTTAAATGAAAACACACGGCACATTTAAATGAAAACACACGGCACAAGGCTGTGCATTAGTGGGCTGATGAAAAAGTTATTACTTAATGCTGTTGGGAACTCAATCCTGTATCTCTCCTAGGAGCAGTAGTTTGGTATTGGCTCATGCAGTCTGCACAGCAACCTTTTAGACTATACCAACAATAACAAGAATTGGCTATATGTGTAATGTATGTTGGGGAAAAAAGACTAGAAAAAATAGGTCAGCAAATAACAATGACTGTGAGTGATTTCTGTCATCCTTGGTCCTTAACTTCCAAAATCTCTCAGTTGAATCTTTATTACTTCTGCATTCACATATTTACATGTTTTTAAATATTTTAAGAATTAAAATAAGACCTAGTCCTCTTAAACCGTGATTTGTCACTTAGATGTCAGTCATCAGCATATCTGGAAGAAGGGCTGGGGCTGTAACTCCTTGGGAGAGTGGTTGACTTTCATCCTCGACACTGCAGACAACAAAAACCAAAAAAACAAAAAACTCTGGGGAAAGGGACCACATTAGACACCAGAAGTCAGAGGCTACTGAGTTACCAGAAAAAAATTGGATAGGATTGGGTAGTTTGTGAATTCTTTTATTCAAAATGTGTGAGAGCCTATACAGTCACTGCCCCACACCGTGGGATAGACACTCCTAATGTTAAACACGTGTGTGTCCACTGGGTACATTTTCCGTATCTGTGCGAGTCTGTGTGTCTCTCGCTCTTGCTCTCACTCTCTTTGATGCAAGTGACTGTCAGTGTTCTTACCCTTTAAGCACGTAGTTTCTAAGCTGCAATTTGCCTCTATTCTGACTTAGTGTAATCAAATATCTTTACCTTTACACCGCATTGTCTCAGCTGTTTATGACTGCAGCTATGCAATAGGTATAAAGACCTGGGAACTTGCCTCCTCAATCTGAGCAGCTCGTTCCTAAGCCCTCCCCTTAATTTGCCCAGTAGAGCAGAAGAATGCTTGACTGTATGCAACTTTCCATTGCGTTGGTAACTTTTTCTGCGGCCATCTATTGGTGTGAATATAATATGCCTATTTCTGTCATTTTCTTTTAGGCCTTTAAGTGGCTAAGCCAAAAGTCATCCCAGTAGGTTTTTGGAAGGAAAAAAATAATGTTTAGGCCTGAAGTAAAGTTATTTGCTTCCATTGATAGACAATGTGGAGCTTATCCTGAAAACAATCAATAGCCAGCACAGTACTGAGAGTCAGGACAACGACCAGCCAGACTATGACAGTGTGGCGTCAGACGAAGACACGGACTTGGAAAGCACAGCAAGCAAGGCAAACCGGCAGAAGGTGAGCGGGTAGAGGGTGGCTGTGCCTCTTGTAAAAGTCTTCCTCCTGCAGAATTGCCTCGAGGGCCCCGCCTGGGAAAGCAGCTGGGGAGGTAACGTTGGGTTCACTTGGTAGCTCAAGTCATGCAGAGTGAAGCAAAGCAAATAGTTTCACAGTCAGGCTTTTTCTTCCCTCAGTCAAGTACTGCGTTACAGCGTGGCTTCTCTGGATGGTACCCTCCTGAACAAGGCTGCCCCCTTCCCTGGCTGGGAGGAGGAATGAGCACACTAAGAAGCACCAAGTCAAGCTGAGGGAGTGAGGAGGGAGAACTCGGTGCAGACGAGCACCCAGGAGGCCTGGTGAATGGGATGCCTCTTAGGGTGTGCTGTAAATGGCATGGGCCTTGGGCCTGAAAGAGGCGGAACAGTCTCGGCAGAGAAAGTGAAGCCAAAGCTTCTGGAGGGGCTGCTCGCATGAGTAGGGCAACTGAAAGGTGTGGGACTGTGCTAGGTGTGCTAGCACACCCCTGTAATCCCAGGACTCTGGGAAGCTGAGGCAGGAGGATCACAAGTTCAAGGCCTGCCTGCGCAACTTAGAGATTGAACAAGACCCTGATCTCACAAAAAAAAAAAAAAAAAAACAAAGTATTGGGGATGAAGCTCATTTCACAGGCCCTAAATTCAATCCCCAGCACCACCACCAAAAAAAAAGACTCAAAGCTGCAACAGGAGGAAGGTGACAGACTGAAGAGCTGAGATCTTGAGGCCACCTCAGAGAGTAGAGGGAGGAAGCCCAGTCAGCATGTTCCAAAAGAGGGCCAGACAGGCTGACACGAGCCATCTGAGGTGTCAGAGCCTAGACCAGCAGGGAGAGAGTGAGGCACCAGAGTGCGATCGGGGAGCGCGGATCCCAGCGTCCGGGGTGATCCACCCACCGGCTGCTGGATCCCTGGGACTGGCCCTCTGAGGGGCTCTGCAGCCCGCAGAAAGAGTGAGTAGCAGGCGGGCTAGGAGAATCCAGAACTTTGAAATGGAGACATGAACTTACAGGAGACGTGTGGAGTTTTCACACCTCACATTACTGAGAATGATGGTGCCGTTGGCAGCGACTGGGATGTCCCTGTCTGGACTTCCAGCGGCTGCCGGTTCCCTCAGGGAAAGCCAGACTGTTCTGCACTGCTCACTGACAGCCCCCACATCTGCTTCCTCCGGCTGAGCTCTGCTGCTGGCTGGAATGTTCTCCCTGTGCCTTAGGGCAGTTTCCTTGCCTCCTCAGCTCTACTCAAAGACTTCCCCTAACGCGTAGCCCACCTACACCCCTACTTCAGCTCCTGCACCCCCTCACCTGCTCCATTTTATCTGTTTCCACAGCACTAATCACTTTCAGTCATACTGTATATTTACTTTTTATTTTTCCCTTCTCTCATGCTCCTGGGATGTAAACACCATGGAAGTAGGAATCTTTGTTTTCTTTTCTGTTACATCCCAAGCACCTAGAAATTACTTAACACTCAATAAAAATGTTGGATAAATGAATTAATGAAAGAATAAATGAAAATGGAAAACAAGCAAGAGACAGTCATGTAAGACAGAACAAACCTCTTTTGACAGTTGTTAGCATAGACTGGTAGCCCCACGATTCCCTTAGAAAATACTGACTTTAAAAAGTTTTTAAACAACTGGGTGTGATAACACATGCCTGTAATCCCAGCACTCAGAAGATTGAGGAAGGAGAATTGCCACAAGTTTGAGGCCAGCCTGAACTACATAGTGAGTTTAAGGCCAGCCTGAACTGCATAGCAGGACCCTGTCTCAAAAAAAACATTACATCTTTAAAAAGTAATATAGTGACCCTACTTTTATGTTTCAGTTTTACGTATTCTCAGAAGCCCTGATTTGGTTTAACTTTGCAATTCAGGTGGCATGGCCGAAATTTGAAATTCTTTAGCTGTTAGTCTTTAATGTTATCATCATCTCAGATTGTGAACATTTTCCCCAATTTATTTTTAGAGCCTAGATTCAGATTTATCAGATGGACCAGTCACTGTACAGGAATTTATGGAGGTCAAAAACGCTCTAGTGGCTTCTGAGGCCAAGATACAGCAGCTAATGAAGGTGAATAACAACTTGAGTGACGAGCTGAGAATTATGCAGAAAAAGGTAACATGTTAATAAATGCCAGGATGATTGCCTCTTTAATCCCATAGTATAAGGAAGAATGTCAGGCATCATGCTGTGGTTAGAGGGAAGAAAAGCAGTTACTAATACAGACCTAGAATTCTTGGGGCCACACTGTCTTTTTGCAAGCAGGATGTCTGTGGTTATTTGAAGCAAAGTAGCTGTGGCTATAAGTAAACCCAGAATAAATTCACCAGATAGAATATTATTATTATGGGCTACCTGGGAACCTGGATGGCAGTGCATGGATGTGATTCCTTCTGCTGCCGGTTCTAAAGAAAGCTCACACCATAAAGACAGAGTGAATGAGAGTCCAGGGCAGGTATAAGCATTGGGTCAGCATGGAAGCCCCAGCCCACACCCCACAAAGAGTGCTGTCCCTGTGTGGGCTAATTCTGAGTTCTTACCCACCCTCACCCTGCGCCCTTCCCCCCACATCGTTTATTAGTTATTAGTGCTTACCACTTAAATTTGTGGTGTCCTCAGAGCCTAGCACAGAGCCTACCACTAACGGTAAATTCTGAGTAAATAAGAGAATACATCCCAGCTCTCCTAGTGAGAACTGCATGCTGTAAGAGACAAGCCCATCCATTTAGCATTTCCTGTTCATTACCCTTTAAGAGAATGAGAACCACGAGAATGCATTAGCCCCTAAAGGAGTGCGGCCATTAGCAACAAAGCATACACTTAGGGGGATTGCATGTGTGGCGCTTTATGAAAATGCTAAGAAAAGAGAGCTGACAATTCCCCAAGCTGCCTAAGACTTTGTGGATATTGCTGCCATCATTTAGTCCTCTTCAAAATTCAGATCTTTTTGCTTCTCTTAAACAGAAACCAAACAGTCTTTTGTGTCTTTAAACTATCATTGAGGAATATTGTTTCAGACCCATTTCCAAGGCCCAGGCAAGAGGTACTTTTCATTTATGCCTAGGTCTCTTCTAGTGCTGCTTTCAAAAGGAAGGCTACAGAACTAAACCATGTGCTTGCCTGAAAAGCACGCTGCATGCGTCTTCATTTGGGGTTTGCTAGGATTTTTGTATTAAACACAAGGTCTTTTTTTTAAATAGCACTTTTGAAACCAGTGAGTCTGATGCTGATAATGCAGGAAATGAGGGTGCCTGCAGGTTGGCTCTGAGCCTCCCAGCTCAACCTAGTGCTGTGTGCAGTCCCGAGCAAGGCAGAGTAAGAGCGCCTTATCACAGGACTTGCACTTCTTCTGTCTGTTCAAACAGATTATGTTTCATAGATTTTAGTTTGTCCCATTAATCAGGCGGATACTTTTCTTGAGATGATTTTCTGAAACATACTGATGTTGCCCGTTGTAAATCAGTCTGCCAGGCATCACGGTTTGAATTCTTTAACATTCCTCCCAGCATTTGTATGAATTGCCAGAGATAACTTCCGTATGTTTGGAAGCAAATGTCATAAGCTTCTGAAGAAACACAGGCCGAAACTGTTTGCCATTGTTCATTAATTAGCTCTCCAATTCTTAGAAATGCTTTTGATTTCCAAAACTGTTGTATTGTCTGTAACTTTCTGTTTCCTGCCATACAAAAAAATGTTACCTAGTTTTTATTAAGATAAGCATCATTAAAATTTATCCAACGATCTCTGTAAATACAGAGTGCTCACAGGGCTTGGTGAAGCATGGCTATAATCTCAGCACTCAGTAGGCTGAGCCAGGAGGATCACCACAAGTTCAAGGCCAACCTGGGCTATGTAGCGAGACCGTGTCTCAATCAATTAATACATACATACACACATACATAGTACTAAAATTTTTTAAAACTTGGAACCAGGAAATTGTGCTCACCTCAGAACACATTCCAACATAGTCTGGGCTATTGTTTCAGAGGCATGAACAGTGTTGGCATGAAGTTTTTAATTTGTAGTCTGACCTAAAAACTTGTTAACATACATACACTTTTTACCTAGGTAGGAAGACAAATGGAGCCCTCCAAGGGGGCTCCAAGTCGCTTAGCTCAGCATTCTGTGGACCGGATCATTTCACTTAGGCCATGGGTTCCTGATAAGTATTGTGGCAGGTGCCTTTATTTATGTATGGAATGTAGGGATTCCCCCCGGCTGCTTGTCACCTTGCAGCGCAGCTGTCCCCCTTTGGAAAGGGGGTTACTGATTTAAGCTGTGTCCTGAAAGCCTTTGTGGTATATAAGCAGCCTGTCCCTGTTCCTCTCTTTGAGGAGATGAGGCGTGGTCTCCCTGTGGAAGAGGCAGGCAGCCACACTTTCACAGAGGTTTGGCACTAATAATATGAAGAGGTGGATTTGTTTATGTAGCAAAGATGTACTGATTTTATTTCAAAGCTGAGTAAAGTTTTTTTCTTTATAAAGTTGACTAAATAGCTTGATTTATATCTGATCTTTCACATTTAACAGTTGCTTGAAAAGGATGCTAATTAATGAAGAGGAACAGCCACTATTGGTGTATTTTTCACAGATCAGTACTTTCTAAATAAAAATTGAAAATAACTCCTAACACTGCATGGGTTTGCTATTGGAAAAGTAAGGAGCTCCTGGTGCAGACATGGTTGCTTGTGGACTTAAACCCTGGCACTGGAGGGGAATCTGATCAGAGTTCACAGTCTCTGTTAAAGAACAGACAGCTGAACTCACACCACACCCCGCTTGTAAAACTGTCACGGAAGATGAAGGCGCATCAGAGGGAAGGACCCTGTGCAGAATGGACACAGTTACTTGGGTTTTAACTGCCAGATGCTTAAAGAGCCACACGATTCCTTTCTGATCTTTTAACCATCAAGGAACCTGCATGTGAGGAATGGAAAGAGCGTTCAGGGTCTCCAGTGGCAGTTCTGGCTAATACGGGTAGAGCAGGCAGATTAGCAAGTTCAGAGCCAGTACCACTGTGTTCATGCTTTCTGGGTGACAAAGCCAAAGGAGAGAAAGGCCAAATACTCCAGCCTGACCGAAAAATCACCAGAGGGAAGCAAGTGTACTACGTGGAGCATTCCTTCATATGAAGATGCTAGCATAGTTAAACAGCTTTCCAGTTTTCTTTATGATTTGTCAATATAGGAAATTTACTATGATTTAGTTCCCTCTTTTTTTTTTTTTCAAAACTGCTGAATTGTTTGGAATATCAAAAGTATCATGTAATAAAACCTTACTGGTCATACTTTTTTGGTGCCTTTTTGGAAATCAGCAGCTGATCTGCTGCTGAATTTGATATTTGATAAGCTGAACCTTTCCTTGCTTTGCAAAGCAACTCTAGTTATCTTTGTGCTGCTTCCATGGTGTCTGCTGTCACTTTTGGCATTTGCAAATTGCTCAGGGCTCATTTAAAAATCAAGTTATTCAGTGATGTTTTAATGGTCTCAAGCTTCTGCTTGAAACTGCCTTAGAATAATCCTGAGTACAGCTTGCCTGCAGACATTCCCCTGCCCCACCACAACAGAGCTTAAGTGGACATTTAATTTTTAAAAAGTCGAGACTACAACTTTCCTACATGCAGACATTAAACTACAGAATTATCCTTTGTGATAAAGTGAATTGTGTTTCACTCATTTGAGAAGGGAGACATTTTTTTAGGTGCTTTACTGTTAACCCAGCTAGCCGCTATCGTTCTTATTGTTTAAAGCTAATAGTTGTATTTGTTTTCTTGGTGTTTGCCTTGTCTGCTTGCTATGGAAAAACACAGTCCCACTGCCAAACATTTCTTTCAGCTTCAAACACTCCAGAGTGAGAATTCCAGCCTCAGGAAACAGGCCACAACCAATGTATATCAGGTGCAAACTGGTTCTGAGTATCCAGAAACTTCCAACCACTCTTCCTTAAAGCGACGTCCATCTGCCCGGGGCAGTAGGCCCATGTCCATGTACGAGACGGGATCAGGTCAGAAACCGTATCTCCCAATGGGAGAGGGGAACCACCCGGAGGAGAGCAGGACAAGACTCCAGCCCTTCCCTGCACATGTAAGTAACACCACTGGTGCTTCTGCTGTTCACTCTGTGCAGCCTGAGTCCTCTGTTCCCTGTTCTGAAGCCACAGACTACTGTGCCTCTGCTTTGCCAACCTGGGCTCTGAGCATTGCCGTGTGTTTGCTCTGTTAACGTGTCCACAGATGCTTGCAATGTTCACACAAGCACATGGGGCCGTGGATAGAACATCTTTCAGGGTACTGGGAGATTCTGGCTCATACTCAACTTCTACTCCCCTTTCTTTCTGCAGTGACTCCCTCCCCCATTCCACATGATACTTCCCAGCCATCCCGTGTTGGGCTGTTTACGTAGAGTTCCCATTTTCCCCTATTTCCAAAAACAAAAGTAAATTGTAAATGTCACTAGCAGAAGTGTCTTCTTCGAAATAGACAGGTCTGTGGCCTTTATGAACTGAAAGCCTTATAATCAGATTGCCTGTTTGCTGCTCAGGTGTGGGCAGGTAACCTTTGTGGCCCGGTACTTAGGCAAGTCCAGAATGCTGTGTCCACTGTGCTCAGTGTGCCTGCCGGGCTTAGCCTCTGCGTCCTCTACCCCTCCTCCCCGGTGGGGGTCTGGCTTTGTCAGCTCCCAGAAATGAAGAGGAAGAATGCTACATCTGCCTTTCAGGGTTAAACGCCAAAGACTGTTCTGTAATGGGTTCATATAGCTTATTTCACAATGGTGTAAGGGTTAAGTTACGAGCTTTTCAAATATTGTATGTCTTGGATTAATTTATTATAAAAATCTATGTTTTGACAAAATGTTATAAAAACTTTATGTGATGCTTTGTTCAGAGAGTGCTATTTTTCATTTTGAGTGTCAGAAAGTTATTCAATTAAATTGTATAGGAGTTTCATAAATGCAAAGTGCTTCTGTCAAATTTAAGAGTGGTAAAGTTGCAGTATTGTATGCCTGTTATTTCAACTTTCCTTTAAATTGTTTGGAGTTAACAGTCTTAAGGTAATTGATTTGGTGCATTTGATGTAATGGACATGTTGTTGAAGTAAGTGAAGAATCTTATTTTTGTATAACTAAAAACAAAATTTAGAAGAAGTACTTTTTTACAGTGTACTTTTTTATTTTAGAAAAGTTAAGAATGTAAGGATGTCATATTGCAGAAGTTCTATGATTATAGTGCTGAAGATTAGAGTACTGGGCATACCAACCAACAATCATGTGTATAGTTTCTCTTTTCATATAATCAGTCCTGATTGGAAAACATTCATTTTAGGCTACCCATTAAAAATAACTATTGGTAAACTTGACACATAGCCTATGTGTTGTCTTTTCCCATATGGAAAAGTAGCCTTTACTAAATTCAGAGTCATTTCCAGGTTTTCACCAAGGGATAAATGTCACGGGATAAATGACACCTGTTACTGGCTGTCAGTGAGATTTCAGGACTCGCCTCATACACTAGAATTCTCTTCGAGAAGCCAGGGCAAGCGGTCTGGGTTTGTTTGTGTTGTGTTTTCCCGAGTATGTTTCTCTTTCCCCTTCCAGATCGGGAGGAGTGCGCTTGTGACCTCCTCTTCATCTCTGCCTTCCTTCCCCTCCACACTTTGCTGGTCGAGGGAAGAAACCACCCGAAGGGTTAAGTACACTCCGAATGGTCTGCTCTGGAGGAGGGGCAGTGCTCCTGGGCGCTTTGTGCTGGCCCTCTTGTCCCTGTCCTTGCTAACAGCGGTCTCCCGCATGATGCAGCGCATCCCTCTCGGTCTCTCACAGCAGAGCAGATGGGTACTCACGAGCACACGCACGTAAACTGCAGAGGCGATCTCCCTTTTGTCTAACCCTACATCACTCATTTTCCTATTATATTTAACAGAGATCACAGATTCCCCCTATAACACTTACTCTGGGCATACTGTACTGTCTTTAAACAATCATAAAATTAGCTGGCTGCTGGTTAAATAATGGTATAAGGCAAATCTGTCCAGTTTGTTCAGAGCTACTATCGTATTAAAACTTGTATTTGGACTAGCATAAAAACAGGTCTTAAAAAAAACTGACCTGTTTTTATCAGCACTATACGTGTCAAGCCAACCTTTTAGAGACTTGGCACCCCAAGTGTGAATTGTAACACCTAGCAGCTGTGGAGGGTACAAGCAGCTGTCAGCATAAATCTTTTCACTGGTTGGTCCAACCCTGCTTGCTGGTATATAATTCATCTTCTTATGAACAGCCCACGGAGCCAGGAATGTAGCTCAGTGGATGTAGCTCAGCCTGGCAAACACGAGGCCCTCAGTTTGATTCCCAGTACCAAAGGGGGAAGAACAAAAAACAACAGGAGTCAGTTCCTGCTGCAGAAGACACCGCCAGTAAATGAATGAATACTTCCATCCCCTGAGACCAGGATGGAAAACCTTTTAGGACTTTCAGTGACACAAGCGATCTAAGTCTGGCTTTTTTTTTTTTTAATGAAGGATAGTAGAATAAAGGTGAGAGGAGGGAAGGTGCCGTGGATGAGGGACCGCCTTCCCAGACAAAGTGGAACCTGCACTGGGCCGCCTTCCATTCCCTCCACTCCTAGGAATGATAGAGGATCTTTCTGTCCATTGCCAAGGGACATGAGTTGCTAAGGTCTTTGGATTTTTGTACTACATTTTGAAGTAGTCTGGTAAACACAGTTCTTGATACATAGTACTTTTTTTTTTGTAGTACCAGAGATCGAACTTACGACCTTGCGCTTGCCAGGCAGGCGCTTATGCCGATGAGCTAAATCCCCAGTCCTGATATGTAGTACTTTAAAGTCTTCTGAAATTAGAGCTGAGGGTGTAGCTCAGTGGTAGAGCACCTGCCCTGGGCCCTGGTTACTCTCCTTAGCATCAAAACCAAACCAACAAAAAACTGACACTAACCTATAATATTTTCATTCCAGGAAAACTAAGGCCAGCAAAATAAAAACGAAAAGGGGCTGGGGATTTAGCTCAGCGGCATAAGTGCCTGCCTTGCAGGCAGGCAGTCGTGAGTTCGATCCCTGGTACCGATAAAAACGAAAAAGACCAAAAAATAAAAATAAAAACAAAATATCTCATTTGAAATTTTGTTACTAAGAATCAAATAAACTGCTTTTGTTCCCCTATGCATTTTTTAAATATCTTAAATAGCTTCAAAAATGATTGTAAGGCCTGTTTGCTAAGATAATTTTATACAAAACTGACAGTGGACTCATTTAAACTGATCATCCTGGCCATTCCTGACAGCTGCATCATGGTTTTAAATTTTTTATTGGCATGTCTGTACTCAGAGAAAACGTCAAAACTATCAAACTGAATGAACCAGCACCAGCTATCCAATAACTTTTCCATTAACAGCTTTGAGAGCAGCACTTTTAACTGGCAGCTCTTGGCTCTGCATGTTCACAGTAATTTTCATCAAATTAAACTCTGGCTCCATTGAACTTGTGTATGCTTTTGTTGACATCACTGAAGGACTTAATGTGTAAGTAGCTGACTTTCTGAGTGGTGACGGCTGTACATGAACATTTCGTGAGCACTGGTCGTGGGGATGTGAGCCATTACTCTTTAAAATGTTTAAATGAAACTTGATGTTTTTTTATCATTATGAATAATACATTGGATTTGTAATTACCAAATTTACAACAAGGAAGGAGAAAAGATTCATTATAAAAATGTGGAATTTTCTAGGTTTAAATGTGTTTTCTAGTTTTTTCCCCCAGTGGAGCAACTCTGGATGAACTTTCCAGTATAATTATTTAAGTGCAATTCTTTTACTATTTATGCGAGTATGTATACACAGAGAAAATAAATGTCAGGTTGTCACACATTCCCTGTGAAAGGTAAGAAGGGCTGGGGAGGTTGTGCTTTGGTTTTCTGAGATCATCTCTGAAGATGATCCTGCTTTTGTGGCACTGGGTATGTTGTCCACCTTTGGTTTTTCACCCAGCCTTTTACTCGCCAATAACCTTGAATCACTCATAAAAACAGATCAAAATTGGGCAACGAGTGAAGCAGAACTACTTATAGGTAGGAGACGGCATATAAAATTGTAGCTGGGCTGCATGTAGTTTCCTGGTAAAGCACTTGCCTAGTGTGCACAGGCCATGGATTGGATCTTCAGCGCTGGAGGGAGAAGAGACGTTTATACAACTTAGTTTTACAAACTCCCCAGATGGCTCGCACTCAGTGCTTTCGATCATTTGCAAGATGAATTTGAATGAATAAAGTAAGAGTTCGTATTGAGTTTTAGGGTCCCAGAGCAAGAATCTTTTAGTAGCGTGAGTAGGAACCAAGTAGCACATCTCACTAGCCATGGGAAAGGCCTCCGCAGACAGTCTTTACCCTAAGAGAGGCAAAGAATGAGCTGTGGGGACCAGAAGCACAAGGCAGTGTGCCTGAGGAGGCCCCCCACCTGGGCCTGGCGGTGTTGCCAACCGTGAGCAAGCAATTAGACCTTATGTATTGGCCTTCAGCTGACTACTGTGAGGTAGCCTTCTTTTGGGTATAACTGGAATGTCTCCATGTTTTAAAACGGTGCTCTTAACATGGTTATAGGCTTAGCCTCATTGAATTACAACATCAGTAAAAGTCCTTAGTCACATGTTTTGATTAAATTGGATTAAATTCAAGGTAGAGAGCCACAAATAGTTCTTGTATTTTACAAGGTTGTTTAGGTTTTGAAGCCGCTTATACCGATTTCTGTTCTAGTATAAAACAGATACTGAAAGGAAATGGTTTTCACTAAGCATTCCGGAGTAACATGTTCCCTTCATACTTTTTTTTAAGTGTTTTTTTGTTTTTAGTTTTTTAAGACAGGGTTTCACCATGTAGTTCAGGAAGGCCTTGAACTCACGATGTAACCCAGGCTGGCCCCAAACTCATGGCAGTTCTCCTGCATCAGCCTCTCAGGTGCTGGAATTACAGGCAGATGCCACCACACCCGACCTGATGTAGTCCTTCAAAGGAAGGTGGTCCTCTTCACATTTTGTTACCCTGGGAGGTCCTGTATTTAGCAGTGCTGCCATTTACTAAAAATATTTTTAAGGCCAGGCGTGGTGGCTCACGCTGTAATCCCAGACTTGGGCGGCTGAGGCAGGAGGATCGTTGCGAGTTTGAGACCAGCCTGGGCTACAAAGTGAGCTCAAGGCCAGCCTGAACTGCATAGTGAGGCCCTGTCTCAAAAAAGACCAATAATAATAATAATATTTTTAAAACTCATTGTTTACATCTATATCCTGTTTTTAAAATCCCCGCATTTGTAACAGATCCCTATTTTATAAGAGGTGGATATTTTTGGAGGCAGATGGTTTCAAACTGAGTATCAATCCAGGTTAATCCATTTTGGCTCACAACTCAGGGTATAAACTAATACTGTTAAGTTTTCCCCAGTGTTTGCTAAGAGCTGTCTCTGAAGTGGTTCTCAAAAAGCCACTGGTGCTTGGATGGCAGCGATCATCCAGGTCCAAGCCAGCTAGGGAATCCCAGGGATACCTATAGAGGAGACAGTGGGCCTGGCTTCTTGGTCTGTTTTTCTACAGATGTGTCCTGAGGTGGACACCTGGCTTTCTTGGCCCTCCATTCTCTCATCTGGTGTTAATCCAGATGACCTGCAGGTAGCTTGCAGCACTGAGTGCTGGTAAAAGTTGGAGGGTGTCTGTTCAGCGCCTCCTCTCCCCCATGCTGGGGATTGAACTCAGCCTTGCTCACCCAAGCTCTCTGCCACTGAGCTCCATTCCCATCCCCTTTTTAAAAAGTTTTATTTTGTGACAAGATTTTGCTGCTGCCCAGGCTGGCCTTGAATTTGCAGTCCTCCTGCTTCAGCCTGCTGAAAGGCTGGCATCACAGGCATGCACCACCATGCCCAGCTACATGTCTGCTTATTTAACCGGGTCTCATTATCTTATAAATTCCATATTCTTTTGAGAATGATATGAGACAGTCTTGCATGTCTTATTGGTTTCTTAATTTGTACCAAGGATCTGTTTATGGCTGCTAAGTTCAAAAGAAAACAGTGCAGAAAGAAAGAAACTATCAGGGGCTGGAGATTTAGCTCAGCGGCATAAGCACCTGCCTTGCAAGCAGGCAGTCATGAGTTCGATCCCCGGTACCGATAAAAAAGGAAAAAGACAAAAAAAAAAAAAAAAAAAAAGAAAGAAACTATTGTGTGAGTTCACTGTTCATCTTTTACTAAATTTTCAGTAAATGGTTGGCTCCTACCCCACATGAGATCTGGGTGCTTACCAGGTAATGCTTCCCTATGAGGACCCTGAAGAAGCGTCCTATGTTCTAAACTAATGTGGTCCCCTTCTCTTGCTTGTAGGCTTCCAGGCTAGAAAAACAGAACAGCACCCCTGAGAGTGACTATGACAACACTCCCAATGACACGGAGCCAGATGACATGGGGTACATCCGTGGGAAGAGTGCGGCGGGGGAGGGGGGCCTGGCAGGCCCTGACCACCTACAGCCCTTGACCCTAGTTTTAGACCTATAAAGCCTTAAAATATTCAGGCGTATGTTTGTAGTTTACACGCCTTCTCAACTCACATTATTACCACAGGACTTTTTGTACTTTTACCAGCATGTTAGACATGTTTCTCAGCATTTGCACTGCACTTAAAATGAGCATTTTACTCATAACGAAGCTGATACTAGGTTACATTCTCCACTGGTGGCCCCAAGGAATTACCTCCACCGGAGGTGGCTTTATCATGCCATACTCCTTACACTCTCTGGTTACTTGTTTTCCTCTCTTCAGCCTTTCAGTGTGAGTTCTAACTTCCAGCCCCAGGGTAGAATTCGAAAGCCTCTGGGTATGCTCTAGCTGTCAGTTGATGAAGCGGGGCCTTGCCATGAGTTTCCTGCTAGACAGGATAAGGGAAACCACAAAACCAGCCTGCTTGTATGTTCAGCCAGTGCAGAAGATATGGCTCTTAGAACCGAGGCAGCTACCAGGCACCTGTCGTGTTCAGCCAGTTCTTTACTGTTCACAGGTCAGGCCGAAAGGGCAGGCAGAGGAGTATGGTGTGGCCAACTGATAGCTTAGTATCAGAGGTGACAGAAACCCACGCATCACCGAACCCCGCCCTTCCCAGCACCGAGGATGTCATCCGGAAGACTGAACAGATCACCAAAAACATACAGGAGCTCTTAAGAGCAGCCCAGGAAAATAAACATGACAGGTAAGAGGCTGTAGTCCTATGCTGAGAGAACGGGTCATACTCCAACAGATGCTGCTTAATTCTGAATGGGACTTGTTTCTAATTTGCAGGCTTTTAGTGGAAGACCAAACATACAAGTTTTGTTTTCTTTGGAGTTTTTACATAGTAGATTTATTTTTTCCATTGTGTTAGGAAGCTCTCTGAAATAAATGCTCCTGGAAATAACACTGAAGTGTATTGGGAGGCAGTGAGAGTCCTGATTCATAGCAGACAGGGAAAGAAGCCTCCTTACAACCTGCAAGTGGTTCTGGTCACTGCTGCTGCCGGGGTTGCCCTCTGCTGGGGATATGATTCTGAGGCAGAAGCCATCCTGAGCGGACTTGATTTCTTATTTCTTACCCGTCTTCCCTTGTGTGTGCGTGCAAGCATGCATGTATAGAGTTCCAAGATTCTCAGTTGTGGAGGGAGATTCTGCATCCTTGGAGCAGAAGCATAGCCCACAGTGATTTCTTACTGAAAGGAAGGGTCTGGATCTTGCTGTACTGATCCTTTGTTCTCTGAGAATTCTGGTAAGTTATGGATATTCTGCAGGACGTCCCAATTTCCCATAATGGCTGGACCTAAATACACTCATAAAATTTTTTTACTATCACCACTTTGGGTCTGAGAAAGCAGCAGTAACTCATTACCAAGAATAACATCACAGTTAGATCAGCAAAGCTGAGGACCTCAGGGAGGCGCCCCACACCCTTTGCTCAGACAGAAGGCCTAGGAACACCACTGCTTCTGCTCTTGACTCCTCCACACTCCGCTTCATAAAGATGCAGCTGTGCCCAGTATTGTGGGACACGCTTGAAATCCCAGCTACTCGGGATACTGAAGCAGGATGATCATAAGGTCAAGCCCAGCCTGGGCGAGTTAGCCTCAAGGGCTGGGGATGCAGCTCGGGTAGAAAGCTCATGTAGCATGTATGATGTCCTGGCTCCAATTTGCAGTTCCTCAAGGGAAAGAAAAGATGTATCCATACCTGGAGTTCTCTGGGTTCCTAACATTGCCATGCCATCCTTCCATCTATACCTTTTTTCCACTTACACCACTCTGATTTGTCCCGGTATAGTTTCCCACCATAGAGGAGAGAAGTACTGTGTATTTCTTGAAGGATAAAAGTTAGTTTTCCTAGATGGGCTGCTGGAAGCTCTTCAAGGAAAAGAAGCTGCACAATTCCACAGCCTCCTTTTGCAGGAAGTTTGTAGCTGTTTCCTTTATTTCCTAGGCCTACTCTTTCTGCCAGGCTTCTTGCATCTCATGTCTTATAAACAGCTAGTAGTTTCGGCCGAGGCCACAGCCGTGACAGTGAGTGACCCCATATCTTACTGTACAGAGCAAAGTGTCCCGCAGCTTTCCACAGTAGTTGACAGTATTTTGAGTAACCTTGATGCAAGGATAATTCTTCCTGTGTACTCCCCACCCCATTTATCAGTGTGCTCAAATTTTCCTTTCTGCCAGTTTAGAAGTGCTGTGCTGGTATTTCAAACTAAAAACATGCTTATACTTTATTGCTCTCTTTGATAGTTGTCAACAATATAAATGTCTATCCTGAGACTATTTGTGGCTTGAAAGACTGCAATATGATGTGTGGTTCAACTTGGGAAGAGTCTTTTCTTTTCAAGACATAAAAATCTATTAACACATTTCAGGATCTGATTTATTTCTTTAAGGCAATGAGGGAATAATGAGATTTTAACCACTAGCTTAGATTTTTGGTTTAAAGCCAGAATTGGCCTAAGAAATTTATATTTTATAAACCATTCCAGTTCTATTAAAATCGCTGATTACTTACACATCTAAGATGCTTTCATTTATAACCTTGCACTTTACTAATGAAAGCCTTGCCTGTTTTTCTTGTTTTCTATTTTTGCTGATCTGTTGCTCACCTGCCTCCTAGATAAAACTGTATTCCATGCAGGCACCTCAAGGCTTCATCCTGGTTCCCTGAACCCAGAAAGCTCCCCTCAGCCCCCGACCGTCCTGCAGCCCTCCTCCTCAACTGCCTCACCCTTGTTGCTTTAGGGATTACAACATATTAGGCACAAAAGCTTTACTTGATGAAAGGTGGCGATTTGAAGTCATGTACTTGAATTCCCTATGACAGAGGAGACCTCCTCACTCATCGGCATGTGCTTTCCTTTGCGTTTATCCAGGACACCCCACAATCATTTGTAAAGAATAAACTTTCGAGAGATGGCCTCAGGAAAAATTCCTTCTTTGTCTAGTGGAGAAAAGTGAGTTGTAATTCTGGAAATGAAACCATAACCAGCAAGACAAAGTACAGTATGAAACGCTTGGGCATGGCTCTCTGCTATGTGATATTAATAGGAACAAGTGATTATTGTGAACATGGTCCTTTCCTCCTCTTGAGAGTTTGTGTGGCTAGGTGGCCTTCTGTCCCTTCACATCTGCAAGTTGCTTCTTGTGCATTGTCATTTTGGGTTAGTGTGTTATGAAGGGATCTAATTGCTCACAAAAGTAAAAGTTGGGATTTGCCATTTGGAGGCATTTTTACATAATTATAAGCCATTTTCTCGAAATATAATAGCTTAATGAAAATGTAAGCAGTAGTGAAATCGTTTTGATACTGGGTTTCTTTGTCTTTGTCTTTGTCTTCATCTTCGTCTTTTTTTGAGACAGTCTCACTATGCAGTTCAGGCTGGCCTTCGGCTCACTTTGTAGCCCTGGCTGGTCTCAGTCTTGCAGCATCCTCCTGTCTGAGCCTCTCAAGTGCTGGGATTACAGGCTTGCATAACCTCACCCACCTCTGATACTGAAATTCTTACAAAGATGAAGCACATGACATTAAAAAAAAAAAAGATGAAGTACAGTGATTACTTATGATAATCTTTATTCAGAATCCAACTTCATGGTTTAAAAAATGAGATAAGAATGTTTCTTGAGGGCTTTAAGTCTATAATGGATGCCGAGTGGCCTTTGGTTCAGTATCTTGGAAAAATTTTAAACACAGCCACGTGGGTCCTTGCGTCAGGGCAAACCTACAGTGTGTACAGCAGAATTTCCTAATATGCTATCGGTGGCCCCAAGAGTGCTTTTCCAGCTTTCCCACATCCTGGACTGTGGGTTAAACCTGAATACAAAGCCCAGGCTCGGCTGCAAGCTATATCTGAGAACTGTCACTTGGTACCATCACGTGACTGTTTTTTATGGTGCTGTGGATTGAGTACCTTACTCATGCCAAGCACATGCTCTGCCATGGAAAACACCCCCTCCCCAGCTGTTTTTGTGTCCTGCGTATGCCTCAGGATAAAAAGCTAACATTTTTAGGAAAGAGGAAATGTGCCTCATCCATTGAGAGTCAGAGTACTAAGAATAAGAATTGTGGGTAAAACCAGTCTTAACTCTGTCCTTTCTCATCACAAGAGATGAGATCTCATCACATGATGACCACTCATGAAAGGGAAGAGGCAATTAAGCGAGCTATGAATCTGACCACTGTGTTTAAGCTCAACTTTCCTCTTACATTTTAGAGACCCGGGCATGTCTGGGTCTGAGCCATTCTCTGGGTCAGTTTCTTATTTGAAAAACAGGTGTGATGATAGTTCAACATCACAGAACCATAGAGACGTTAATGAGTCTCTATGAAGATGATGTCACCTTGGGGGGTGGGGGAGGCTGTGAGACCACGTGGCCTGGAAGGAAGGATTCAGTGGGCTTGTCTTCTCAGAGCTCACCAACGTGAAGGGTAGTACTGACAGCGTTTAGTCATCCTCTCACAGACAAGCACATGGTGGCTTTGTGGCAAAGTGCCTAGGTGTCTGCGTGAACTTGGGAAACCCACCTCCGTGTTCTCTGTCTACCCAAGGAGAGAGTTTGATTCCCCAACATGTCACATGAATTGAATGAAAGGAATTTAGGCGTGTCCGTTGGTGAAATGACACATGGGTATTAAAAGTGTAATTTCAAGGAAATTGTCCAGCCCTTCCTTTTTCACTTTTGTGGACTTTGGCATGAAAATCCTTGTTTTTGTTTCTGGAAATTAAGGAGATGAAATACGTGAGACATCAGTGATCAGCTTGCGGTGTGAATGTCCATAAGACTGTTTGTGGCCTCACGCCATTAATAGTAAATGGTGGCACAGTTCATATATGGAGGTTGTTCTTACCAGGTTGAACTTTCAGGAGAGAAGGGGGACCCACTTTACAACTGTGAGCCTTCTCTTGGTGCGTGATACATGGTGGGCAGACTGCAGCCTTTACCCCTTCATTTAAAAAATGCTTTGCAATCATTTTGACTGTCTTTGAATAATATCTTCAATATTTTGCAGTTATATTCCCTGCTCAGAGAGGATACATGTGGCTGTTACAGAAATGGCAGCATTATTTCCTAAAGTAAGTCACTTTCTTAGATTCTTTTAAATGGATAAGAAATTTCTTTATGACCTTTATATCAACTTTTTTTTTTTTTTTTGTCTTTTTCCTTTTTATCGATACCGGGGATCGAACTCACAACTGCCTGCTTGCAAGGCAGGCGCTTATGCCGCTGAGCTAAATCCCCAGCCCCTATATCAACTGTTTTATGGCACATGGTTTTAAATATGCAATCATATATGGCATGGAAATATTTCTGTTTGACAGGATAATAGTAAGAAAAAGTAGGCCAGGAATGGTGGCTCACACATCTGTCTCAGACCTAGAAAATAATTATTATAAAACAGGGATATACAAGTCAAATACTGAAAGGCAGAACATTAATAGAATACAGTTTTATCTGAGCCATGTCAGAGCATTTCCACGTCTCTGTGCCATGGGCCTCAGAGCACTCTGTGGATAAAGGCCCCTGTTGAAAACATGTGAACAGAAATGCCTCTGGCCAGATAGAAGGACTTGAAATGTTTTCGGGAGCATGCTTGTCCCTTGCTGGTGGGTGTCCACCTTCCAGCCCCCGGTGAGCAGCTGTGTCTTTGTGTTTAGAAACCCAAGTCTGACATGGTGAGGACTTCCCTTCGTTTATTGACATCCAGTGCCTACCGGCTGCAGTCCGAGTGCAAGAAGGCCCTGCTGGGGGACTCCGGCTCACCCACCGACGTCCAGCTGGTCACACAGCAGGTCATCCAGTGTGCGTATGATATCGCCAAGGCCGCCAAACAGCTGGTCACCATCACCACCAAAGAGAACAACAACTGAGCAGCGAAGCACTGTCCCGTCTCCTTCCTAGGCTTTCAAAAGTCCAGTTTCAAATTTAGACATGGGACTCCTCAGATTTTTACAAAAAAACATTTAAAACTTTTTAAAAGAAAACTCAGTATTATTTTTGCATGTTTTCTAACAAATTTTTGACTATTAATTTAACCCACTTGCCTTATTTTGTGCCTGTTTACCAGTTTAGTTTCTGATGTCCTCTTGTGTTGTCTGTGACTGTCCAGGTCAGGATCACATACATCCAGAAGTAGTTCCATTGCTTAAAGTTTGTTAAAACTTTTCCATCCCCTGAAACTTCCTGCCTATGGGTAAAAGTATAAATGAAATATTTTAGTAAAACATTTTCTTGAGAAAGTTAGATTTTAAAAAAGTCAACAGTACCTGTTCCCTTCGAAGCGTTGTGCAATACGTAAATTTTTCAGCCTGCAAAAGTCTTAAGTTTGGGGTAACTCCAAGGTGTATGCAGAGAAAAGACTTTGCCATTTTCTAAAAAACAGTGTAACAACCTCTCTTGGAGGAAACAATGAATTGCTCTGCTTCTAATTGTTCTATCATGTTAAATGTTCTGTTAGGCTTTTTAATCTTGATTTTCCGTTTCTATGTTCCTGTCATCTTGAAGTCTCCATAGAGTCAGATAAAGATTCACCTTCCACGTCGTGTCCCATTTACCACGGTTCAGGGTAGGAGCACCCCGTCATCGCCACCCATGTCAAGCACTCTGCCTTACCCCATAAGCCGGGCAGTTCATTTGGAACACACGGCAAAGAGAAGCATCCGTCTAACAAGCCATAACTGATTGTACACCCGTTCAGGTACCACTGCCACGAACTGCCATTGCATTATACCTCTCCTCCAAAGTTCAGTTACCCCTTTAACCACTGACAGCTTCCCCACGTGAGCTCTTCGCATGTCCTGTCATCTGTAAGGACTTTAAGGTAAGATGTAAACAGTCCTTTTATTTTCTTCTGCTTGCCTTGCTGGTTCTTAGCAAGTAGACGTTAAGAGTTCTTTCAAGAGCTCCACAGAGAATGTGCCTGCCTGACCATAGCTCTCCCAAAGCGCTGAAAGAGTAGAGGTCCAGACCTAGAACCCACTGAGGCTGTGTCTTAAATTACTCAGAAGCCTTCTGTGTGCTGTGAGAGCGCTTCCTGTTCTGCTTGTTGCAGGGGTCTCCTGGAAGGCAGCTCAGTCCCTGACCTGATGATGCGCTGTGAAGTGAGCCCCGTGCACAGCAAGGGGCGCAAGTGGGGCCAGCTGGGAAGCCCTGGCCTCCCATCAGAAACAAATTTGCTCACTCATGTTGCCAGTGGAAAGTAGGACTGGGGTTGCCAAAGCTTTGATTTTTTTTTTTTTTTTTTTTTTTTTTTTTTGCAAGAGACACCAGAAATCTGAAATTTTTGGTGCTACCTCTCTAATTATAAATGTTGGCATGTTCATGGGAACCACATGGGTGAGCTGTGACCTCCAAGCGGCCTCTCACAGCTCCCACCCCAGGGCCTGTATTCCATGCAGCGGGAGGGCCTCACTTCCCCAGCCATACTGTGTTCACCCTGAGCAGGACCTGGCAGGCTGCTGTCTACCCACGTCGCCATCAGCCCTCTTTTTACCCAGATACTGTGTCCCACAGAGTCATTTGTGAAGCAGTCAAAATGATGAAAGTACAGGTCACCTCCCCATGTGTTGACCGAGCCTGTGTCTTCACAGACTGACTGTGAAAACTTTTACAGGTTAATCATACACTGTCACTGAACATAGCAGCCTCGTGGTGTTGGGTTTACTAGGTCACGGTGTGGCTTGCTACACTGTGAGGAGCATGGGACAAGGGTCCACATCTCCAGCAGACTCAGCCACTGACATGTCTGCACAGCCCTAAGTGCTGCATCCCTGTTGGATGCTCAGGAGATGACTCTTGGAAGGAGCCCCCTACCTGAAGCTCAAGCACTGCCTGACACCTTTGTGTGCATGCTTCGTGGACTTGCTGTCCCTCTTCTTCCTTGCAAACACCTGGCCCTCTGTCAGGCTCCCCAGGGTCCTCGGGGAAGACCCAGTGGCAATCCTGAGCCGGTGCCCCTGGCCTCCAGAGAAGACAGACCTCCATAGAGGCTCTGGGAAGGGATTTGTCAGCAGTACACCCAAGTGCCTGCAGCAGGGGACATTGTCTTTATGCCCCTAGACAAAGTCAAGGAATATAGGGACCAACAAAGTATTTCCAGCTGTGAGAACACCACAGAAGAGGTTGCCGGGTGAACCTGTGCAGAACTCAGGAGCTCCCACGTGGAGCAGCGGGCAGTGGGAGATCTCTGCTCCTGTTGGCAGGTCGCGCCTGGTCTGCGTGCTTGTCCCAGCCCCTTTTGCACATGGATCCCATTGCCTTGCACAAGCCTCGTCTGCAGCCCTTCATGTGTTTTGTCACCCCTTCTTCCCTGAAACTGATGGGACCGAGGTGCACTTTATGAGCTGGCACTTGGCTAATCAGAAGGAAGCAGCTCTACCCCTGAACTCCTTGGCACTGAACTCACCCTCCACTTCGGAATGCAGACAGTTCTTACTTGCCAAGAACAATGCATCGGGCCCAAAGATCAAGGACAGCATTTCATGGAATTGGAACTAGAAACGCACAACTCGGGAGCTGCTTCCCAGTCCTCAGGCGACGTGAGTCGCACAATGGAGTGAAGCTGCACGTCTCTGTGCTCAGCGGTCCCTGCGAGCCTCGGGCAGCCCGCTTTCTTTCCTTCCTCCGTCCTAGTTGAAAGGAATCCTTGTTCTTACAAAAGAAAATGCTGCATAGGAAAAATGAGATGCCTTTTATTCCAAGTGTTTTACGCGTGTCACTCATTCTGTACTTTTCCTTTTCATTGGACATCCTGTTCCTGTAAGTATTGGACCCTTCACGTGTTGTAAACTCGTTTTGGGATTTGTGCCTGCTAGTTATGCAATAAACAGGCTCTGTAAGTGTCTGTGTGGTCATGCTGTGCTTCCTGCCTGTCGGTGGATGTTTCCAGAACTCTGCAGAAGTGTGGAGAGAGTTTCTGTCACAGAACGCTGTTTCTAATGACAGTGTTTAACTTTCTCCTTCCCTTGGGGTTCTGTCAGCTGTGCAGCAATGACTAGCTTTTTCTTCCTCTCAAGTGAATACATAGATTTCTTAAAAGAAATCCTGCATCCATGTCCTTAGTGTCCCTCCCTCCCTCCATAAATCCTTTTGAGATGAAGTCCCACTAAGTTGCCAAGGCTGTCTGAACTCCTGGGCTCAGGAAATCTCTGTTCCTCAGCCTCTGAGTAGCTGGAACTACACATAGAAACTAGTTCCATGTATCTTGCTTCTTAGGTTTAATTTTTAGGTCAGCCAAAGCTGGCCAGACACAGATGCCCTCACCTCTTCCTAACAGGGAGTTAGGTCATGGGATTAGTTCATTCTTTCTGGAGAAAGGCTCATTGTACTGTTTCCCATGGAAACCAGTGTAGGTTTACACCTGGGTTCATGAGGGCCACCCACAGTCACCTGTTGTCCTCCGGAGAAGTGGCTTGGGGTTGTCCTTCAGATGGAAGGAGGACGGGAGGGGTAGGAGCTGACTGTCTTGGGAGTGTTTCTAAGTGAGAAGTCTGGGAAAGATACTCAACCTCGCTGTGCGGCCCTGCCTATTAGGGAGGGCCCAGAACCCACAGGCAGATTGGCGGATCCTGCCCAGAGCCACCTCGATGGTAGAGGTTCTCCCAGCGTCCACAGGGTGGCTAAGCACATCTTCTGCCTGCCTGGCAGGACCTCAGACTCAGCAGCTCGGGGTGGGCCGGGCTGGGCAGTCCTGTCATTCCCGGTGCCACTGACCCTCCGCGGGGATCTGCCAGGTTTGCTCCAGGCCACTGTCAGGCCCTTCCCACCACTCAGCACCTTGCCTTCTGTCTTATTTCATTTTATGATTTTATGTATTTATTTTGTACTGGAGATAGAACCAGGGCCTTTGCTCAGAGCTGCATCCCCAGACCTTTTTAAATTCTCTTCTGAGACACAGTCTCACTCATTCTTTAAATTGCCCAGACTGTGTTCGAATTTGTGATCTTCCTGCGCCAGCCTCTGAGCCAGGCTTACAGCTGGTGCCACCACCCCTGGCTTTGTCATCTGCTTTCAATGTGGTTTTATCCTGCAGTTCCTCACACATGTGGCCTCCTCCTCCTCAGACACCGGAGGAAGGAGTGCACTCTTCAGTGCTGTGGGTGAGGGGAGCCCCGCATCTAGGGATGTCAGTTACTCTACTTTGCCTTACCTCTCTTGATTGGCCATGTCATGGAACCAAGGACTGTAGGAGCCTGTGGCTTGTGTGGGACAGTGAAGCTGGCAGTGGTTGGTGGCACTGCAGTGGCCTCAGAGGCCCATTTTCATGCTCAGAGGAGCCGGGTAGGGAACAGCATTGTCAACTTGTGACCAAAGTTTGGGGTCCCTCCAGCTGGGCGCTGTCTTACTTCCCCTAGAATTCCTTGCCCCTGTCCCTCTCTAGTTTTGAGTGGCTGACAGGACTGGCCCAGCTCTTTGGCCCACACTTCTCATAACATCATGACAGCAGCAGCATAATCCACAGGGCTACACACTGAAGGCATTGCCACCCAGAGACCCTGATTCCGGACCGCGTCAGGAACCTGTCATCCAGCATCCTGGGCGTGCGAGATTATCTAGGAGTCAGTCCCTTGGCCCATGGACTTGGTCTCCAGGTCTGCCAGATGACTGTGGCCTCTTCTGTCAGCTGGAATCCAGCACCACCCTTCAGCCCACCCACTTTGTGAGTACCGGTATCGGAACACAAAGCAGCGCCCCTAGAGGTTGAGACAGGCAGAGACTTCCCTCTCCTTCCCACCCGCCCCAACTTCCCTGTCCACACTGGGCCCTTAATCAGCATACCACATCTTCCTCTCAGGTCCCCATACTGTTCTGACTCACTCAGAACTTGACCCCATTCCCACTAGCAGCAGTGTAACTTGTATCCCGACGTCCCCAGTACCTTGTGTAGTTTGGGGTTTACAAGGGAATGGATTTAATACAGGGCACATCGTTTATAGGATTATTTTACGGTATTCACCCAAAGAGTCAAATGCAAAAGAATGTAGGAAATGTGTCCACATGCTAGAGACCCAAAGAATCCAGCTGAGAGCCTGGATCCCATGGCAGTGTCCTGCAGGAGTACAGCTAAAGACTTAGAGCCCACAACAATGAATCATGTGAGTGTGTTTTAAGGATCTGCACTGGGAAGGAAGTCCCAAAGAGCCATGGGGGAAGCTAGAAAGTCTGGGGTGAAGGATCTGTGCCAGCAGGCTGAGGGATCCGCACTGGAGCCAGGAAGCAACGCTCAAAAGTATGGGCAGAGCTCCCCGCAAAAGAACTACAGCCATCCTCAGCAAAAATGAGGTCCTGAGCTGCTCCGACAGTAACAGCCAAGTTCACATCAGGAAAACCAGCCTGCAAAGCTTCTCCTGGAGAAGCAACAGCACCGCCTCTTCCTAACCAGTTCTCCTTTTTATGTTGTAGACTACAGTCCTCGGCACCATGCTGATTCAGTTCAGCTGCTCCTTACAAGTTGCCCATCAGTGGTCAATCCACCACATTCATCCTGCTTCACAATTCCTCTTCTCCCCGCTTCCTAATAGCTTCCCTTCTTGGCCTCATATTTCTCTTTCCCTGAGGTTCTCAGGCCCCTTTGGCCAGCTGTCCATTGCCCCTCCCTTTCAGAAGCCCAATTAATTACCACTCACCTGGCCTTGGCCCCCTTTGTCAGTGTGACCATGTTAACCCCATCTGTCACCTGGAACACCTTACAGACAAGACTTGAAGTCTTCATTGGTTTTGCAGTTTGCCCCTGTAGGACCTAACGTTGGCATGTGTCTCTCTCAGTGTCTTACTGTCTGTCTGTCCCCTTCTAGCTGGCCACTCCCAGGACCTCACCTTCAGTTCTTCCCCACTCCAACCTGCTGCTTTCTGACCACAGGAGCCGAGTTACTGCCAGTGCTCACTATGTGTTACCACTGGGTTAAGGGCTCTGTATACCCCCCCTGCGCGCCCCCCCCCCCCCCGTCGCATGCTACCAAAGCATTCTCATAAAGTAGGAATTGAAACCATCCCGTTTTACAGATGCAGAAGCTGAGGCTGGGCCGAGAGCTCAGCAGTGGAACAGGTCAGAGCGCAGAGCTGGTGCTCTCAACCGCAGGCTGTGCTGCACAGGTGGACATCAGGGTGAGGACGGCAGACCCCCTGAAACCAGAGAGGGTGAGGAATGACAGCCACCTTGGCAGGGGTGTAGTGGGAGAGAGGCAGCAGAGGCTCAGTGGCTCTGGCTCCTTAACATTGCTGCTGGGGGAGTGTTAGAGTAGGTGACCCAAGGTGCCAGCGCCTTCATAGCCACTGCCTTTCTCCCCTCCCCAGGAGATGCTGCTGGAGGCGGGGCCTCTTCTTGCCTTAGAAGGATGCTTAAAGGAATTGACCTGAGTGCCAAGTGTGTGTTTTATCTGCCAGTTTCTTATTTTTGCCACAAGTACTTCCCATCTTTTCTGTTTGTTGTAAACTGAGGTATTCAGAAACCACTGCACAGTTGGACTCTGATCTCTATGGAGGACACTGCCCCATTGAATAATTCCAGGACCTCACAGAATCCATAAGCACCGACTTACAGAGCAGCCTGAGCCCATGGCCCCAGGCAGGAGGGCTTCCTCCAGGGTGCAGCCCATCCACAGCAGGTGGAGGGAACTTCTGACTCAGTAACAGAGGAGGGGTTGTGTAGCCTGAGTCTGGCCTTTTTTCCTTCAATGGTGAAACTCCCGTCCAAGGCAACTGGCAGTAACCCAGGTGACTCCGCACTCACAGGAGGCATCCTTGCAGGAATAACAGTGCTTTCTTAGCTCTACGCTTCCTGTACTTTCTTGTCCTGTATCCTCACATTTAAGCTCTCTTCATTTCATAGGTAACAAACCGGTCCCCAGAGGGGTCACCCAGCTACTAGCAGAAGGCACCAGAACCAGAAATGGTCTCTACACCCGCTTCTCTGGCTTGCACGCTTGCACTCCTTTCCTGTGTCTGACCTACCTGTGTGCCACCACCAGGTAACACAATAAAACATGGCCTTTTCTGGGCCTGAGCCTCCTTCCCTAGACACCAGGGCAGTTAAAAAAATCAAAATCAGTTATAGTTTAGATCTAAAATGTGCCCCCAAAGTCTCCTGTACTCAGAGGTGGGGCCTTTGGAAGATGATTGGGTCCTAACTGAATATGCTGTAAGAAGGTAGGGCCTGGTCAGAGGAGATGGTCACTGGGGTATGACCTCTCTCTCTCCCTGCTTCCTGGTCACCATGTGGTAAACAGCTTTCCTCTACAACGCTGGTCTACTGTGCGGTTTCTGCCTTGGAGCCGGCAGGCTATGGACTGAACCCACTGAAACCGTGAGACCAAAGTAAACCTCTTCTCCTTCAAGTTGCAGTATTTTGTCTCAGTAATGGGCAAGTAATTAATTCAGAAGCCATTATGGACATCTGTAATGTTGCCAGTTTTTGAACACATAAAGGAGACCCAACTTCCTTATCTCTTCCTCAGTGAGTTCACTGTGTCATTTAATTTTAGGGTTACATGGTATTTGTTGAATGAATACACTGCAGTTTGACTCATATTTTAATGATGGGTATCAGGTCTTATGAGTAAGCCTGCTATGAAAATTCCATCAAGACTCAGACAATGCAGGTAAGACTCCCATCCCTGCAATGGTGGGCACGGGACTGGTGGCCGGAGAGGTTGCAATGTATAGCTGCTGCATTTGGATCAAAGCTATGAAGTGCCAGGCATTTGGGAAGTGGCTGCAGTGCCAGTAGAGGAGGAAACTCAGATACCAGCTTCCTAAGAACTGCATGAGTTGCTTAACAGCCCTGGATTATTCTACTTTTGAAACTGACATAATGGGAAATGAATTTGAAAGACTGGCTGCCCGACACCCAACTGAATTGCTCAGTATGAAATGAAATGAGCATCCAGACCCTTCCTCAGGACAGAAAAAGGACATTACTGCCTGGCAAGGATGTGTAAACAAGCCTATGACCCAATCAGAGCATCAAGCAGCTCGAGTTAATACAGAACTAATGTTACAGCATGGATTTAATGCCTGCAAAATATATGACAAAAATCTAGTGCATACGATTGAACACATGTAGGAAAAACTTCAGAAGTTCAGGAAACATATTCAAGATTTAAGCTGGTAGCAAAAGAACATACAGTTTACAGCTGGATCTACATTGAGAGCAGTGGAGTCAGATTGGGTGTCCTTGGTCAGTATGAATTATAAGAGTGAACAGGCTATTGTGCAACTCAAAAATGAAATCTATCAAGTTTGGCAGGAACAGGGAGAGGCAAAAAAAAATCTGGCAAGACTTCTAAAAATCTTGCTGAATAGAAGGGAAGTTTTGTTTTTGTGTTTTTGAGACAAGGTTTCGCTATGCAGTTCAGGCTGGTCTTGAATTCATTTTGTAGCCCAGGTTAGCTTCCAACTCACAGCAATCTTCCTGCCTCAGCCTCCCAAATGCTGGCATTACAGGTGTGTGCCACCACTTCCAGCTCAAAATTACTGATTTTTAAATTGCCTAAGAGCAAGTAAAGTTAGAGCACTGATTTAGCTTTTTCCCTTGTTAACAATTTTTCACTACAGGGGCTGGGGATTTAGCTCAGCGGCATAAGCACCTGCCTTGCAAGCAGGCGGTCATGAGTTTGATTCCTGGTACCGATAAAAAGTTAAAAAAAAAAAAAAGCAAACAATTTCTCACTTCATGCAAACATTCTGCTCCTTGGTTTTATCAGTTCTTGTGACAGGTCTGTTGGAAAGGGTGTGAGGACAGAGAGCAACCCACCCACCAAATGCAGCAGTGTTTCCTACACCCAGAGGCGCGCTGTGTCATTCCAGCTTTTTGTTCCACCACAATCCATGATGGCTCTGGTGACTGTCTCAGAAAGCTTCTCAGGATGGGAATCTGGTACTAGAGGTATCTCTGGGGCTGGGCAGCACAGTGGTAGAGATGTGGGAGTCAAGACGAGAGCTGCAGTCCCAGGAGGTACTGACACAGAGATGGTGCTGGAAGCCAGAGGCCTGCCGAGAAAGGAGGCCTGGGCCCGGAAGGCTGGCACCCCTTACAGAGAGGCCAAAGCGCCTGAAGTATCTGCCCAAAGACCCAGAGAACCTCCCGTGTATCACCACCAAGCCGGATGGGATCAAGCAGTGTCTGTGAACTGGATGGAACCAGTCAGTGGTGTCTGCCTCAGAAGCCACGAGGCAGGGGCGTGGACAAAGGACCGCCTGGCTCGGCACCTCCCATGGGGGAGCTACGCCTGCCAACTTCGTCCACCATGAATGCCCCTGTGCAGGGTGTTCATGGGAAATGAACCAAGGGAGCTGCCATCTTTTGGTTTGGGTAATCAAGAGAAGACGAGGGCAAAGTGCTGAGGCTGCAGCATAAAGGCAGCTTGCACCCAGAACCCAAGCCTCCCATCATTCTCAGGACTGCACAGGACGTCCACTTCCAGCTCTCACTCAAGGGCATTTGACACATGCTGGAAATCACATGCAGGGGGGTTTAGGGAAACACAATTGTTAACAGAGAAACTAGAAGCCAAGTATCAACTGTGTATAGGCGTAAAAATGTAGAGGCTGTAGCGATCTGTTTAGAAAACTCACATGAAGTAGATACTTTTTAGGTGACCATCACATTAGGTCATAAAAAAATATCCCCCAAGATGAAGACATTGCAGTGTCAGACTTCCTAAAACCAAACTCCTCATGCCTGAACTTAGCCAAGGTGATCAAGAAATGCTAATGCCTGTGTTTTTAAAGGCATTACAGTTGTCTTTAAAATGGCCTTGTATTTTAGGAACACTAAAAACAACCCAAACTCCCAGAAGGTGAAAAAAAAAAAAAGATTCACTCTTCCAAAAAAAGAAATAACGGTCACATGGACTATATTTACTGCAGAATAGGGCTTCTCGGCACCATGCGTGACAGCTGGCTGTGTGCCTGCCAGTGACACCTGCTCAGCCACAGCTGATTCATGTCTGACTCCTGTCAGCATCCCATTCAGTTCTGGAATTCGGCCAGGCCCACAACCAGCCTTCCCTCGAGATGATGCATGCTGAACTCAGAGCAGAGAGAGACAGGAGAGAGAGACAGAGAGAGAGAGATAGAGAGTATGTTTATAGTACTAAGAATTTTTTCATGTTTCTGGTCCCTTCCACACCAGCTGTTATAAAAGGAATTGACCTTGGGAAGAATTTGCGGAAGAACAATCTAGAAGTCATTATTTTTAAGTAGAAAAGGTACCTAGAAACAAGAGAACACACAGTTACACACACATAAGGTAGCAGTCAGGGACAGCGCCTGCTCCAGGGTGCGACCATTGAGCATCTCTGTTTGTGTAAATACTGGCTCCACCGTGATGACACCCTATGCAATTTTTCACAAGGAAGCCCTGTGGCCAGGCAGTGTGTACACAGCCCCAACCACGACACAATCAAAACCCATGTGTTAAGAGGTGTGAGTGGGTTGTAACGGGAGAGGTAAGAGACAGAAGCTCTAAACTGAAAAGATAAGCATTTTGGACCGATTAGGGAAAAAATAGCTAAGTATATTAGAGAAGCGGTGTAACCTAATTTTAATGCTGATAAGGAAGATTGCTGCCAGGCTTCAAAAAGTAATTATTTATTCAGTAAAATATGTAAGTGCCTATTTGCAGGCATTCTGTCCACATTGATTCTATACCACAACTCAGTGTAAGACTGCTGATAATTTTCTGTGGTTTCCATGGAAATAAGAAAAAGCACCACCTTCACAAGAAAAAAAATGGATATAACCTACAAAACATGACTTGTCAGACCTGGCATGGTGGCCCACATACCTGTAATCCAGTCCCGTGGGAAGGCTGAGGCCACAGGATCACAAGTTTGAGTCCAGCCTAAGCAGTTCTGAGAGCCCCTTATCCAAAATAATTTTAAAAGGGCTGGGGACACAGCTCATTTCAAAGGCTCTGGGTTCAGTCCCCAGTACTGGGTGTGTGGGTGGAAATACAATCCAGTCATATAAATCCAAACTTACAGGAGATGTGCACCAACTTGTAAAAATCTATCACTAGCAATCTGTTCTGCAGCACTTAGAACAGCAGGAGAGGGGCTGGGGGTTTAGCTCAGCGACATAAGCACCTGCCTTGCAAGCAGGCAGTTGTGAGTTCAATCCCTGGTACCGGTAAAAACGAAAAAGACAAAAAAAAAAAAAAAAAAAAAAAAAAAAAGAACAGCAGGAGAGCCTGGAAGTGATGCCATTAAAGCGGGACCTTTTTTGGTACTGGGAATTGATCTCAGGACCTTACCCTTGCCAGGCAGAGCTAACTCCCCAGCCCTACGACCTTGTTTTACAATCAGTGAACATCTGAAGTGGGAAACAGAGATGAGCACAGATAATGAAAGTGGGGCTTGGGACCTCATCCAAAGAACTCAAGACAGGAAACTGAGAACACATTAGGAGACAGTTTACAGCTCAATCTGCTTTTACAGCATAACGGAAGAGAAAGGTAATACTGCTCTCAGACTCGGGATTTTTTTTTTAAGACTCGGGATTTTTTAATAAACTGATTTTTAATAGTCACAGAAAAATGCCTTGTAGTTAGCAGTCATTTACTGAGATATGGAATCTTAAATACAATGTAAAGAAAACCAAATGTGATCATTGCTGTGGGAACAGCAGCTCTTTGTAGAGATGAATCTGGTACTGTATCATGGAAGAAACTGGGGGCTGCTCCGCAGTTCTGAGTCTCAGCTGCTGTTCAGGTTTAGCTCCTTCCTTTGGGCACAGACATCCCAGGATGCTATGTGCAGCTGAGACTTCCCAAGACACCACGGGTCCCTGCTGTCACATCCCTGCTTCTAAAAGGCTTGCCGACCAGGTGAGCTTCTGAGGCTCAGTGGCTGTGTGCTGGCATCACTCCTCTGCGTTCGATGCTCTATGGGGAGGCTAACAAAGTTTTTCCTGAAGGGGAAGACTCACTTCTCACCACCTCCCTTCCCACCATCAAAGTGGGGGTTCTAATGTATTCAAATCCTTCCTTTCCAGAACACAAAAGATAGGACCTTTTGGGACCACTAAATAAGTAGACTTGAAATAAACTGCAAGACTTACAAGCCTGTTTTCCACAGGAGTTTATTTTATGGTTTTTTTTTTTTTTTTTTTTTTTTTGGTACTGGGGATCGAACTCATGACCTTGCGCTTACCAGGCAAGTGCTTGAGCCATTGAGCTAAATCTCCAGCCCTTTATTTTAAAGAGTAGAAAATTTATTGAAGAAAAGGCACGGAAACTAGGAAACCTCCTAAGACACAGGAGGGGTGCTGACTGAGTTGTCCCAGAAGAGTTTAATTTAAATGGCACCTTTAAACACTAAAAACTTGGGCAGGGGATGTAGCTCAGTGGTAGAGGACTTGCCTAATAGGCACAAAGCTGTGGGTTTAATCTACAGCATTGAGAAAAAAAAAGCCAGCAAAATAAAACTTCCAGCTCTAGCCAGACTCTTCATTAAGAGGTTGAGCACTAAGGGTGAGACATTAGGCAACCACAGAGCTGTCATGGACACAACTTGTAGCTTTTAGTATCCATCTGGAACCCTGCATTATTTATAAACCCAGGACTGTCTGACAGCACTGTAACATGAGCCTGTAAGAGGCTTGTCTCGGATGAGAAAGGCAGCAAAGGGCCACTCCCGGTGCTGCACAATCACAGCGCTGTATCATCCGCTGGGCGTCGATGCCCTCGATCACGCACCTGGCCAGGCACGGCTGAACATGCCTGACCATAAGCAAACCCCGCATGACTCCGGGTGGCTTTGTGGCAGAGGGCTCAGCATCCTTCTCTGCACTTAGGGTACCAAAGCAGTCAGTCCCAAGCAATTCTGGGATGTCCATAAGGCTGAGAAAAGAAAGAAACAAAGACTGATCAGATCAGCAGCCTCTAAGCCATTGGAAATGAGCCTCATTTTAACTAGGAGCCTAACATGGGCTGGGGATACAGCTCAGGGGCACAGTGCCTGCCTGGCAAGCGCAAGGTCCTGAGTTTGATTCCTGGTACCCCCCCCCCCGCGCGCCCCAAAAGAGCCTAATGCACGGTATAAATGATGACTTTCATCCTAAGCTGTAAATGAAACTCTTTATAACTCACCCTAAGAAACATCTTCCTCCACGCTCTCTGAAACCCTGACCCCGAGACACTCACTGCTGCATGCTCAAGCGAGGTTGGAAATGCTGCTCCCTGCGCCTCTGAGCCCTCTGTGTATTAGGGTGTTAACATTCTACTGCAAACACAGGACCTGCTCTTCCTCCTGGTTCCTTGACTACCTGATCATGAAGCAGCCCCCTTTCTCTGCAGCACATTTTCCTGGAAGATGCATCCTAGAGTCCCAGGGGCCCTGGCTTAAGGTGGGCAGAGGCCCCAGTCGCCAGCACCCTCAGAGGACGGGTGACAGCCTTTGCCTCTCTTTGCCCATGATGCCCCCTGCAGGGGTCACTCAAGTACCTCAAGGTACAGGAGGGGTGGAAAGGACCAGCTGAAGGTGACTGGTCAAAAGGCAGGCACTAGGTCTCCTGGCTTCACTGATGAGCAGCCAGGACCCGGCCCACTGTCACCTCTCACTAGCTGTGGCCTCAGCTCTTAGAGCGCTGCTCTTTGTCCTCAAACAAGGTGGGTGGACACACAGCTCACTAGGCAGGACTCGGCCTTTGAGCTGCAGTAGCAGCAGAGGAAAAGCACCTTGAGGACAACTGAACCAGATCCTGTGTTAAGGCTGCCTGCCAGTCCAACGAGAGAAATACAAGCGAAGAGGGGAAGGAGGGACCAGGACACAGAGCCGAGCCAAACACACGGCTGTGGTGGCCGCCACCTGGCCAGCACCTACCTTGGGCCGGTAGCCCTGCTCAGCCATGATCTGAGCTTCCTTCTGCAGCAGAGCGTCAGAGAGCTGCTCTGCCTGCCTGGCCTCCTCCGCCTCCTCCTCTGCCTGCCGGTCCGCCTCCCAGGCCTGCAGCTGGCGCTCTGCAACCTGGGCACCAAAGAGAAAGCCCTGCCTCTGAGCAGAAGGGGTGCTGGCAGTCCTCGCTGTGCTGGAGGAAGACAGCCAAGGGACAATGATGGCAGGTACTGGAAATGGAAAGAGAACTTGGGACTAGCAAAGGTCACGTGGTAGTGTGGAAGGCGGCACGTGTCTGGGAGAACCCACTGTGGCCCAGTGACCCACCGCTTGGGGACGCAGACAGCATAAACGGCAAACTGCGATGCTGACCCAGCACTCGCCAGAAGCGAGAGCCCTGGATTGAAGCAGGACCCCCAGGGAAGAGGCCCAGCACATGGCAGCACTGGCCATGGGCTCGGACCCTGCTGTGCTGCTGCCGCCTCCGCCCTCGGGCTCAGCCCACCTGGGCCTCCAGCTCCTGCTTCCTGGCGGACTTCAGTTCTTCACCCTCCTCTTTCATCCGCCGTGCCGCCTCCCTCGCCTCCTCCAGATTTTGAATGAGCTGCTCCCTGTGTCTTAGGGATTCCTCTTGGGCCCGTCGGTTCTGCTCAATCTTCTCTTGTATTTGTTGTTGCCTCCCTGTTAGAACCTGTCCTCAGCAGACAGGAAAAGGAAGATTTCCATTTGACTCGCTGTAGCTCTATCAAGACCCAGCACAGTCCTCGACCTCAATCCGTCATCCACGGGCCAACCTGGACTACTGGACGTGGCCAGAGGATGCTGGCCACGTTTGCCAGGGTCCAAAAGGCACTCTCCCCAGTATACACTAAAGGCAGGTTGGGTACTATGGGGAGACTGCTGAGTGCCAACGATGTCAAAGGAATCAAGCTGGAATCCTCCATGCAGGCACAGAGAACCTTCGAGGAATAAAGTGAGGCTCACAAATCTGGGTTCAAAAAAAAGGGGGAAAACCCAGAAGCCTCACAGATGACAAGAGGTGGGGTGTGGGTGGTCCTCCTGACATTCTGGATTTAAGTCTATGGCTCCAAGCGGGACAGAAACATGCTGTGTTTGGGATGATGTCCCACCACCAGCCCAGACCACGGCCGGGACTTGGGAACTAGGAGGTCAACAGCTGTGTTCTCAGGAGGGGACACATAAAGTGACCATGACTGGGGGTGTGAGGTTTAAATGGGGAAAATCAAAAGCTATGGGGTAAGGTGAAAGTAAAAATCAGTTAGATGTGGTGACATAATCCTGTAGTCCCAGCACTCAGGAGGCTGAGGCAGGAGGATCACTTCTAGCTCAAGGCCGCCTACATAGCGCATTCACAGCCAGCCTGGACTACATATCGAGACCCTGTGTCACTAAACAAAAATAAAAATCCAAAGTGAGAAGTCACCAACTAGGGACCCAATGTCCTGTGGGGCACACAATGCTGTCCCCTTCTGAGCACTCTTGACAATGGCTTCCACTGCAGGGGTGACAGACACTCCCTGAAGATCACCCTGCCACGGGGCCCCTTCCACCCGTGCTCTCTGGCTCACTTCTGCTCACCCCAGAAGACTGTCCTTAGAAGGGAGAACTCTTCACACGCCAGATGCTCCCTGGAGTGTTTTTTATAATGGCTCAACATAAAAACCTGAACACCCACAAGAAGGGGCTGGAAAAGCAAACCACAGTGCGTTCCCGGGATGATGCCGCAGACGTGGTTCTTCAATGATGCACCAGTGTGTTAAGCAGCACAGTATAAGCAAGCGTACGTCAGAGAGAGGTCACGCAGAGAAAGAGGAGCAGAAGGAACGCTGGCTGTGGGAAGGGCTCCGATGACGTCTACTTTCTCTCTGCTCTTTCCTTCCCCCCTGGCTCCCTCACTTTTTTCTTTTGTGACACTAGAGATCAAACACAGCACCTTGTGCATGCTAGGCAAGTACCCTACCATTTTACTTCCTCTGTCTTCAGGATCCCTTCCTAATAAGCTTACATTCCTTTTACAATGACTTTTGTTTTGTGTATCTTTTTGAGGCAGGTCTCACTATGCAGTTCAGGCTGGCCTTGAGCTCACTTTGTAGCCCAGGCTGTTCTCAAACTCACAACGATGCTCCTGCCTCAGCCTCCTGAGTGCTGGGATCACGGCATGAGCCACCATGCCTGGCTACAGTGACTTTTAAACCTCTTTTAAAATAACCAGAGAAGGGCTGGGGATTTAGCTCAGCGGCATAAGCGCCTGCCTTGCAAGCAGGCAGTTGTGAGTTTGATCCCTGGTACTGATTAAAAATAAAAATAAAAATAAAAAAATAACCAGAGGAGACTGCTCCCAGAATGTGTGGCGGGATCTGAATGTGACCACCGACTCCCACACCCATCAGAGCCCCGCGCGGCTGGGATTACCTCGCACATCAGTCTGTCCCTCGCGCTCCGCTCCCGGGCCCACTCCGCCTCTCGCTTTTCCCACATCTCCTTGGCCTCCTCCCTGGGCAAACACAAACAGATGGCAGGGAGGGAACCAGAGAACACATGGTGCCAACGTGCACGTCTGCTGTGGGCCAAGCTTCAGGTAAACACACCCATGCTAACTTTTTAAAGACAGAGCTAAGGGTGCACTCGCAGGTACTGTTTGTTATCTGAAGTATGTTCAGTTACCTTTTCACACCTCCGCCCCTTACAAAAAGCCCGAATGCCAACTGGCCTTGCAACTGTTTAACAGAAGGGATGAAACCTGGGCAGGAGGAGAGCACCTGGGCCTGGGCCCTGTCACCACACACCTGCAGCCACTGCTAGCTCATTCTGGTGCAGGTAGGTGACCTCCTCCAGGCCCCCTGTCCCACACACCTGCCTAAAGACTGCCCAGCACTCAGCATGGTACCTGGCTCGGTGAGACTCACTGAACAGCGAGTGCCAGGGATGGAATTTCTTCAGTCTACTTGTTTAACCCTTAGGGCCCAAGCTGGGGGCTGCAGCAGCAGCAGTGTGCATCTCCAGCTCCAACTACTTGGGGTATTTCAGGGAACCAAACCCAAGGCCAGGAGCCTGTGAGCATGCGGCGGTCAGCTCTTACCGCAACAGCATCTGCAGCTCTGCCTCGCGTGCCCGCTCCAGCCGCAGCTGCTCCTCGATGACCTGCTTCATGTAGGCCACATCAGCCACCGCCTGCTCCCGCCTGGCCGCGTGGACGCGCTGCTCCTCGTCCTCCTTCTCCAGGAGCGCCTGCAGGATCTGCTTGTCTGCTTCCTATGGGGACAGTGCGGACATGCGAGCCTGCTCCTCTGGAGAAGCCCACTCCTGCACACGCCAGGAAGCACACTCAGGACCCCACGCTCTCCACGCAGGGAGGGAAGGCTCCACCTCTCTCCAGGACACACTCACAGAGGGGTGGTTCACACACTGCGAGGGCTTCAGAGCTTTTCTCCAACTAAAGGAAGAGTCCGTCTCCACCACACTATGTCCTCCCCCACCCCCCTGGACACGTCTGGTAGCACAGTTTTTTAGAACACACCTTGCAGCATTTGCACATCGAAATATATACACTGCGGCAACACAGACACATAAAGATGTGCACAAACTGCTCCCTGTAGCTTTAAGAAGGAAAAACCAGAAATGCCAACATGGCCATTCAGACTGGTCAGTTCAGACCCAACCATGTGCAGACCCACAACAGAGTAGCATGAAACAGGGAAAAGATGTGCTGGAGCAGGAGTGGGGGGCTTGAGGGGGGTGGGGGTCACACTCAGGAACAACAGTGACGCTGCCACCTGGTGGTCTGCTCTGACCAGAGCAGGCAGGGATGGCTGGAAAAATAATGGGTTGCAAGTCATGAGGTTGCTCATTAAAATAGGTAACAGGAATGCCGAGTGGGTACTTTAAAATTCCTATTTAAATATCCTGATCTTAGCTTTGCATGAAGGCACAGGCCTGTAACCCCAGCACTCTAGGAGGCCGAGGCAGGAGGGCAAAGTCCAAGCCCAGCCCGAGCAGCTCACTGACTTAGCAAGACCTTGTCTCAAAGCAAAAAATAAAAAGGGCTGAGGATATAGTGTAGCACAAAGGCCCTGGCTTCAATCCCAGGACTGTAAGACACAAACGAAAACCTAACCTTTTAAAACTATAGAGGTACTGTTAGGCACGGTGCGGAATGCAACTTCAAGTACATTTAAAAATCAAAGGGAGGGGCTGCGGATTTAGCTCAGCGGCACAAGCACCTGCCTTGCAAGTGTGTGGTCATGAGTTCGATACCTGGTACTGATAAAAAAATGAAAGACAAAAAAAAAAAAAAAAAAAAAAAAAAAAAAAAACCCAAAACTCCAAAGGGAACCAGGTATAGTGCTACAAACCTATAATCCCAACACTCAGAGGGGGCTCTGGCACTCAACCACTCTCCCAGCCTCCATTATTACTATTTTTTTTTTTTTTTTGTCTTTTTCCTTTTTATCGGTACCGGGGATCAAACTCACGACTGCCTGCTTGCAAGGCAGGCGCTTATGCCGCTGAGCTAAATCCCCAGCCCCTCATTATTATTATTATATGAGCGTCTTACTGAATTGCCCAGGCTGAGCTGGAACTTGTGATCTTCCTGCCTCAGCCTCGCATGTCGCTGGGATTACAGACATGTGCCAGCTAATTTAATGTTTTAATGCATATACATACTGTGAAATGATTGCTGCATTAGAGCTAATTAATATATGCATCAAATCAAACACCTTTTTTTGGTGGCAAGAACAGGTAAGGTCTCCTTTCTCAGCAGGTGTACTTTTTAAGCAGTGCTGGACACTGAAGCTAGGGCCCTGCACCTGGTAAACATGTCTCTACCACTGAGCCACACCTTCGCCCCACGAGTACACAATACAAATTAACTACATCAGATCTCCATATTTACTCATAACTGCAAGTCTGCACCTTTTTTGGTACCAGGGATCAAACTCACAACCACGCACTTGCCAGGCAGGCGCTTAGGCCACTGAGCTAAATCCCGGGCTCTAAAGTCTGCACCTTTGACCAGCAGCTCCCCACCCCCTACCTTTCTGTTTTAATTCTGATGAGAATGTATTACATACAGAGAAACAGAAAATGCTTCACCTCAAAAGAGGGTGGAAAAATGCCTAGAGGTTCACTCAGACTCACCAGTTCCTCTTTGATCTGCTGTGTGCGGCGGTTGAGCTGTGCATTATACTGATGTCTCAAAAAGCGCCTAAACATGAGTAAAACACAAGCCGCCTTCAGTGCCTTGCGAGGAGTAAGGTGGGGATGAGACAGCCGCTCACGGCGCTGTTTGCTCTGTAGTTCCAGGAACCCAGGGCAAGCCGGGCAAGGACAGGGGCTGCCTGCCTGAGACGCGCACCCCAGCTCCGCCTTCTGCCGGAGGGCAGCCATCTGCTTCCTCTCCTCCTCCAGCCTCTCCAGCTCCCACCGCTGCCTCAGCAGGTTCTCCTGCTCCTTTTTCAGTTTGCTTGCCTGTGATTACAAAAGTAAACCAGATGGAGATGCTGGCAACCAGATCTTCCGTTCCTCATCTCCATTTTTGGTGGGCACTATACAAGGGTGTCCTGGCCACCATGCTGCTCAGGATCCCGTCCATCTCTAGGGCTCTCAGCCCCTTCGTTGTCCCATCTCAGCTGAGCCACTTCCTCCTGCAAGATCCTTTCGTGGCCCCGTGGACCTCCACATTCCCTGTACTTGACATGTGTCTCCTTCACCCGACACAGCAACCACTGTGAGTAAGGACTGCTCATGCTCCATCTCTAGTGCCCAGAATTACTGGAAGGTACCAAGCATATAGTAGCTAAAACATTCAGGCCAAAGGGAATGAGAAGTCAAAGGATGGGGCTTCTAAAGCAAGCTTCTCGGGGAAACTGAGCAGTGTTGTCAAAAAACAGCCTCCTGGGCCAAAATCTGCTACCAGTGGAGAGTTGTGCACACAATCATCCAACTAAGTCACGCCTGCTTAGTGCACTGGAAACCCACATTCTAAGACCCTTGAAGGTTCTTACACCTAGTGGGACGGGGACTGTCTCCGGATTTTAGGGTCCTAGAACCTGGCATACAACCGAGGAGCCCGGGAGAAGCAGAGGAGAGCCCAGCTGCTGGTGCAGCTCTGGTCACCACCCAGCTACAATCTTCCTAGACAGCAGCTGAATCTGCATTTCACACTCACAGGCACCTCGAGGGCTAGAGCTTACCTCCATCTCCTTCAGCTTCAGCTCCTCCATCTGCTGCAGCAGCACCTCGGCCTGCAGCTTGTCCTCCAGCTGCCTCCTCTCCTCTTCTGCTCTCATCCGTTCCATTGCTTCCCTTCGAGCCGTTTCATACTCGTTTTCGTACCGCTTGTTCTCCTGCTCTTCGGTGGCTTCTTGCTACGAGAGGCCCCATGAACCTGGGAGGTCAATACCTGTAACCTGCAGCCAGCAAAGCCCCAGCCCTCTGTCTCCATTCGGCGTGCCGCAGGGCCCAGGCAGGCTCAGTGAGCCCCTCTCCGGTGCTGTGCGCCTGGGCAAGGGCGCACAGAGGGGCTCCAGAATGTCAGCAAAATACTTTGCAAGCTGAACCTGAAGGCAAAGCAGTAGGTGCCTGGCATGGGCTGCTGTCAAGTCAGGGGTGAGTCTACCATGCTAATTTCCTCAAACAACTCCAGGGATAAAAAATGCCCTTGAAGACATGTGTTCCACCTGTCACCTACCAGCCTAGATCACCTGGCCTTATTCTGCGTAGGGAATGATCATCTAGGATCCTAAAATGCATAACAGCAAACATCCACTTTGTTTTAGTATTTTTGTTTGCTTGTATGTTTTTGTACTGCGGGGATCAAACTCATGACTTTGCGCTTGCCAGGCAGGCGCTGTGCTGCTGAGCTACATCCCGGCCAAAGCACTCACTATGAACACATGGTGAATTAACTGAGAACAGCCTACTCCTCAACGGGGGTCAGAAACACTGCAGACAGGAAAACTCAGAAGCACAGAGACAATCTCAACCTCTGCATGTGGGATTATTTCCAGGGCCACGCATCACACCTGCTTTTTTTCTTCTTTCTGTGATTCCCAAGCGTTTACCACATGTTTCCGATGGAGGTCCATCTCAATCTGCGGATGAGAAGGGGAAGGCTGTGTCAATCTCCTGGGCCCACGTGAGACATACTCACTTGCAGGGGACAGTGCACTGCCTTCTTGCCGCCCACTAGGACATGTCTGTAACCTCCCATTCTGAGGACTCAGTGGCCCAGGTGTCCAGTGAGGGGTCGCAGAGTGACCGCCACACATGGTCTGAGCACAAGATAATCAGAAAGCCACTGGAACCTCGTGAGCTGGAACAAAGAAACGGAAACTTTTCTCCCAGTAGCCCTGGGAGTCAGCAGGAAGCGTGTCAGCAGACACTGACATGGAAATGCAGTTTCAAAAGGCCACCTCTTGTTGGTCTAATGCACCAGGATCCGGGGAGCCAGCTCGGTACAGGACAGCTCAGGGCCGAGCTTAGCTCAGCACTCGGCCTACAAAGCAGCAACTGTGACTGCTTGCACTCGCCGTGCCCATGTGGCAACAAGTCTCACGTTACTAGACCAGAAACTACTAGGAAGAGGTGTAAGCTCTGAGAATGTTTGGGATTGGAAAATGAATTGCAACACTCAACTCAAAGTGTTTCTTTGGAAAATGTTATGTTTAAAATCTGTCTAACCAAAAATGTATTTGTAACTAACTTGAGTGTTCTGAATACTTTTCTGAGTAAATGACTTTAGAGGATCCACCGGAGACCTCAGACGGCCAGGGAGAGAAGTCCTCCTTCAGGTCGGTGCCAACCACGCAACACTCAACAACACCTACATCAGGGGTGGTGAACCTATGGCATGTGTGTTTTTCTTTGAGGACAAAAGATGTTAATGAAGGAGTTTTGGTTGTTTTGAAACTAAAGCCTCAGTATTTAGATTTAGTTATAGTGTTGGCACTTTGTGATAAAAATGGGTTTGGGGTTGCAGTTTGGGCACTCGTCTCTAGAAGGGTTACTGTTACTGACCTAGATGCTCCAATTACTCAGCAACTAGCACCTTCCACATCTAACTACAAAGCAGTGGTACCAAACTCATACGAAAACCATGAAGCTGAAACAGATGACACCAGTAATGGGATCAGCTCCCTCCAGCCCATCTCTGCTGAGTGATGCCCCAAGGCAAGACACCCCTCTCCCTGTTCCCGGCTACCCCAGTTCAGCCCTCTCCCCCCCAGTCAGGCTGCTGCAGCATCTTCTCCGACACCTCAACATTCCTGCCAGAGGGCTCACCTGTGCCCTTAGCTCTTTTGTTTTTAAGATAAGGTCTTACTATGTAGCTTGGGTTGGCCTTGAACTCATGGTGCTCTTCCTGCCTCAGTCTCCCAAATGCTGGGATTTCAGGTATGTACCAACATGCCCTTACCTCCCTGTGATGTCCTTCCTCACACAGCCACTTGTCACAACTCATGCCTGAGTCTAGCAGTCACCTCTATGTAAAGGGTCCTTGCCTCACCTCGATGCTGGTGGTTCTTCCTTTCAAACTCTTCCCTGACCTGAGTTGGGGGCACTGTCCCATGCCCACCTGCTAGTACCCAGCAGTCTTCACTGGCATAGTTGCCCTTTGGCTCCCTGCCTGGATGGTGAGCTCCAGGACCATGGCCCACAGGCAGGTGCAGCAGTGTTAAATGAGCATCTGTTCACCAGCTGAATGAGCCACTGAGTCTTGTCTGTACCAGATCTGCTGCCCGGTGCTCTTTTCAGGTGCCTGGAAGTTCCCTCATGTTTCAGTCCAGCACAAGATTCATGTTTAAAAAAACCCCAAAAACCTGATTTCATCTATGCAGGAAAATCAGTAGCAGATTCTTGATTTTCACCTCCCGAAGCCTTGGGTTGTTCTGTTTCCAGTGCTCATACAAAAGCCGCTCAGCAATCTACCAAGAAAACAAAAAGGAAAGCCTAAAGTTGCCTTTCAAATCCATCCGCGGTCTGAATGATCCACAGTAGAGGTCAGTGCAGGACAAGAGCGCCTCTGCTCCCAGGCTGGCCCTACACCGCTCTTCCAGGCTGCCTGCCCTGTAACCGCAGCTCTGCAAGCCAGCGGGCCTCTGAGAAGGACGGATGGTGCTGACAAATGACTCTTGCAGTGGTGCCAAAAGGAACCAAAATCTGATGCTACAGACGGGTCCTTTGTAGGGAGTCCCCAAATACACAGCAAGCCAAAAAGCATAGGCTGGGCTCACTGTTCCACACAGCTACTTTGGAAGAGAAAATATCCCTGCCCCAGACCTTTGTGGGACCACAAAACTGCAACAGTGGTGATTTAGAGACTAAAGTGAAGACAGCTGACTCCCAAGAAACACTCCCTACCCAGGACTGGGAGGCGCTTCTGGCTGGCTCCGTAGTTAGCTGGTGTCTCATCAGGCCAGAGTGCCCAGGACATGAGCCCTGCAGGCCAGGGCTGCTCCTACTGCGGTCTCCTTAGATTCTCTGACAGTTACCAGTTTCCTTTGCTCTTCTCGGGCCGATTTCAGATCCCCATGCCGCTCCCGGATTCTCCTTTCCCTCAAGTTCATGCTAAGCCTCAGCTCCTCCAGCTCCTTGACCAGCAGGTCCTGCTCCTCCAGCATAAGCTGCCTGAGTCTCTGGCGTCGGGCCTCCAGACTCTTCCTCTTCTCCTCCTTCAGCTTCTCTCGCTGGTAGGCGTACATGCTGGGGAGAAAGAGCACGTGATGCGTCACTTGGGTTGTAGCCACAGTCCTAACAGTGACACAGAAAAGTGCCTCCCCAGCCCTGCCAAAGTGGAGAGAGCGGGTCACAGAACAGTATGCATATTAGAAAATCTTATTTTTGCAAAAAGAAAATAAGAGGCTTACATATGCATGCAGCAGCTAGTTTTTTTCAGTAATTACTGCGTGCCATGTACTATATATGGGTAGTTTTTATATAACCACTTAACCTTGCAAGTTAAGCTCCACTTCACTGCTGAGGAAACTAAGGATGATGTATGAAGAAAGTGATACAACCAGTAGCCAGGATTTCCATCTGGGTCTGACTCCAAAGCTTATGCTTTTCATCTCCATGTTTTCACATGTGTCGCTATGAAAAATCTTGTGTGTATTTAAACATAAATGCAAATAGGAGGAAAAAAGGAAGGAGGGATATGTGCCAGCCTGTGGTTCTTTTTGGAGATGTGGGGTTACAAGGATTCTGATTCTATCAAACAAACTTCTGTATCACTGCATACGTGCATGCACGTGTGTGTACACACATGTGTGATGTTTATTGGAGACTGGATCAAGGCCCTTCATAATCCCAGCCCCTTTTAACTTTATCTGAGACAGGGCCATGCTAAGTTACTAAGTTGCCCAGGCTGGGCTCAAGCTTGTGATCCTCCTGCTTCAGCCTCCCAGAGCGCTGGAATTACAGGTGCATGCCACCATGCCTGGGTTCATCTTATATTTTTCAATATAAATGCATTACTTCACTGATGCTCTTTTTTTCCAATTCCCAGCTGGGAAAACAAGACGCAGGCATGACCCTCTGTGCACGACGCTGACAGGCGAGGGTTTTGTGCAGGTACTCATGCTAGCTGGTGAATCCTTGAGAGAACGTATTGTTGAGCCATACTCACTGGACCCTTAAAGCCACACCCCCTGATCATTAGGTGGCCCCGCCACCTCCACCTCCTTGGCCGGTACTGCACAATTACCTCCGCTGGTAGGAGTTCTTGGAGCTCCACTCTGCCTGCTTGGAGCTGCAGATGTTAGACACCCTAAAGTAATGGCTGTTCTGCTCCCACTGCTGCCGAAGCCGGGCCTCCTGCTCTCGCTGTCGCTGTCGCGCTGCCTGTTGATCTGGGAGCCTCCAGCTGCACCAGTAGGAGGGCAGCGTGGGGAGTGCCATCTGGGGAGCGGGACAGTTAGGATAAGAATGACTGCAAAGCCAAGAATCACCACCAGGTGGCCTCATATCTTTAGGTTGGAAGCACAACGGAGCCACATGGAGGCACACTAATACCCACATGGGGGCTCCACTCCATATGAATCATAAAAACCTTAGACTGGGGTGGAGACATCAACATTTTTTAAATAATTGGCATCAAGGTGAAAATCATCAATTTAAATAAAACAGGACCATACCCAGCAGTGGGCCAGGTATTCTAACGGATGCCACAAACAGAGATAGGGATTGGCATAGCAATGGAGAACTAAGCATGTTGGGAATTTTTTTTTTTTTTTTTTTTTTTGGTACTGTGGATGGAACTCACAACCGTGCGCTTGCAAGGCAGACGCTTATTCCTCAGCCCGGGAATTTTTTTTTTTTTTTATGTTGGAAACTTTTATGCTGTGTTAAATAACAGGAACATTAGTATGCACTAATCACTTATTAACATATACCATATTTTCTCATTCTTTTTTGGTGGTGGTGGGGTCTTTTTTTGAGACTATGCAGTTCAGGGTAGCCTTAAATTCATTTTGTAGCCTAGGCTGGCCTGCAACTCATAGGGATCCTCCTGCCTCACCTTCCCAAGTACTGGGATTACAGGCAACCTCGACCAGGCCCAGTACTTTTCTCATTCTTAAAACCAATGCATTATTTATTAAGTGAAGAAATTCTAGTTCAGAGCTGAAATGATTTGCCCAGGATCACAAAGCCAGGAAGCAGAGCAAACAAAAGATCTGGGAACTTAGATTGGTCTAAGACGGGAGCCTAGATTACACAGCAGCAAAGGGCTGCCAGCCGGGACCAAAATGCCCAGCCACTGGAAGCTCACAAAGACCTGGCCTGGATATCACACATGAAAGTGTCCTGACCTACCCTGGGGGAAGATGGAGAAACAGTGGAGAGAAATCACATTGCCTGGAGACGCTCCCAGACCCCTGAGAACAGAATGCATTCTCTACTCCAGACACCACTTCCCCAACTTCAAAGCTGGCCCGTGTGCAAAGTATACCCAGTGCTTGTTTTATAGACAGCTAAGGTAAAATGTTATAGGCAAGCAGACAGGGTTGGGCCCTCAAGGGAGTCAGTGACTGGAGGCACATCCATTGAAGGCCAGGCCTGAAGATACAGACTGACCAGGCCTACTTGCCTTACCAAGGGATAAAAAATTAACTATAATTAGTATCACTTGCTCCAATAAAATCTAGAAAGCTATCAGTCACCCAGGTGGGTGACCAGGATCTCCTGACTCATTTCTTCCAAAAATGGCCCTTGTTCTTGTTCGAAATTTCCACGGACACTTGCTTCCCCTTTAGATCAACACTATCGAAGTGGCTGTACTTGTCATCTTATTGGCTGATCATAGTTTTGTTCCATGTTGTAACCACCTCAAGATTTTGCTCTAAAAATTCTCCTCTGAGAAGTGGGCTCATTGGCAACCCATTCGGGACCCCCTCTTGTCTCTCAGGAGCAGTCTCTCCCAATAAAGTTTTCCTATTCTTAACCTCCGCTATACCTTAGAATTCATTCTGTGATTTTTGGGGAACGCGCACTGAAGTCTGGCCGTCCCCGACATCTAGCAGATTGGGAGTTACAGTACTTCTTTTATCATATGTAAGTCTGTATCACCTGGACCGGAGTCTGGGGGATGTGTGATAGGGCTGGCTAACTTCGAAAATCTCAAACGTAGAGTACTCAAGATCCTGGGCCCAAATGTCTCATCTATGTTTTAAACTGTAGTGGGACTAACCTACTTTTTCCTTGCCCTGAAAAGCCACCAGTGGATAAATCTTTGCGCCACGAGTCAGTCCAGGATCAGTCACCAATCGGGGCTGCTTCCCCGAACCGATCGATAGAATCCTTCCCAGGTTCCAACACTCAACTGTGACAAAGAGTTTCAAAGATAGTGTCGGACCAAGGGAGTGCAGGAGCTAAGAACAGGAACCCAGGGCTCGCGTCTTCCGGTTCCCGCCAGCGCGCGGCGGCCTAAGCCAAGGCCTTGCGCGTACCTCCCCTGATGCGGGCTGCCCTGGCAGCGCAACCTCTCAACTCACGTTTCTCTGCACACTGGAGTTTTCGAAGAATCTCCTGATCGGGGCTCTGCAGGCACTCACCCAGCCAGATCAACCCCGCGTACCTCCTAGATGGCCCTACAGCAACGCCAACTGCACCCGGGCTTGTTGCCGTGGCAACGGGCCCGACGACGGTGTCCCGCGAGGGCCAAGCCATCTCCAGCGCGATACTGGCTGCGCAGAGCAGAAAAAGACTGTGGGTTTTTTTCCTAGCGCCCTCTAGAGGTCATGGTGTGAGCTTAATAGCAAACGCGTTGATCCTTGAAATAGAGACAGATAGAGGGAGAAAATTAGTTCCTACAGCAAAATTTTGGGTGGTGATAACTTGGGGAAGTATAGAGGAAGAGACGGAAGTGAGGATAAAATATAAGAGCTAGTGGTTCTCAAACATGGCGGCACAGAAGAATCACCTAAGCAGCGTCTAAAAATTGGTATACCCAAACCCCAGACAAATCCCATCAGATTTCTCTAGGTGTCTTCAATGTACAACCAAGACAGAAGAACCAACTGACCCGCATAGTCACAGCGGTTGGTAACTTTCTATTTTAGTCTTACATTGGTGATGGGTTCGAGGTTTTCCCTCTATTCATGTTTTATAACTCGTATAGGCTATATGTATTATTTTTTGTATCAACTATTTCATTAAAAAGAAATAAAATGTGACAGCGGTATCAGTGGTAGAGTGTATGCTTCGCATGCTGAGGCCCTAAGTTCAAGCTCCAGCATTAAAATAATTTTTAAAAGAGAAATATTCATTCATTCTCTCTTCTCTCATTCTCCCATTCTGTATTTTTTTTTTTTTTTTTTGTCTTTTTCATTTTTATCGGTACCGGGGATCAAACTCATGACTGCCTGCTTGCAAGGCAGGTGCTTATGCCACTGAGTTAAACCCCCAGCCCTTCCCATTCTGTATTTCTTCATCCCTGTTGTAATCGGGGTTTACAAGGGGAAAGATTTAATACAGGACACACAATTTTTAGGATTCTTTTATACTATTTACCCAAAGAGTGCAGGAAATCTGTCCAAACACTAAAGACCCAAAGAATCCAGCTGAGGGCCTGGATCCCATGGCAATGTCCTGCATGAGTCCAATTAAAGACCTAGAACCCATGACAATATCTCCACAACTGGAGGCCTAGAAACCATGATAATGTCTCATGCAAGCTTGTATCAACATTGCGCACCGGGAAGGCCCAAAGGTCAGTAGTGGAAGCCAGAAAGTGCCCTGGTGGGATGAAGGATGTGCCCCAGCAGGCTGAGGGATCTGCACCGAAGCCAGGAAGCAACACTCAGGGTAGAGACCAGAGCTCCCTCAAGGTGAACCACAGCACCCTCGACAAGAGTGAGGACTCTCACTCTCAAACTCTTCCAAAGTGAGAATAGCCAAATTCGTATCAGGAAAGCCATTGTGACATGGCTTCTGCAGAAGGATCAACCGCCCACCAGCTCCTCCTCCAGTTCCTCTTTTTATGCTGTTGGCAACAAACCTCAAGTGAGCCATCCACACCCAATACCCCATTGATTCAGTTCGGCTGGGTGTTACAACTTGCCCATTAGTTAATCCACCACAATCCCTCATCCCTTCATTCCTTTATTTCTCTTGGAAAAAGTATAATATCCTTTTGAACAAGATGGTCTGAGTCAGAAAGCCCAAGTTTCAACCCATCCCAAGTCAGATGTGTGGCTTTGAGCAGGTCATTTCATCTCTGACCTCAGCTTCTTGTTTGTGAATTGACAATAGTGACCATTCCTCTTCCAGAACTGCCCCTGTGAGGATAAATGAAAATTAAACAGAGTGCCTTCGAGAACAGAACTCCAAGAGCATCCTACGAAAGCACAACCAAGAGCTGTCTTTTTGGTTTATTTAGATGAGGGAAAGGAGTGCTATGTTTGCACTAGAATTTTAAAGTCCTATCTTAATTTGAACCCTGGCCCACAATGTGAGGGGTGGCAGGTCCAAGGGAGCGAGATGATGCATCTCCTGAACCTGGAGAGCCTCCCACCTCTAAGAGCAATAGGTCTAGTTTCAAGTCCACTGGGTGAACAGGAAGGAAAGGTTAGGAACGAAGACACTCATTTCCAAACAAGTCTCCCCTGGGAAATTCTGCCTTGCAGTGGGGACAGTTTCCACACTGCGTCATAGACTGAGCACCTTGAAGTTCAGTTCCCAAGTTATGTTGTCATTTAGAAGTTCCAGCCTCGAAATAAGGATGTCAGGGCTCTCCAGTTTTAGGAAGCCACCCTCACTGCTGGGACTCCGGCCGCAGTTGCTGGTATTTCTGGTGATGGAAGAAGTCAGGGACGTTGGTGTTCTTCACTTAGCACAGGAGAGGGGGATCCACATCCTACACAGGATGCACTCAATCATGGGGCGCCCTGCCGAGGGTTTTCAGCAGTAACGGGTGACCGGATCCCATGAGTCATTACCTGATTCTGCCATGAAGTCCTCATCCACCACCTGCATCTCGCCTCCCCTGGAGTTGGCATCTCCATCCTGGCTTGCTTCAGTGCTATCCACCTCCTTGCCTCCACTGTCTATGAGAGGGGCTCCTGCAGAGCGTTCGACAGCAGGAGGCCTCCTGGCCTCGGTCTCAGCAGGTATTTGGAGCACGGGAGCTGGGGTTTCATCCCTGATGAGGTCGCCTCCTCCTCCTCCTCCTTCTCTTCCTCCTCCTCCTCCTTCTCTTCCTCCTCCTCCTCAGAGTCTGAATCACTGGAGGGTGCCCGAGGAGGGCCAGGAGATGGGAGTCTATCCCCCTTGCCCCCCCTCTACCTTTTCAACTTCTTGCTCTTCTTAATCTGAGATTTTGCCCATCCCCAGGAGCTGGCTGAGTTTTTCATAATTCCCCAAAGCCAGCCCCACCTCCTGGTCCCAATTTTCAGTTCTTTTGGTCCTTCTTTTGAGGAGGCTGGGAGAGGTCCCCTTGGGAAAGAGGCACTGGGTGAGGGCAGCAGGGGCTGAGAGGTATGTGTTTCTGATGTAGGGGACAGCAGAGATGCCACTTTGGGCCCATCCAAATCAAAGAGAGAGTATTTGAGCTTCATCTTCTCAAGCAGGTGGCACTGTGAGGGGCCCGCAGACCAGAGAAAGTGGACCTGGGTGTCCTGGATGGGTGGGACCTGCTTGAGCTTTCTTTAAAAAAGTCTAGATGGTACCAAGATCTGAAGGGGCCGAGTCCCAGCCACCACTGTCTGCTGCATGCTTGCCGGGCCATGGAGAGCTAGAGCCCGAAGCTGACTGTCACTTTCCTCTTTGCTGGGAGAAATACGACCAGCATAAGCCAGGACAAAACTGCAGAATTTGCTGACATCCTTGGTTGTTCTCTGACATTTCTCTGGTGGCTGAGACTGTTTCAAGTGTCCCACACGCCACCGCCCCAGGCCATGGAGATCCGAGATTGCTCAGGCAGCCCTTTAGGCCTCCAGGGTCCAGCGTGACAGTACTGAGCCGCTCCCCACCCTCGGGCTCCTTCTGCCAAGAGCTTTCTTTCACACCTTCCTTTGCCTAGTAGAGGTTTTTTTTCTGGTTGCCCAACTCCATGAATAAGAATTCCCGAGGTTGCTGGGGATTTAGCTCAGCGGCATAAGCACCTGCCTTGCAAGCGGGTGGTCGTGAGTTCGATCCCCAGTACCGATTAAAAAAAATAGAATTCCCGAGTTTGCTGTGCCCCCCTGGCTACGCTTATGGCTACTGTCCTTTGTGTCCCCTCCATGGACAGAGAAGGCAGCACCCTGTGATCAGCCCAGTAACAACTAATCACCCAACAAGCCCTTGTGCGTTTGTTGACAGGACTCCCTAAGTAGGGTGGGAACTCCAGAAATGCACAAATTGATCCGGGAGACCTGGCTGAAAAGATCTTGATTTTGTGCTTCTCGGGAAAGGACCCTCCCCTTGCTGGCCTCATTTTCCTCCTCAGAGCACTTGGCTAAAGGACTAGTTGAATCAAGGGTTTAGAACTTCTGTGGAGGGTCAGAGGGAGCCATTCCCAAACAGCCCAGTCCTGGAGGCCCCGAACAGCCTCCTTTGCTACCTCAGCATTTTCCCTGTATCCGCCTCACAGTTCAACTGTATCTCCCTTACGCAGCGCATGAGCATCCTTACATGTGTCTTTTCCTTTGTTGTCCCCAGGCATCCTGTGGGAATATTCTATTATATCTTCTGGGGGGGTAGCTGGGGATTTAACCTGGGGCCTTCACACTGAGCTACATCTCTAGGTTTTTTTGTCGTTGTTTTTGGTGTGTGTGTGTGTGTGTGTGTGTGTGTGTGTGTGTTGGCTCCAATTTGTATCCTCCCGCCCCAGCCTCGCAGAGTTCTAGGATTCCAGGTGTGTACCACCATGCCAACCTTACTGGATTCATTTTAGGCCCCCCTGAGCCTCAGAGAGGTGCCAGCACTTGCCTGAAATGCCAATACTGATAGGTGGCTGAGTCAAGATTTGAATCCGACTCCTTCTGTTCCCAGAGCCTGGGTCCTCTCTCTATGTCCTCTGCTCTAGTCCCGATGTCTGGTCCATAGTGGGCACTCAGTAATATTTTACAATGAAAGAGATGATCCAATCCCCATGTTTGAGTCCTTTCTCCAAAACAAAAACTAAAATGTGGAGTTCAGTGAACAAAAAAGAAGAAGCTAATGTATATTGACTACCTACCAGATTCCAGAGACTTTTAGATATAGCACTTCATTCAAGCCTTTTTCTACCCTGGATAGGGTGCTCCCACTCCCATTTTGCAGATGAAAACACTGAGGCTTGCAGCTATGAAGTGACTTCTTGAGGTCACACAGCAAGGACACTGAAATCCAAGGTTTACTCCTAGTCCCAAAGTTTATGAGCCCTTTTTCAGTTCGTTTTTCTGGAGTTCGAAGCCAGCAGTCAGAATTGAAGCCAGTGGCACCCAGTGAACCAGATGTACCACTGGTTATTTTTTGAATTTCATTTTGAGGCATGGTCTTCCTC